CATAGGTTGCAAATGAGGAATGCGGCCAACAAGAGGCTATCGAATGCCACACCGTACTTTGGCAGAAGTCCACATCTCAAGATTTGTGGTGGTTACGAAGCGACAGATTCCAGATACGGTGCTAGACTTCTTCCGGGGGAATAAATGAAGTTCAACCCGGGATGGACATTCTACTCACTTTCTCGAACCCTTTATTCGAGGATTCCAGACCTTTACAGATTGCATCGATACGTAGACGATACTGGATATCGTGTCGAATATCCATGACATTTACAAGCAAAGACTCAACGCGAGAAGGATAGACGAAAGTGACCGACTGATCCACCTTTCTGAAGATGCAAAAAATAAATCACATGGAATTACCATTACTCTTTCAAAGAATATAAATACAAGTTTATTGGCTCATCTGAAAAATCGCCGTGCACGCCATGCTTGAATCGGAAATATGTATATAAGGATCGTAAAGGGGTGAGTGAGAAGAGGTTCAGGGGGGTAAGGTCCACCTGAGTGATGAAAAACAAAGGAGGGTGGGTAGTGATAGTCCACTTGATCCTCGCCTAGAAGAAGCTGAAAAGAATCGCCGCGCTCAGGGCAGCAAGGGAAGAGCCCTGGACGTACGACGACGAACTCGCGACGCTGCTGGAGGTGGTTCCCGCGCTGAAGCTGGTGCTGGTGGAGGAGCCGGAGCTGGACTCGGAGGAGCCGTTGCTGCTGCTGGTGGCGGTCGTCTGCTTGCCGGCGGTCATGTTGAGGCCCGTGTCCTCGAGGTTATAGAGGACGGTGCTGTTGCCGGACACGAGGATCTGGTCCGACAGGCCGGTGTCGCTGGTGTAGACGTAGGACACGTCGCCGTCGACGGTGGTGCCATCGGGCGGGTTGTAGCATTCGATGGTGATGTCCTTGTACAGCGCGTAGTAGTAGCCGTACTCCTCCATGTCGGCGCTGTTCCAGTCCACCAGACCACCGCCCCACTCGATCGTCCCCTCGCTCTCGCTGCTCAGCCCGCTGGGCCACAGCGACATCTGCAGCCGCGACGGCGTCTGCGGGTACATGTAGATCCCGGAGGTGGCGTTGTAGGTCGAGTTCTTGGTCAGCGTGCGCATCGTCACTCCGTCCACCTGCCACTCCAGCTGCTCCGGCGTCCAGTCGATCGTGTACGTGTGCCAGGTGTTGTAAGTGTTGCCGGTGGAGACGGCGGCGTTGACCTCGTTGGTGTCTGCGGGAAGAAGTCCAAGTTAGCGCGTGCCACAACAATACGAAAGAAAAAGACATCGGACAACACGTACAGTTCTCAACGCCCTGGAAGTAGAAGTCGGTCTGCACACTCGTCAGGTTGTAGCCCACAAACTCGAAGTCGATCTCGTCCTTCACGTCGGACATGAGGATGAACCCGGTGATGACACCCCCGCCGCGACTGCTCTTGATCTTGGCCGACACCTTGCCGTACCAGATGTAGTGGTTCAGCGTCATCAGACTGCCCGTCGTCTGGTTGGGCATCGTGAGCATCAGACTGCCGTTCTCGACCTTGGGGTATCCGCTCCAAGTCCATTCGTACTGCGAGGAGTTTCCGAGGTACTGGTCGTACGCCACCGTGTCGTCGAGGTTGCTCCAGCTGTAGGTCTGGTTCTTGCAGATGGGCTCGGGCGTGCACGAGTCGAGCGAGTACGACATCAGGGGGTCGCAGGTGCCCAGACACGATGTTCCAACACCACATACTCCGCCTGCGGATGGCTGTTAGCGTGGTGTGGGAAAGATGGAGTGATTGCCAACTCACTATAGCAGCAGGGTGCGCTCTCAGGGCACTTGCTGTCGGCACTACAGGTGGTGGAGGCCGAAGCAAGTGCGGCCAGACCGGCCAGGAACAGTGCGGAGACGTGGCGCATCGTTACAGAGGCGACACTGCGTGCAACCGACTGTTCTATGCAAGGAAGAGTTGGTGAGGGGGGGAGGAGGACTCTTGAAACCGCTGCAACGTTTCAGTTCTGAAAACGGTGCCGGGGGGCGGGGAAATCCATTATAATTATACGCTCTTGGGGAGGGGATACGAATGTCCACATGACATCAAATCCACTGGGGTCAGCGAACCAAGGAGGAAGCAGGAAAGGGGGAACGTGTGGGACAAATGGGGCAAGGAATCAGTCAAAATCTTCCTCGGGGACCTTGGGCCGAGCACGGAATTATCGGGGGGAAGGCAAGCCGGCAGTCGGACGGTAACTCGTTCTGTCGGAGTTGGCTGTGCAATGAGAACACTAAACCAGTATCGTGCTGCGATAGATAGCAGATCCAAGGATAGGAACACTGGAACACTGACAGCGGGTACGAGAAGCGTGGGATAGGGCTAGCGGAGAGAAGGAAATCCCCCCTCCCCATTGGCCAACTGGATCTGCGAGATAACAGAGAATGAGAAACATCTCCACCGAAAGAGGAAGAAAATTCTGCAGTCGATAGGTTATTGGTTCTACAGGTGTTCCTGTGGTTCAAGCAGAGCTCCAGCGAGGTGGACTATCAGCCTAACCATGGCGATGCAGGCAGCGAAATTAACGATTGGCAGTGGGCTGCGAGCGAACCCAGCCAAGCTTTGCTAGCGTTGGGACTATCTCAGGGGCATTGCGTGTCCTGCCATGGCCATTCCAGCACGGCACACGAATCAGACTGATCGACACCCCCCCCGGCACTGTGAATCAGCATTCAATCAAGTGTGTTCATGGCGATGTGAAAAGTGGTTATATGCGACACTGCAACTGTTCGAAAGCAGCAAAGCCGATACTACAGCTGTCAGCTTCATAGGGGTAGTTGTGCTGAAGTGTGGTTGTGCCAAGCCATCTATCAAAAACACAGAATTTTCTCATGTGGGTCGATGACGTATCCCCTTCTCTGGTCTTTTCCGGCGCACTTTGGATGAATGTCTTACTTGGCTGTGGAACACCGCCTTTTCTCCTTGTCTTGCTGCTCAGACCATCGTGGTTCCTCGAGTTCTGTGCGCACATTTCTCCAATTCTTGCTGATAAGGATCCGCAAATACCTCGGCTCCCCCGCGCCACATATTCCGGTCTCGTGCACCAATTGTTTCCTGGTCTATACCCCTAACATGCTCAGAATAGGTGCGTGAAATTGCAATTAATTGCTGCGAATGCCTTATTGATAAATCTTCTCCTGGAACAGATTCTAATATCGTCCTTTGATTCGTCTGAAAGCGAATATCCCAAAGCTTAGCCAAAGCTTGTTCCCATCATCTCCGAGGGAATTCTCTCCGTGACCCCCTTGGCAGCCGCGGCCCATTGTAGAGTATATAAATGCGGACTGGAAGATATCTGTCCAATTGTTGAGCAAATTGAACTAATGGGCGATGCCAATTGACAATGAATGCGTCATGTTGACCATCATGTAGCTTACTTGACACGAGTTTCCTTGGACTCAGACACAAGAAGCCGGCGTGACTAAAATATTTGTCGCTAACAAGTGGAACTCGGTAGGCACCTTCAGCAATGGTATATTCACCCTGTACCCTAGTTCACGACATGTCTCAGTCTCACCCACAGTTCGCTTGATGGTCACCTTTTCTTCGCTTAAGGATAAATCCGGGAGGTCGATCGACCTGCCCGATGGTTATCACGGAGAAACAGCTCGAGAAACCACTGCCACACCACATAATCCCAGTTTGCACGGTCGGAACACAACTCTCCCGCTTGTATCTGATTTTTCAGAGACTGCAATGCGCACATAGCAGGATCAGCCATCAGTCGATCACCGAGCTACCCCTAAGCGATCAGCCCAGAGACACATATCTGCGATTGCACTACATTTACCCGAGATCCCTTGGGACTATTGATTTGCACGATGCAAATAGCATAAGTAGCCTCGAAGTTAGTGCACTAGTCCACTGGCGCCAGTGAATGTCTTAAATACTTTAGAGCGCCCATGATTAGCTGCTGCGAACATCTATATATGGGTTGTGTACTGAATAAGACACTTTCAATGGATCGGAGATTAGTTTAGGGGAATTACCCCTCGGGGTTGACTGCCTAGAGTGGATTACGATTACTAATCTCCGGATCGACCGATCAATCTCCAAGCCCTTTTAGGGGGACAGGGGCTGACGGACAGCCTGCGATCTATTCGAAGCTATCCAAACCGGCATGGAAACCGAAGTGCAGCGAAGAGTAAAACACTACATGTCTTCTGTTGTGCTGTGGACACTACCAATTCCACCAGCTCTCATGAAGAGAAAGTTCGAGGATCTCCACCCGGTTAATGATCGACTATCGAAATGTACACACATGCATTCGTTATTCCGGATAATATATTTACGGGGAGAATGAATACGAAGTCAGCCATTCAAGGAAATGTGCAAGGGGCAAAGACTGACTGCAGTGACAACGCAAGCATACGGAAAAGGAGTCGGCTAATCCGGGGATCGGACTCGCGCTTGTCCGCCGATGTCCAAATTTATCTTTCTGGCATTCTAGCCTCCACGCGTGGCTTGGAGGCTTGCGTGGTAAAACGGCCAATCGAAAAAAAAGATGAATTCTTTGGATGTTCTCTCCCCCGCATTCATCTCATCTTAAAATTCCCTCCTTGACACCCGATAGGTCAATAGTCATTGCGATGGCCGATGGCGTAGTGAACCTCAGTTAGACGGCATGATAAGGTGTCATTGTCGCTCAGATCTGTCCCGAACAACGAACTGCTTCACTGAGGCTAGGCTCCGTTTGGGTTAGCCCGTAACCTTAGCCCTTACGATTGTGGCCTATCAGAAAGATCCTCGCGATATGACGTCTACTGCCTCCTGCCAAGAAGCATTCGTGTTAATCAAAGATGACAGTGCAATACGCAGCCGGAAGGACTATAGATCAATTAAGTATCTGGCATCCGCTTCTTACTTAGCTGACACGCTACTCGTGAATTGGTGGTTGGAATACATTTCGAGAAATGAGTTACAGAGTGGTTATGTGAACGCAAATTAATCTGAATCGTAGGTTGGTTCTTGTGTCCGCCTCCCAATGAATTTCCCGCAAATGCAGTCGGACCATCTCGTGCGGTCCAACCTGGTTTCTAAATATGTTGAGGACATGCTGGAGTGGTATCTAGCACTTCTAAGTACAACTGACCATCGTCTGACCTGGATGTTCTGTTTTAAGTTTGAGTACGACCATCAATTAAACGAATCCATTTGCCAGTCTTGCGATGGACAATATGAGGTTCTCCGGCCCGAATGCAGCGATCCAAGACAGCCCGTTATTCACTGCGGAGTCATTGCATCAGGCGACCGCGTCATAAAAGACGCGAGGGAGCGGGACTTGATTAGTCGGAGTGTTGAGGGTGCCATCTGTTTCGAAAAGGAGGCAGCAGGACTTATGAACGACTTCCGGTGCATCGTCATCCGCGGAATCTCCGATTATGCGGACTTGCATAAGAACGACGTCTGGCGTTCTTATGCCGCTGCCGCCGCCGCCGCCGCCGCTACTATCGTATCTCAAAGCATTGAATAGTAAGTGGGGTATACGTATGTCTATGGTCACGGCACAAAATCGCTATCTCGCAAACTCTGTTCAATCATCTCGGGCGGCCGCTGCTCTAGAGGCCTTCTACACTGAGGGAAAGCGCCTTGCGATTCAACGCCTTTTTGGCCAGCTACTCCCAATGAGCCACTGTTACATCAACCAGGTAGTGGTGAAAAGCTCGCAGCTTCTAAGCACGGAATATCAATTCTTCTCATTCCTGTCTCGCATTAAAGTGTAAGAAGATGGCGGAGAAGCTGTTACCTTACTAACTCTGTTTTAGCCACGGCCCCAAGAGTCCGGGACACCTTCGAAGCCAAGACGCCATTATGATCGAAGGATGGGCAGGAGTAGGAAAAACAATCCTTTGCGAAGAAAATATTCTTCCGACCATTTCCATTATCGCATGTGGAGGGACCTTTTCGACTGGGTGCTCTGGGTTCCGTTGCGGAACCTGAGACGAAAACCAGAAAACCAGAAACGATGACTGCTTATTACTTGGAGAACCTATTCTACGACGAATATTTCTTACAACAACCGGACGGAAAAGAATTGGCTTATGCTTTGTGGTTGACTATCAACGACCCTTGTGTTCGTGAAGGAGTACTTTTCATACTGGATGGCCTCGACGAGATTTCGCCAGAAAGGGGTACGAGCAGCCCGATGCATGAGTTCGTGTCCCGGCTATTGAAGCAGCCACAAGCCATTATCACGACGAGACCTCGCCTGCCTGGCCATATTGATATCGGGGCCGATGATCTAGAGATGGCGACTATTGAATTCCGTCCCAATCGAGTAATGACTACATTTGCGACAAGGAGATAGTGCCTGTAATCGGCGATTTGAGAGAGAGAGAGAGATTGTGTTGTTTCTGCAGAATCACGCTCGGTTCCAGCTAGACACGTTATGCTACGGTTGGGAACGCGATCTTTGGGGCGACAAACTACAGACAATGACTAGTCTCTGTTGGTTAACTGCCCCGAGGCTTATGATGGTCCATGGAGACCTGACATTTTCCGAATCCAAGACAGCTTCTACGCTTTGCCTCCAAATCCGGGCCGTAAAGAATTATCGAGAATATTCACCCACTGGATACCAGTCGTCTTTCACCAACATATTTGTTCTTTCATTTGCGAGAGCTGCTTGGTCACCGATGGTCCAAGGGGGAGATTCAGGGCTGCCTTTGCGACCGACCAACACAGCAAACAGCTTCTGCAGGCCCTGCGAGATGCGCATGCGGAACTTGGTCTTTTCTCGGACCCAGGCGCCAGGAGAAGATCACGGTTACATTTTGCGGGTTATGCATCAGCGATGGAAGCCGGTACAGAAGACGTATCACATTGCTGGACAGAGTCAGGCGCTTGAGGCGGACCGTTCTCTTTAGATACGGTTTTATGCAAGCTTTTGCGGAAGGTAGGTATTTGACCCGTTTCATTCGGTCGGGGAATTACCAGGAGCTCCTTCGGTGTGATCTCCATTTAGCGCGAAGCATCCCATCCTCAGCTAGATCTCCACCGATGATACTCTTTCGATCGTCATTTCATCAGTCGTCGTCTCTGGGTGAGATGCATGCTTCGATTTCTGGCTTGATGCTTGTAAGCCAGATATACGTGGCTGTGAGTTCCTGCTTTCTATGTACGGCTCTGGGTATATCCATCGCCAGACGGAATACTACGCCACCTTAATTCAATCTAAACAAAGTCGACGCGAATGATACACTACTACTAGCTAGTATTTGATCTGAAATCTCAATAGCAGATGGCTTGGACAGGTTTATGCATCTAGTGATCGCTGATTGGCTGCCCCATTGCTGTCATCAAAATCCCTTGTTTGTCCAGTTTGCACCACCCCTCCTTCCCCCACTTTGTGGAAAATTCCATTGCATGATTCTGGCATGAACAACATGCAGAAATCCGAAGTCTGGATTTATACTACTGTCTCTACTATACTTCAGCCCCGAAACATATGTACATCCTCTCTATCAACTTCACAAACCATCCTGCCCACCATGATCCCCAGAGTAAGCTAGTACACAAACAATTACCGGTGAACCCCACTCAACCTCAAACTCCAGTCAGATCCATGATCATGGATTACATAAAACCCTTCCCCCCCCACAAGCCCAACAATGGCGTCAACCAATCTCGCCCGCCCGAAAACCAACCCAGGTTTGACATCGTAACTCATTGAACCTCAGCCGAACCACCACATACATCCAACCTTAGATATCTAGACTAGACCCCTCTCCGCTCCAGACAAGATGCCCGACAAGGACGCAGGTACCCCGCGGGTCTTCCTCTACCGCCACGGTAAGTTCATCTCCCCGCTGGGCATAAGCCCCCACCCACCCCCCGCGTAGCTCCAGCCCCCCTCCCTATCCCCCAACCAAGACAAAACACTAACAAAACCAGGCGAAACCGAATGGTCCAAAAGCGGCCGGTACACCGGCACCAGCGAGATCGAGCTGACCGCCGACGGGATCAAGCAGGTGACCGCGTCGGGCAAGATCCTCGTGGGCGCGGGCAAGCTGCTGGACCCGGGCCGCAAGCTGGCGCGGGTGTTCGTCAGCCCCCGGCGGCGGGCGGTCCACACCTTCGAGCTGGCCTTCCCCGAGGCCGACAAGCAGGCGCTGCGGGCCGCCGGGAAGGTGCAGGAGAACGACGAGCGGTTGGCCGAGTGGGGGTATGGGTTGTATGAGGGGTTGTTGACGAAGGAGATCCGGGCCCTGCGCAAGGAGCATGGGTTGGATGGAGAGCGGGAGTGGGATATTTGGCGCGATGGGTGTGAGGGGGGAGAGTATGTTCCCTTCCTTGTTTGGTTTTTTTCTGGGGAGGGGGAAAAGGGATGGGGTGCGGTGCTAACGCAGTGCATGCAGGTCGCCGGAGGATGTGACGGCTAGAATCGATAGTCTGATTACCGAGATCCGTGAGCTGCACCGTGGGAATATGCATGGCGAGCAGCCTGCTGATGTGGTGCTTATTGCCCATGGGCATACGCTGCGCGCGTTCACGAAGCGCTGGTTGGGCTATCCCATGGAGTTTCCTTTGTCCATGATGTTGGAGCCGGGTGCGGTTGGGGTGCTTAGGTATGTGTTTATGAGGTGGTGTGGTGGGGATGTTAGCTGACGATTGAGTGCAGCTACCAGCATCATAGCATTGATGAGCCGGCGTTCTTGGTCGGCTATGGGTTCCCCTTGGAGCAGTGAGGGATGCGGCTGCACTGGATCGGTGGTATGCTCACCGATTCACGGAAGAAAGATTCCCAAGTACTTGCGGAAAAATTCTAGGTCATATGGTTCTGGAGAGGAACGCTGGATTTGGGAATCCGGGGCTACGGGTAGACCAAAAGAAAAACAAACTAGATTTCAATGTGACGTGGAAGATGGAGGCGCTTGCCCAAGCGCAAGTTGATGAATCACAACATACAATGCATATCTTGTCCATGGAATACAGCAGACAGATTATATGTGTACGGTCCTCGCTTGAGCAGCATAGGCTGGCTAGGGCCACAATTTGCTCCGTATAATGGACGTATACCAGCCTACATCATGGAATTTAGCCATAAAAAAACAGACTTGATCAAGGACCGAGAAATCTAATCAGGCAAGGTGTACGGAATCAACCTGCAGATATAAGTGATATATTCTGCTGTTCTTTCGACCAGTAGTAGCAGTTACACAACAAAGATGGCACCTAATCTAGCTCAACCAGCATTAAATCTGATCCACAATATTCTGAGTAATGGAAAGTTTACCGCTTCCTAAATAGCTGAAGCTGCTGGTTGCATTAAACAAGCAATCTTCCAACTGAGGTCCAATCTTCAACTCTTCAGCAGTCTTAAAGCACCCCAGTTAGGAAACTCTGAGATAATCTTGAAAGTTTCAGAAGAAACTCGCGAGCTGTTTGGTGCAGGGCATTGCGTAAAAACTGGTATCACTGATGCATCTCCCATTACGTGCTTATATTCAGGATTATTGATAGGATATGTACTAATCGACAGAAGCTTTGTAGCTTTTTTTCTCTTTTTGAGTTGCTGACCTTGCCGTTATCGGCTTGATAACACAAGACCACTGCCGGTGAAAGTATCATTAAGTCTAGACCGATCTCAAAGGAGTCTCAACATTGGATGCGAATTCCAGATGCAAATTCTCAAAATCGGGCAGAAACCTTGTCCCCACACTTCTTTGTTCTAGATATAAGAATACGACTCGGCCATTTACGATTTTGGTCACAAAAGTAAATCTAAATCACCTATGAATCTAAGGATGAGTGGTCCAACCCTGCTAATGATCTATCTTCCGCAATTCCCGTAACCCGACCGATGGGTGCTCTACCCTCCTAGGGTATAGCGGCCACTGCGAAGAAACCCAGATTCTATAAAGAAAAGGTTGCGAGTAGAGTCTGTCAAGAATATTTTTACTGTCGACTCAGATCATTAAGATCTACGACCTTCTTTGTTCATAGGAAATAAAGCCTAGTTCACCAACAAATCTAATTTCTCTTCTATACCCTTCCGTACCAGCTCAGGGAAAAAGAGCAGTCGAGAATAATTCTACACGACATTCAACCATTGGATCACTGACCTGGCGACCGCCAGATCGCCCTACCTAACCGTCTACAGGCGATGACAACCAGAAGTCATTGCCTGTGCACCATGTGTTACTGGTTCAATTCTTTTTCATTTTCCTTAGTGGCAAGCAAGCGAGGAACGCAAATAAAATCGCCGAAGCCTGAGTATGACCTCACTATGCAGTCAGACACTAAGTTGACAACAGGAATCCTATATAAGCTGCTGTTAGATTGCTAATGTGAAAGTGACTTCTCAGGATACAACTCATTTACAATGCCAATGCTGATATGATACATTTGGGAATCCCAAAGGGCCATTTACTTTCGTAAAGTCGCTGGCAAATCCAGGCAGCTGTCTAAACGCATAGGAGTTCTTTTACTGTGCCTAGTTGATACCTCGCAATGACTCCCGTCTTTGGGATTTTAATCGGATTCTGGGTAGGTAGACCAACTACAAGTTTGCCCCCATTAGCTGACAGCGTGGATGTCGTGGAAGCTTCTGAGCTTCAGCACCGCAACTGAACAGCAGGGAGTATATGATGGAGGGGATGAATGCATCGAGGCACCTGGCCTATGTTCCCTCATAAACCCCAGCAATGCATCTGTAGAGTGAGTATACAATTTCTTGGGATATCGTTCAATACTCGGTCCTAATCATTATTCCCAGTATTGTCGCTGTACATGGGATGGATGGACACTGGAAAAATAGTTGGGTGGCTCAGAACGGTGCCTTTTGGTTACATGACTTCCTTCCCAGTTTCACTCATAACGCAAGAATCCTATCCTTCAGCTATGAAGGAAACGCTAAAGCCACAGGTGTTTTCCCTGCCCAAATCCCAGATCATGGGCGGAGTCTAGTCAGTCGATTAGCTGACTTGAGGAGAGACACGGAGGTAGTAGTTTGAGATGCTTCATGTTGACTGCAAATTTAACGCATTGATATTCAGACCGCCGATAGACCGATAATCTTTATTGGGCATAGTCTTGGGGGTCTTGTCATAAAGGCTGTGAGTCATTTCTTGTTTTTCATTTCATGACGCGCTCATTAGAGCTAAATAGTATTCATAATAGGCTTTGACGTACGCCGATAGGGCGCGCAGCGGGCACCTTGAGCACCACAAGGCTGTGAAGGATTCCACATACGGTGTTCTGTACATGGGAACCCCGCACCAAGGCGCTGACAAAATATCTCTTCTGAAAGTTATAGTGAGAATAACGGCTCTTTATGAGGGAAAACATGCAGACGACAAATTACTAGACGATCTAAGAAGTTTTTCACCATTTCTTGAGGAACTCCAAGATACCTACAACGCAATTAGTGGGGACTTTGAAACGACATTCTTCTATGAGACTCTTCCAACGCCTGTTCATTCTCTAGGACCTCGTCTGATGGTATGACTTCCAGCTCAATCCATTCACGGTTGTTGACTATCTTCATAGATGGTTCCAAAGAACTCTGCAATTATTCCAGGAGCTGTCAACGCGGAATCTATTCGGTTCGATGCCGATCATTTGACAATCGTCAAATATGACTCGATCGAAAATGCCAAGATGCAGATCATAGGTCAACGACTCCGGATTCTAGTAAACTCAGCCAACCAAGCGCCTAAAAGATCATCAACGACATCAGCCCATTGTGCTGGTCTTGCACTCCAAGAAGGCCCGACTAATATAGGTATAATACCAATGGAGTTCCGAGTTGGCCTCGAACTCCCCCAGATACGGAATCCTAGCTTCACTGGAAGGGAGTATATTCTCAAAAATATGTCTGAATTGCTGCACAGCGATGCAAATGATGGTCAACAGTCATTAGTCCTGTTCAATCTAGGAGGCGTGGGGAAAACACAGATCGCCCTTGAGTTTGCCTATCGGGCCGAACATAATTTTAGCTCCACGTTCTGGATTGATGGCTCGACTCAAGAGACAGTATTTTATAGCATTCGCGATATCTTGAAGTCGATAACAAGCCATTACAGAGCAAATGGACTTGAGACCAATAATCCACGCTTTCGAACACTAGAGGAGGTACTCAGCTCACCAGGAGACAAAGACTGGAGATACGGCAGCGGCTACGAATATAGCAGATTCGAACGCCTGAGGGATGCCTTTCGCCAGTGGTTATCCTATAGCGAGAATAGAAACTGGCTGGTGATACTAGACAACGTCAATGATCTTGAATCATATAACTTTCGCCAGTTGTTGCCAGTGAAACCCTGGGGCTCGGTGCTAATCACAACTACAAGAACTGACCTAACTGTCACCTGGAAATCAGTTGAAGTGCTGGAGATGGATGAGTCCGAGTGCGTGGACCTCTTAAGGAAGACATCAGGCTTAGCTCTGGAGTCCAAGAGCGAAGGTGGGGCTGTATGCATGAACTTAATACGGAGCAATATACTCACGCTTTCTTAGAGTTGCAGTCTGCGAAGATCCTTACCAACCTTCTCGGGTACCTTCCATTGGCCATCGCGCAAGCCGGGTCATACCTAAAAGTCAATAGAAATGAGACAGTTGAGCACTATTTGGATCTGATGAAAGAGAACCCAATGGGACTGCTTGGCTGGATTCCTCGAGGCGCGGCTTGGGGATACAGGAATGACACGGTTTTGACTACATGGGAAATCTCCTACCGCGCAATAAATCGGCAAGATCCGAATGCCCAGAAAATATTGCACTTTTGCGGATTTCTCGCCCGAAAAAACCTGAATAAAGCTATTCTCCAGGCTTTGTTAATTGAGAAAGGTCATATGTTCCACCCGACAAGTTCTGACTGCAGCTAATTTCCACAGATAATGCCTTACATGAGTCAATACAGACATTACTGTCATATTCTTTCCTCAAGCGTACTGGCTATGGCGATCGAATGTTCATGGTCCCTCTCGTCCACTTATGGGCTCGCGAGCGACTAGGGAAGAAGAAAAAAGCATTCGCACATGAGGTCCTGGATAAGCTATATAGAACCTCTCTTTCTACATCCACTGAAACACAGAATTCCCAGCTCGAGCCTCACGTGGACTTTCTTTTCGGCTATCATGCCTCGAATTCGAAATGCAATTCAGCTCCCGAATCGTTACTAGAACTCTCGCGGGTAAATATGCCTTCTTCGTGGATACAAACCTCGGCGAACTCCCTGTACGGGTGGTGCTTGTTTTTATGGGGTAGAGCTGAGGAAACGCTCCGGTTTTTAGAAACCCGAGCGCTTGCTCCAGGGACCGCTTCTATTCCAGACTGGGAAAAGTTTTATCGCCTAAGGAACTACGTGCCATCCGACACCCGTATGATATGCTCCGATGGAGCCTATGTCATGCACTATGTACAGTCCCTCATAAACACCCTCGTGTACTGCAAATCATCGGGGATTACGCATTCGCATTGGTGCGTGATCCTGAGCTCTCGCAGTCATGGTACCGCTGGCTTTTGAACTCGCGCAATCAAGTCTCGGGAAGGAATCATCCACGGACTTCCGGTGCCCTGCTGGGTATCGGCATCACTAGCCCTTCTTGCAATGAATCAATCACCTGTACCAGAGCAGCTGCGCGATCAAGGGAGAGAATAGAGGGGTTGCAAAGTTTCTACACCAGGAACGCAATTCTTTGGGTTCAAAGGTGCTATGAAGCTTGCGTGGGTAGGGACGGTATTACGCTCGATCAGCAGTTGGACTGGAACATGGATATGTTTGCAGCGTACACCCAGCTTAATACGCCAATTGATTCCGTGCTTTTGGTCATTCACCCTCCTCCATGCATACTTTTGAGAATGGTGGACCGCTTCCTATACACCTCTCCAGAAACAGCGCGAGAGTTTTATCGAAAACTCTTGGTGAGCCACAGATCATCTTGGACATTGCGACCAGTGACGCCTGGCCAAGCAATGTCTTACATTCTAGACCATCACGACTCCCTGTACCAGTCCCATTCAGAAAGAGATGAGCTTCTAGATTATCTGAAGACTTACTGGACTGTGCTTCAACACCAAAAGCAGGCACTACAAGCTCATCTACCAGGATTGGAATCATGCTTTCTAAGTAGGATGCACACCAGGGTGGCTCTTCTGATGACAATTATTTATGCATCCAACAATGAAACAGATCTTGCCCAGAGGTGGCTGGGTAAGATTCTGGAACCGGACCTGGTAACAGACTTGAATTCGGTTAAACTGCGAGGCGAAGCAAGATGGTACGACACGAGCTCATGCGGGGGCTATTACCACCGACAAGTCGTGAAGACTTATGATTACTATGGCCTGGCCTTGGATGATATGGCCCTTGGTCTCTGTGGGATTCATTCTAACATTTCACAACTACACTGGGACGAATGGCGGATGGCTTCCGTTATGCTAGTCTGGAAACACCTGGCAGGTTTAGAGGGTGATCCTCACAGTGCTGTTGAATGGTACCTACAGGATGCTTGGACCTGTTCAGTTGCTTGGGCCAATGCAGCGGATGAACTTTTCGGGCAATGGGCAAAACATTCTGACGCATGTCCCGGTTCATTCCTACTTGGAGATCTTAAAAACACCATTGACTATTTTTTCGGAGGATGAATCAACTTCTTGCTTTGCGGATGAACGAAACTTATTCATGTGCCGTGCAAATCTCCCCGGTCCTGACGTACAAAGCCCAGCTTTTTCAAACTCGCTCCTCATTGCGATGAAACTTTTGTTTCGGCTTTTGCTTCGGCTTTTTCCTTGTGCCACTGTTGAAAAACTTAACCCCCCGAATCATATGCGATGTTGTACCTTTCAGCATTGGATAAAGCTTCGGAAAGTCTTGTCCTTGGAGATGCCTAACACATATCTGTACAGAAATTTCACACTGCTTCTTGAGAAAGTCGTGAAAAAAGAGAAAAAAATCAATCACAGCTTGCCTCTGTCAAAGTGTTGTCAGTCTGTTTCCTTGTGTATGTTATAGTAACACTAACCTGGATTGCTTGACCAGGAGGGATATCGCAATAGCCGCTGCCGCAATACTAGTTGCGACGGCAGTCCACCCCACAGCCTCAGTATAGGCAACAAGGCCTAGAGATAGAAAGAGGAATGCTCCAATGACAAGAATTTGTAGCATGAGTGAGACAGCTAAACCAAATTTGTTCCATCTTCTGCGCCAATTTCCTGTCCAATTGGCATTCCTCTCCTGCTCGAGGATGAGAACACTCGACGAGAATCCCGCCACACCCAGTGCAGCGATGAAAAGGAGCCATGCTATGGCCACAAAAACCCTCACTGTTTGCATAGAAAAGTACGCATGAGGGTTTAGTTGTCTTGGGTCCTGCAACTGGCCGATAATGGTGGCAAAAATGGATGCACCAAAGATCGATATGCCAACAATGAACGAAAGAAAAGTTTGGAAAGATTGAACCGTCACCAAAATATCGGCACTAGAATCCGCCTGCCGAACTGGCAACGCATTTTGAACATGGTCGGAGTTGCTCCCTGCGTGTCCTAAGCCTGCAGCTCTACACTCCGGGCGGACCTTCGCGGCCGCCGAAGTAGACGGTGACGGAGAGGGAGTTGGCACACATGCTAAGTGGTCGACATTTTGTGACTGCATGTTCTCATTCCCATGTAATCTGAATGACTATGGATAGTTATTGGGGAGTTCAACCATGTCGGTGCAACAGGCTTGGGGTCATCAACTATATACTCGTTCTTCCAGGAAGACCAGCCATGTGACCACTTACCAAGAAAATCAAGTAGTTCAAAGATTTTTGGTATTCGCCGCCTATGAGACTCTATCACGATCGTTGGGCTATGTTGCATCCATGGGCAGGAATACTTAGGGGCATGCTCAAAATGTGATTGAATTTTGGACATGCTGAAAGTTACGCAAGTATGACAGGACGTCCAGGGTATTGTTTTCATGATAGAAATTCGGAAAGTAGATAGAATGGGGCGCTTGATGATCGGATGACAGAAGCCCTACGAAAAAAATAGAAATAACATAATCAGTTTAACCGTACGCGGTATGAATAATCTTGTCTAAATTAGGACAACCGTCAAGGAAATTAGACTCTGCATTTGTTTGGTATAACAGGTCCAGGCCCTCGTGTTCGAATTCAAGCTAAAATATACTATCTATACGATACCAAACTTTAGATTGATGTCAAAGAGGCGAGTCTCTTTGTTTGATTCCGATGTCAATGAGAAGTACTGTAAGAATGGCAATGTAGGTGAACGGCGAGTTAGCTATGTTTGATGACTTCTGGAATGTATACGTGTGTATGACAACACAGTTGGTCAAAAGTCAGGACAGTGGGTAATGGAAAATTGTAGGACTAGATTAGATACTTAGTACCTAGTAGGCCTATGAATGATCCAATCCTGGTCCTAACCAAGAAGACCAGGAGCACTTTAGTAGAGTACCATAGAAACAGAATAAATCTAGCTATCTAGTTAGCTACTTGGAGATCTAGACATAGCAGACTGGACTCGAAAACCCGGGAACTACTTACAATCTGTCCGGTGAGTGACTGTTCCATGTGTGGCTCATCTGGTCGAATAATTCGAATTCGCGATCTTTTCCGGCTCATAGGATTACAAGTGCTTTTTCGGATTCGCTATCACGGGCTGATGTTCAGTAAAGTTTGTCTCATACTATGGTTCAGCCCAGATCACATGGTAACGGGTAACCGTGTCAAATACAAGATGATCCGCCCAGAGATTAGGTCCTTGTCTCTTTCGAATCATGATGTCCTTGATGGTATTCAGCCGTGGTAATATCTTCATTGCTTAAGATACATATGAGGGACCACCCACCTGTGCCCAGGTTGATATTGCCTCTGGCAAGGATTAGTACTAATGGAGATGAGCGCTGATTCTTTGCCTACATTTCTGTACTGATTCCTTACCTAGTCGACGGGCTGTCAACCCCGACAAGCAGTCTACAATTTCTGAATAAAAAGTGTCAGTACTATTACGAGCCACTCTTCTCGTTATATGACTTAAAATATGGGCGATCTTCCGATAGTGGAACAGTGTGGGTTGTTCCCCTTTCACCCTGAGAGTGCGGAAAGCTTTGTCGATATTATTGCGGTTCACGGACTTGATGGTCATTACAAAGACTCCTGGACTTGGACACCATCAAAACCTAATAGTGGCACGCCGTGCAATTGGCTCAAAGATTTATTGCCCGCTGATATTCCCAAGGCGAGGATTTTGTCATTCGGATACAACTCTGCGGTAACAATTGGCAATATCAGCACCTTCGGGGAGCAGCTTCTTCAGCGTGTATGTCGCGAACGTCACTCAAAACGGCAAAGACGTCGCCCAATAATTTTTGTTTGCCACAGCCTTGGTGGCATCATTGTCAAAAAGGTGAGCAGCTCTTCACTAGTCTTTTGATTGACCTACTGAGGTCTATCCGTACATGTTTTGAGCATATTTGTGTGCTGACATTTATAGGCAATTATGTATGCCAATGAGCGACGAGATAAACGGGCTTCTTGTGCAGAGTTTCTCGACAGCGTAATAGGCATCCTCTTCATGGGGACACCACACAGAGGATCAGAAGTCGCTTCATTAGGCTCGATTTGTGCAGAAATGCTGCAGGCTGTATCCTTGGGCAAAAGAACCAATACCACTCTTCTCAAACAGTTGAGAGAAGGATCTCAGGTGCTCCAAGAAATTTCAAACGCTTTTGCTTTTCTCGGGGCAGATATCCATATTTACACACTAATTGAGAGCGACAGTATGAACTACTTACGGGACGTAGTAAGTCCAAAAGTTAAAATACATGAACCCAAGGCAATCCTCATTAACATTAGTATACAGATTGTCACCCAAGGTTCAGCAAGACTCAACATCTCCAACGAGGATGTTTTTATTCTTGATGGAAATCATTCAACCATGTGCAAATTTCCCGGCAGAACTGAGAATTACAGGACTGTCTTAGGGATTATTCGAGAACTACTTGAAGAGATAGTTGTTGGTAGGTAGCATACAGAATGTGCAATAGAGCGTTCGCTGGCCTCAATTAGTGAAGGTACAGCTTACTGAGTTCACAGGCTGATTCAAGAAATATTTAGGACTACCACAACCAGGGATTTACCGCCTCTCCATTACTGACGAAGAGACCCTAACAGTTGTGAATGACCACGGAGATGTGAAACTAAGACCTAGAAATGACGAAGACGCGCAGAAATGGAGGGTCGAAAGAGACGAAGAGGGATGTTTTAGTTTTCGGAACTTGCATAACGGGGGATTGCTGGGGGTCAATGGGGGTGGCTGGGTTGGAGCTGGTATGTATGAGCTCGGAGGATGGGAAAAGTTCTTTTTGGTTCCTGTCAGGCACGGATTTCGATTTCTAGTTTCTCATTGGTGGGGGTGGTCGCCTCAAAGACTACCCCTTCTGCAGAATCAGGATTACCTCGAAGTGCCACGTTTTATCGACCTCGATGGCAGTCATGCTATTATTACTTTTACCTATCTAAGCTGTTGACGCGGAATTGTAATTTGCAAACAATGCCAACATGGGATTTGGCCTAATGAGATTAATCGTCGTTTAAAGAATCCTACTCATCAGATTACCCACGCCCAAGCCAAAGAAATTCAGGACCAAGACGAACCGATTCTGTATTGTCTTGCTAGGATCATATTAGGATATATTATCTTTACCTTCCCAGAGCGCACTGACTACAATATCGCCTAGGCGAATATTATGTCTTTCGCTTGGCACACCGCCACTGATACCAACCAGTAACCCAATTCGGATAATAGAGTGCTATTCTATTATTCGTGGCTACTGTAGCCGCGGGAGCGGTTCTGTATTCACTATCAGACAAAACAGCAATAATAATATTATGATTTCCAATTCTGTTAAGGGTATAATTATTTGTATCAACCGACGATACAGAGTCCAGTGCCGCGGCGTATTCTGTGACTATGGCGCAGATCCAGCCGATGGTGTATTCCGTAGATTTCTTAGAAGAACGGATCGAATGCTGGGGAGTAGTTGTACTGTACCTCGGAAGCACATGCTCCAACCCATCCGCAATGATGCGATCATCCCCTGGCACAATCAACAAGACCACCAACTGCATTAGGGTTGTCCCGAGGCACAAGTAAGCAAGCACAAGCCTTTAATCTCTATCCACCCGGCCAACATGCGGGGTGGGGATCTAATCACATCTGTCACATATTAGCTCGTCCGGATCGGGCAATCCGCGATGCCAATCATCAGGGTCCCTACGCGGGGGCCCTGCGATCGGCAATAGGCAAAGACGGGAAAGGTACCCGTTCGAGAAGATGAGAGACGAGGGTTCCGGTTCTGCATGAGGTGCTGCTCGGGTGAAAGTGGCAATTCATGTCCGAAGTGGTGGGTTTCTGCTCGAGCTGAGGCACTGGGATGCGAACCCTTGAAAGATCCCTGTCTGTCGATAAAAGAGGGGTATAATACATGAGCTAGACGATGACACCATTGCCCTAAATATAAGGGTCTTGACAACTTCGTTCGTGCGTGTGAAGCACACTTCACGCTTCACGCTTCACATCCTCTACTCTTCCCACCTCAAGTGCAACCCTCCACAAAAAGGCCAGCACCACCAACCAACATGCTGAAACTCACCCTCTCCATCGTCCTCCTCCTCACCCTCCTCCTCTCCCCCCTCTTGGCCACCGCAACCCCAGCCTCCTCGCAACCTCAGCTCACCAAACGCGACGCCTCGTCCGTCCTGGCCGCCGTAACCACCATTTCCACGCAACTCACCACTCTAAACACGACGGTGAGCGCCTACCCCGGCGGCCTCGAGGGCTCGCTCAGCGCCCTGCACATCCAAGCCGAGACCATCCAGCTGGAAGTCGACCTGAAGGCGGCAATCGTGACCGCCAAGCGATCGGCCAATTTCTCCGACGCGGAGTCCCTGAGCGTGGCGCAGGCGTTCGTCGCGCTCGAGCCCACCATCGCATCCACACTCGCCAACCTGGTCGCCAAGAAGTCCGAGTTCGATGACGGGCTGCTGGGCGTGGCGTCGCTGAGCTTCCTGGTAGAGTGGGATCTCGAGCAGTTGAGTTTCTTGTCGAGTCAGTTGGGCAAGGCCGTGCAGGAGAAGTTGTCGGCGACGTATGCGGCGTTGGCGCCGTTGGTGTTGGATCAGATTGCCGCGGCGTTTGCGAGTGCGATCCAGGCGTATAAGTAGGTGGGAGTCGTGGGTGGAGCGCGTGGGCGGGGGCTTTTCTTGGGGGGGCGGTGGTTGTTTGCTGTGGGCTTGTGCGGCGCGCTTCAAGATATAAGAGATATGCAGATGCATGATACCAAACTCATCGCAGGCTGAGGTTTCTACGCTGGATAGCTACTACGAACCGTTGTCCGAGAAAACTGATTACAATCATGCTAATCAACCGAGCAGAAAATTGCTGCATTAGGTACATATCGTATTTGACCTATATAGTTCATTTCATTAAGCAACACCTCATTTCCCTAACAATGGTTTATGTTTATCATGCACAGAACGGCCTACTTCCCAAACTCCTGCCTCTCTAAAAAAAACGCCCCTCTAATTGCGCAGCCCATTGGGGTATCCGTTGGCCGCGATCTGACGGAACCCGTTCATCACGCCGTCGCTGAACACGTTCTTCTTCTCGTCGACCACGCCATTGATCCTCTTCCCATCGGCGACAACACCATTGGTTTTCTTCTCGCCGTCGACCATCTTCTGCTGCGCGTGAATCTGCGGATCCACCGGCTGGTTATTGATCGTATAGCCCGTGTCACTGGCGTCAACGTAGGCCTCGATCCCCGCCCCCTGCCGCGGGTACTCCTTCATCAACTCCTTGTGCCGACGCAGCGCGGCGAACATCTCCTCGTTGGTGACGTCGTTCAGAAACTTGCAGCTGCCCAGCGGGCAGGGCACGGCGGCGCGCAGCAAGCCGTCCCGCGTCTTGAGGATCGCCTGCGTGGCTTTGTCGAGGATCTCCTCGTTGAAGAGATCGTGGTCCATGGACAGCCCCGCGCGGGAGAACAGGTTCAGCAATCTCCGGTGCTCGGCGTCGCTGAGCAGACCCCGGATGTTGGCCAATGTGGCCGAGTAGGCCATGTCGATAGAGATGGCGTGTCCGTGGCGAAGGGGGACGGGAGGTGCCAGCTGCAAGAGCACAATGTTAGTCAAACACTCTCTTCCTGCGAGCTTCGCCAGGCTTCAAGGAGATTCTCACCTCGTGTAATGGCGACCAAGTGTGCCCGTACGCAATGACCCGGTCAAGCCCGATCTCATGCAAGTTGGGCGACTCGAGCTTCAGCATCTCGAAGATGCCGTTGCGGTTGATCTCGTCGGCGGCCTTGCGCACCTCGCCCGTCTCGTCCTGCGACCGCCCGAACTTGGTCGCTATCAGCCGCTCGCAGAACTCGTCCAGCAAATCGAACGTGCGCAGGTGCGCACAGCTCGAGATCTTGATCAGCTCCGCGAACCCGTTGCGCACCTGCGCCTCGGGCAGCGTGCGCAGGAATCCGAAGTCCAGGAAGGTATGCATCGGCGCGTGGTAGGCGCCCAACCGGTTTTTGTAGTTGCCGTAGTTGACGGCCACCTTGATGCTGACGCTGGCATCGATGAGGCCGATCACCGTGGTGGGGATGCGGACGTAGTTCGTGTTGCGGCGGTAGGCGGCACAGGCGAATCTGTATGGGCGCATTAGCCATTAGGTCCTGTTTGTGAGTTGGTGGTGATTCTTACCCGGCAACATCGGTGACTAATCCTCCACCCTGTTGATCGTCAATAAGTAACTGCGTTATAATGTCCAAAATGTGGGATCGAACATACCACAACCAATACAGGCTCCTTTCGGATGATCCCGAAGTCGGTCATCGAGTCGACAATCTCAGTAAAAGTCTCCAATGACTTGGCCTTCTCGCCAATCATGGTCTGGTGGATCTTCAGCTCCAGACCGTGGTGGTCAAAGTACTTCTGCATCTGCTCCCCGTAGAGATCGTAGATGTTCTTGTCCATGATGGCCAAGCAACGACCCCAGCGCTCATAGAGGCCGGCCAACTGAGTGTTCTGGGGATCGAACACGCCATCGAGGAAGGTGAAATCGTACTCGATCTTCTCGTAGCCCTCGACGTGGAAGCCGTTCTTGGTCTCGGAGACCGTAGCCTTGAGGTCGGACATGGTTGCAGCAGTGTTGAATGAAGCACAACCGAGAAAGAGGAGTTGAGAGAAGTTGATTAATGTCCAGAAATTGACACGGAGGTTCTGGGATATATAACGATTGGTTACCTGCCACTCAGCTTGCCGGATGGAACACGTTGTCCTCGGACTGGCCCTCTGCTTGCGACCAGACCACGATCACGTCAACCGAGCGTACCAACCTCGAACAGACACCAAATCCAATGAGGGAGCATCGATCGATCGGGTTCACTCGGGGGATGGGACTGTTCGGACCAAGTCAAGCTTGGAGTCTCATAGGTATGCATGACATCGTCGTTGAAAAGCGGGCCCGCTAAGCCAATTGCCGCAAGAGTTGACGCCGCTTCCGGCCTTAGCGTCCGCTTCTGCAGCGATAAGGTTACACCACCAGGGGGGACCTGTAGATCTAACCTTGATAAGCTTGATGATTTCCGGGAGTCATTGACGACAACAGAGTCAATGTAATTCCCCTCACGTCAAGACTTGGTAACCACGATCGGGAGGGCTGATCGATTGATCGGGGCCCATGCCGATCCCCCCTCCCCCCTCCGCCCTGCTTTCTACCACCTCCCCCCTCTCTCACCCCGCCCGGGGCAGATTCCGGCCACCGGAGGAGAGCCTGGAATGTCCGGCTTTTACCCCTTGCAGTCTCCCGGCGACAGTCCATGACCCGAGGTTCCCTGGTTTTCCCTGTTTGCGGACTGAGACCCTGCCCCCATCCGGCTGGCTTGGCAATTTTCTCCTTGGTTGCAACGTGCACAGCACACTAAGTTTATCCCGTTGATTACAACACCATCGACAGCTTGGATCCAGATGTTGTGGAGAGATTTCCCATATAGGCGCACGATCACCGGGTACAATCATGGCTCATCAAGACACCGCGAAAATGACTAAATTTGACCAGGCCAAAGCATACGCACCGCAGGAGGAGGGAACGGGGTTCTTCGACGACGGTCGCGAGATCGAGCTCCTCCATTTTGTGTACTCGCACCCAGACCTGGAAAACATTCGCGGCTCCCCGGAGAAGGTGCTCCAGGCGATCGACGAGTATGGGCGCACGAAGAAGTACCTCATGAACGTGGGAGAGGATAAGGGGCGAATTGTTTGCGATCTCATCGCAGAGGTCAAGCCTAAAGTCATGGTATGTCGATGGTGCGACCGGCAGCGAGAATTAATTGTACTGATTTTTGCACAGGTTGAACTCGGTGGTTATGTTGGCTACTCCTGCGTGCTGTTCGGCAACGCAGTGCGGAAAGCCGGGGGCCAACGATACTACAGTCTGGAAATGAACCCAGAGTTTGCGGCGGTGATCATGTCGCTGGTTGATCTGGCTGGTCTCTCGGACGTGGTGAAAGTGGTCGTCGGCTCCAGCGATGCCTCCATCGCGCGCCTGCACGCCCAGGGTCTGCTCAGACACATCGATTTGATGTTCTTGGATCACTACAAGCCGGCATACACGACAGATTTGAAGCTGTGCGAGGAGCTGAAGCTAATCACCCCGGGCTCTGTCCTGGCTGCTGACAATGTCATCAAGCCTGGAAATCCACCGTACCTGGAGTACGTCCGGGACAGTGTGGAGGAGAAGAGGCGGAAATTGGGAGCGGCGGTCAAGAGCGAGAGTCTCCCAGGAAAGACCGTGAATCAATATCAGAAGAGGTATGGGGAGATGAAGTTCAACCAGAGTCCCGGCAATCCGGATCTGGTATACGAGAGCCGGTTGGTCCACAGTTTTGAGCCCACTGGTGTGCCGGTAAGACCACATTTTCCCAAATTGAGGACCATGCACTGATGTCGGTATAGGACGGTGTGGAGATTACACGATGCGTAGGCGAAGAAAAGCAATAGTTCACGTACTGCAATAGGAATGAAAGCGATGTTCAGTGCGTGTTCTGTGTCTTCCGGAGATATTATCCGTAGGGTCCCTAAATACCTCGCGTTGCACCGGTCGCGGCCATCGAACAGCCATCGAATTCATAAGAGTCACGATGACGTTATGTTTATGTTCCGTAGCAAGGTCTGCTGAGTGTATCCCAAGTAGTAGAAGAAAGTATATGAAGGAACCCCATCCGCTACCCTCGCATCGAGTCCTCTTCCGCACGCGGCCAACCTGCCTAGCCACCTTCCCACTATGGCGATTTTCTACCGCCACGAGCCGAAGAACATCCTCCTCATCCTCCTCAGTGTTCTTTGCCTCCCGATTTCTGCGACTATCACTCTTGCTTCTTTTCTCTATTTTTACCTCTGTACAGATGAAGCCACGCGGCCACAATTACACACGACCTCCCGCCGCAAAACCATTCTCGTGACGGGGATATCCATGACCAAGGGTCTGACGATCGCCCGTCTTCTCGCAAAGCACACCCCGCACCGCATCATCGCCGCCGACACGGAACCCATCCCATTCACGTCGCCAGGCCGCTTTTCCCGAGCGATCGCTCAGTTCTACCGTCTGAGCTCACCACAAGGCGCGAATACGAAGCCATACGTTGACTCGCTGCTGGATCTGATCAGAAGAGAGAACGTGCACCTATGGATCAGCTGCAGCAGCGTCCTCGGCGCGATCGAAGATGGCGAAGTCATGCGATCGGCGCAGAAGGAAAGGGGGAAGCAATTTCACGCGGTGCAGTTCGACAGTGACGTGGTAAACAAGTTGCACGAGAAGGACGCCTTTATCGAGTACATCCAGAGCATCGGACTGCTGGTCCCGGAGTCCCATCGCTGTACATCCGCCGCGCAGGTCGAGGACATTCTCACCAAGTCCACCTCACGCAACGGCACCGAGAAGCCCAAGGGAGGGAGCACGAGGTTCATCCTGAAACCGATCGGGGTCGACGACAAGGCCAGAGCCCAGATGATGACGCTGCTCCCCTTGTCCGCGGGACCCAAGGCCACCGCTTCCTACCTGTCGATGCTGAACATCTCCCCGTCCAACCCTTACATCCTCCAGCAGTACATCACCGGCCCAGAGTACTGCACACACTCCCTCGTCGTCCGCGGAGAGGTCAAGGCCTTCGTCTCCTGTCCCTCCTCCGACCTGCTGATGCACTACGCCCCGCTCCCTGTGGAGTCGCCCCTGAACACGAAGATGCTCGAATTCACCAAGCGCGTCGCGGAGGAGGGCGGCGAGGAATTTACGGGACATCTGAGCTTCGATTTCCTGGTCGAGGGTGAAGGGCAGAATGCAAAACTCTACCCGATTGAATGTAACCCACGTGCGCACACGGCAGTGGTCCTTTTCCGGGAGACGCCAGCCATGGCGGAGGCGTACCTGTCCTGCTTCGAGTCGGAGCTGAGCCTGCGTAAGCCCCTGGTGGTGCCGGCGAAGCCCACGCGTAGCTACTACTGGATCGGGCATGATCTTGTTACTCTCCTGCTCATTCCAGCCCTCACTCTTTTTTCGGGAGAGGGAAGTGTGGAAGAGGTCAAGAGTGGGCTGGAGACGCTGTGGCAGCATCTCGTGCACTGGCGGGATGGGACCTACACGGCCTGGGACCCGGTGCCGTTCTTCATGCTGTATCATGTGTATTGGCCGAGTCGGTTCTTGGAATCATTGGTAAGGGGGAAGGAGTGGAGTCGAATAAATGTTAGCACGACGAAGATGTTTGCTTGCTAGTCATGATGGTGCATTTTCAGGCGTCTCTTCGGATTCGCATCGAGTTTCTCGTGACATTCGTTTGATTCGTTCGCCCGAGAGCTCTCTTGTAAGGTAGAGATCTTCCGGAGGTAGTTGAAATACACATTGGAGTTATTCTGGAAGCTGCTCGCGCAACCAGAATGAGCTTGTCATACCCATATTCTAAATGGCGAACCTCTAGTGCAGGTAGTCCCGTGTACCATCGGTTCGACGGCGCCCTCCCTCCCGCACGATGCTGAACATCAGTTCAAGTTTGACTGTGATCAGAATGTAGACTGATTGCCCTTCTCATGCTGCAGAGTATGCGGTCTTTATAGCAGGCGAGCGTTTAGATAAGAAAATAGAAAGCAAGTATACAGTCTTCCCTAAGCATTGCGCCCGCAGACAGTCAATCCTGGGACGCTCGGTCGCGTCAATGCTTGGCTCTGTGACCGTCTTTTGGTGCCCGTTAGGACCCACCAGTACACAATTAACCAGGTAGAATCCTAATCCCATCTAGATTAGAAGTGGGTTACCAGCCCATCGGATCTGGCATGTCGGCGACTATCCTCTCCAGGATCGTCTCTCTCGATACCTTGATTCCTCGATTGGTAGACGTCGGACGTGAAGGTACACGGACTCCAGGGGGTTGTGGCGCTACAATCTGGCGATGAAAAAGACATCACTGACGTATACCTTCAGAGAGGGACGTAGAAACCTTGACTCCCTGGGTCTTTAGACACACCAAGATTGCACAGGAAGACTGCTTAGACAGCTAGCCCGACGAGGACCTGACGTCGTCGATGCTGTTCGACGAACTCTTCTCTTACCATTCGACCATCCGATCCCGCTCTACCTGCAGGATGAAAGAAGAATCGAGAGTGCCCTAAACCCGAGTGCGGGTATCACGTTGGCCCTGAAGAACTGGGAAGTCAAGGATGCACACGATCACCTAGCATTCACCCGGTCTCAAGGCATAGTTCTGAGGATGTTGATGAAGACCGTGTATGCGAGCCTGGACGGCGTGCGCAAGCAAGACCCCGAAGTCCGGTGAGCAGCTCGTGAGATGTATAGATGGATGGGATCTCATTTTCCTGATCCCTGCGACCGACCGCAAAGGTTCTCGACTTACGCCTCGAAAATGAGATACGTGATTGGCGGTACACAGTACAGCGCCAGGTCGGAGGGCGAGGTTACTGTCGGTCCTCGGTGGAGGAGTCTCCCGATCATCTCTTATACTGGCGTATGTGACTTTAACCACTCCTACCTGATAAGGGCTGGTGATGATCTAAGCTTGTGGAGCAGGGGTGCATTGGCCAAACATGGGATGACTTTCTTCGGGAGACTCTCAGTGTGATGCTCGGTCAGCTCGCGCAGAACCTTGGTGTGGGGAAGGATGATAGGCTGTCGGAGGAACAGGAAGTCTATCTTGTTGGGTTTTATGGTTACGGTATTCATATTGCTCGTGGGCTTTTTACGAGGGATGCTGTGAGCAGGGTTCATTCGCGAGGTTGCTCTGGGGATGAAAATTTTGAGGTGGAGTTCACACAGAGTTACAGTCTTTGTCAGAAGCAGGAGGTCTATCCTTTCTCTTGATATATGAAGACTATCTCAGCTATGTACACGGTTTATACTTCATTATCTCCGAACCTTATACAAAGGACTCTCAGCATTGCTTTCTCCCCTTGTAAGGTTGATAGCCACGAGACATCCAACCCTTCTTGGGTGGATCATGTTGCCTCAGGCACACGCGAGTCCAAATCCCTGATCGCTCCCAGGTGCCATGGTCTCCACACCCCTACGGGGCGTTTTCATGAAAAAGGATCCAATATTCAATGCACTGAACTTGGATCTGATTCTGCAGGTGCTCAACACCTGGTTGTGATGGTCGACTCGCCACCTTGAGCTGTCCTACCGGCTGGTATCCGGTCATGGAGGGCATTTTGTAGTCTGATGTCGGACGCCCATCACCGGGCTTTCTGATTCGCGGTTTCAATCTCGTGGTGACCTCGTGTGATACGAGTGAGTGGTGAGTAATGTCACCATCAAGCGGCACTTGACTCATCGTCGGAAAAAGGCATTCTCCTAACGCATTCATAGTAGATGCCCATCCTAGCTTAGAATAGCAGCATACGGCAAGTCCACGCAGCTGGGCATCGGGGTCGTCTTGAACCCGACCGGCCCGAACTGAGCCATGAGGCTTTGAAGGCCCCAGCTACTGACACCGTGACTACCCATTATTGATATCTGCATTATGTTTGTCATCGATTACCAGAACCGATGGTCTCCCGACAGCCCTAACTCAGCACTGTCATCGCCGAGTCCTGCTCGGGCTCATAGTTCACGAACGAGACCAACCGCGACAACACCGCGAACTCCAGCTTCAACTTGATGGTGTAGAAGAAGGTCTTGAGCGAGACCTGGATGATGTAGATATTGAGGTACTCGAGCACGAGCAGGGAGATGTCCATGAGGATGATGGCGGCGTTGATGCCCAGCAGCTGGTACATGATGAGGGAGCGGCGCTTGCTGCGGTTGGGGTAGAGGGTGAGCAGGCGGACGGTCTGGACGAGGAATATGGCGGAGATGATGACCTCCTGCGTGAAGAAGACGGTCATCTGCAACTTCTCCCAGATGGTGTACATGCGCATGTAGCGGCTCCCGGAGTCGTCGGCGATGACCCCGTAGGAGAAGACGATGTGCGGGATCTGGATGATCACCGCGTCGACGACGATCATCGTCAGCACGCTGCGCAGGACGACCACGTTGCGCACCACCAGGTGCAGCCGCGAGTACAGCACCACCGACTGGCCCGTCACCATGGTCGCCCACCCGAAGGTCGTCAGCGTGACTGACAGGTAGATCGGCGCCAGATCGAAGTATTTGAGGAGGAGGCCCAGCGACTGCGGCACGATGCCCAGGCTGGTCGAGATCAGGAGACTCCAGAAGTAGAGCCCCGCGTAGTGGTGGAAGGTCACGAAGATGAGCAGCACGAGTTCGAAGGCGCTGTACAGGGCGCAACCGAGCAGGGTCGCCAGCGTCGCTTGGAGGGCTAAGCTGTCGCCGGTGTAGTGGCCGGCGATGCCCTCGATGGGCGCGGAGTCGTTGGCCATGGTTTGGGAGGGTGGGAGGGTCAGGCAGAGACGCGGAGCTCGAAGCTCTTCTGCTTGCGACTGTCCATTCTCAAGGCAACTTGGTTGCTGCGGTCAGTTCAGCGCATGGTAATATGGCAAGTAATAAAAAAATGAGGTGAACTGACGAGAGACGCAAACGTGCGGAGGTGCAGATGCAGAAATTCCCCGGGAGGGACTCTCCGCTCAGGTGACCAGTCCACGATCCATGGCCCGGCCAGCCAGCCAGCTCGGAAAGACGTGCGTGCAACACTCTCTTCTTCCTAAAATTGTGGGGTGCGTTTGACAAAAATCCGGGGCAAAGGGACCTAACCCTGCTAGGGCCGGCCTAATCTTTTAGCTTGCTTTTTGCCGACCGATCGTCGCCGATCGATACCTGTCCAGTCCCCTCCCTTTCTGCAGACCCCGATCTCCCTCCGCGTTCGGACTCCCACAGCTGCGCTCAGGGCTGCCTGTTTGACAGCCCAATTTTGGACTTGCTGGGACAACAAAACAAGTGGTCACCAGAATTCAACGTGGATCTGACAGCGCAGCATTTCGGAGGGAGGTTGCAGCACAAGAGTCAAGCGATGCTTGGCAAAACATAGTCCTGAGCTTCATCCACAGAACTGACTTCTGGTCAGCACTCAGATCAAAGCTAGTTTCTGCTCTACCGTCCAGTCCTATACCTCTATCTCTACCACTTCTGCAGAGCATTCAGATTCTAGTCGATTCATCCTGGAGGACGCAAACTTTTTGTGCGCCAAGCATTATGTAATCAATGTTCCACACAAAAGTGGTTAGCCGTATTTTCGGGCGGCCCTTCTCACGCCTGATATACTAGGCACCAACAACGTACAAGTATGAGCCAGCTTACTCACACAACAGAGTGGCACTGTAAAGTGAAATCACCGGTTACCCACCGTAGAGATATGCTGCATACCTAGATAATTTAACAGGCATGCTATTCCGCCTCTACTTCGAGACACTGACAAAATATCCATCCGTGGCAACGACCTCAATTAACTTCAGGCCTCCCGATGGTCTATCCCTACTGAGCAGAAGGAAGCGAGCCAAGAATCCACTGCAACAACCCGAGCACCCCCTTTACCATTTCAGTGGCAAAATCAATGCAGCAGCCCCAGCACCACCGCAATTGACCAACAACAGCATCGCACACCCGCCGTGGCCCGTCACCTGTCCTGTCGATCTTCTCATGGATCCCATGGACCGATGGCTCGCTGTCCTGTCAACAATTCCGCAGTATCATTCTCCCGCACTAGAAAGATGTCCTCGTGGCGGACTCCAAACTTGTCCACCAGGTACACACCCGGCTCGGAGGTGAAGGTCATCCCCGCTCGGAGGACCGTCTCATGGTTGCCCTTGTTGAGGTATGGACTCTCATGCGCTGTGGATGTTAGTCTCCGCACGCTGCATGCGGGGAAGTTGAACTTACCCTTAATGCCAATCCCGTGTCCGACGCGGTGAGTAAACGCATCGCCGTATCCCGCTGCACTGATGACAGTACGAGCGGCAATATCCACACTAGCCGCCGTGGCATTGACGATAAATTGGTCGATAGACTTGGTTTGCGCTTCGAAAACGATATCCCAGACCTGTTATGGTTAGTGTCATGCAATCAAAAGAGTAAGGAAGAGTGAGGGGAGTTTACATCGAGTTTCTCTTTCATCCAATCTGGTACAGCAGCATCAGATGCCGGTCGTTCCAGGAACGGAGGAAAGAATGTGCGACAGATGTCAGACGAATAACCCATCAAATGGGCCCTGAGACTGTTAGACCAAATCCCCGCATTGCGGAGCTGAATACGAACCCAACATCTATCAAGACAAACGTCTCCGCGTCCAGCACCTTTGACCCATTGGTTCCACCATGAGGATTTGCGGCATTCTCGTCTATCGCAGTCGTCAACCCAAGTCCACGTTTCCATTGGTGTTCTTGATCCCATACCAAATAACACAATGTCGAAAAATGGTTCCAATCCCGCGCAAAGGAGAGTCTTATCCAATACGCGTGCGATCTCGCTTTCGGTCAGCCCAGGAGACAGACCTGTGTCGACTTAGCTTTTGGGTTCTGTGGCAAGATTGAATCCACTCTCCTACTCACACTTTCTCATTTGCCGGACTGCCTCCACTGTTCCTGTATTTACTGCTCTCAGGATTCCAATCTCCTTCTCCGATTTGATCTGTCGCACCCGCTCCACCTCGCCCTGGAGACCAACCACGTGGAACCCGGCCCGACCGAGCCCACGCTGAATGAAATCCCGCATCTCTTCATCGACCATTAGACGCGGTGTGCCCCGAAGGCGCGAGAATGTCTCGGCAGTTTTGAGCGTCTCATACGGATTCCAGTGTTCTTCCCAGGGGATGATATCGATCGCCTCAGCGAACGGCATCCCCAGGAGTCGCGCCCGCTCCGCTTCGAACGACGGACAGAGGAACGACGACTTGGCTTTGACTTTGCCCGAGGGAAGATGCTCAGGTTGCACCACGAGCAGGAAAGGGCGCTCTTCTGGCTTTAAGGTTTTAGCGGACCGCAAACACATGGCAGCATTCAAGGTTCATGGCACATACCTCCCAAACCTCCCACTCAGGCTGGCTAATGTTGGCGTAGTATTTGAATGTGTATCCCGGCTCAACCACAAAAGCATCCACACCGTCGGCCACCAGGGCCTGCGCCAAGCGGTCACGGCGATCTTCGAAGTCTTCCACCGTCATTGGAACAGCGGTGTCAAGGAAGGGGTATCCCGTTCCACGGAAATTGTCAATCGAGCAGGTCTCGAAATCGTCCAGTGGGGTGGTGCGCGCGGCTGGTTGCATTCGTGTCATACCAATGAAGCTCTATTTGTCGGTCAGAACGAATTCTTGGGACCATACTGGGGATCGTACCCAGAAGAGGGAATAGATGCCCATTCCAACAAGAATGAGACCCATTACTGCACGCAGCCATCGTTGACGATGCAGCGGCTTCGCTCGTTCCCGCTCCAGGATATAATGATTTAGAAAATACTTCTCCATGCTTGTGATGCGTTGGGATGAAGTGGCAGGAAGATACGATTTTAAGTAGGGGCGGGGAAGATGGCCGATTTCCCCGCACGGCTGGTCTCCTCCAACCAGGGGCCCAGTCGAGCTTATCAATAACCCGAAGTGGTCATCCATAGCTCAACACCGATAAACAGCGATAAGAATTCTTAGCCAGATCAGCGCTGCACTGATACAGGTCATGTCGACTGCGGTTTGCCCGACGCCAGGTTTTAACAAATCTTCCAATGATCCGGCGTTCACTGGTTCAGCTTCGACTGGTGTTTTTTCATCTCTCTCACATTCACGAGCAATCTAGGTTCAGATGGAACGTCACCTTGAGGATGCTCCTGAAAATTGTCAATAGCCTGCAGTTCTTGCTTCATCCAGTTGAGAGACACGTCTCCAAGCAAGTAATTTGTCATAGACAGTGCCTGTTGAACTCCTGTTCGTCGACCGATCTCTTTCAAGCGACTCGTAATCCAGGCTTTCATGCGGGGCGTGCTTCCAACACAGTCGGAAGCAACAAATAGCGTCCAGTGTAGACGGATCAATCCGGATGCCTCAATTAGCGACTTGTTAGAGCGAGCCGAGCCGAAGAAATAAGGGACACCGGCGCATACTTCCTCCGCTAGCTGACGGGTAACTGCAGCGCTCTGGCGAATGGTCGCCCAGAGTTCGTTGTTGTTGCCTCTCGATCGCCTCCACAGTCGCTCGCAGACAGCAGAGATCACCTCATGAATAACGATCCGCGTCAATCTGTACGTGTTCCACATGACAGCGATGCCAATCTCAGGATACTCATGGTAGTAATCGCCGTAAATATGCTGCTCAGAAGGCTTGTTGTCACCGGCGACTGCGGCGTCGAGCACCGAGTACTGCCAGCTCGGACCGACGGTCAGGGCCCACGCAGCCAGCATAGCATCCAATTGCAGTGCCTCTTGAATAGTTTCATGGGGGGTCTTCGCTTTACGACCCACTTGTGCGCACAGCTCGCTGACCTTGGCCAGATACTTGAAGAATGGTTCCATAGAAGACTGGTGTGGTCCCCGCATGGCGACTGTCTCCTCCGACAGGACCATCAGCCATGCTGGAGTCGCCTTCTTCCGGTATAGATTACTCAAAGTCTGCACGGTTGGTTAATCATCAAAATCATAATCGGTAGCTCACGGAAGGAATAGACTCACGTATTGGCCGCGCAACTGTGTGAATAGTTCGAGTCCAACCGGGCTTCGTAGCTGCTCTGAGCCGCGTAGCTTAATAAGAGCCATCGCACCTTCAATGTGATCTGCCCAGCGCACCATCAAAGAATGGCTCTGGCACGTTATGATCTGGGATCAAGGTCAGCAAGCGACAATATGGATTCGACATAAAGGTGGAGGGCGCACCTCGTACAGTCCCAAGACAAGAACCGCGGCGAGTGTGGCATCAGACTTGGCAGTGATGGTATCTTGCAGGGCAGTATTGGTCTCCGATAGCGCGATAGTATACTGCTGCCGTGCCGCGCGGATAAGGTGAGGACTGCCGTGGATGTTACCTAGTGCTGCCAGTCCCATCGCATTTATGGACGCCATGACAGCAGGACTCGGCTCCTGCTGCATTATGGAGGGTAGGAACGACAGGTGCCCAGACACCGAACGAGGAGCCGATCCGACATGGTAGGTCAGGACATAAGGAATGCCTTGATCGACTATTGGTACAGACACGGGCTGCAGTGCGAAAAGATCATAAGCACTTTCGTCGGAAGATAATGCAATCTCGGACGCATTTGCACAAGGTGATACGTTGTATTCTGATTGCGGTTGGGGACGACGATTGGCCTTCTCGACCACTTCGGCAGTCTGATCGTGGAAACTAAGAGCGGCTACATCGCGGTATCCAGTGCAGATCCGCTTGGCTCGCAGACAGGAGGAACACGAGGGGCGTTTCTGATCGCACTACAAATCTCTTAGCTCCGGTAGAGAGGATGATTATGGAAGGTATACCTTAAGCCGGCGGGCCCGACACGAGGAACAGGCTGCACTGGGTTTCCCACGGTAGACCATGGCGAAACCGAAGTGGTTTCCTAAGTGAGCAATCCGCACGACAACCTGTGAAAGAGACTTGGCAAGTCTTATACCCGATGCAAGTTCAGGAAGATGGAGGACGGCTGACAAAAGAAGATGGAGATGCGAGGATCGAGAGAAAAAGAGTCGACGTGCCCGTGATCGCCGCTCTCCCCGCCGCGGGGCCGCAGGCAGTCAGCGCTCCTTCCAAATTGGGAGATATCGAAGTGGTTTCCGAATTAGGACTAGTGCTGACTTCTGGACACGACGAACGCTAAGCTTTTCTTGGATTGCAACTGGGCGCACCCTCCCACTCTTGCACTCAGCCTTGTAACTAAACAACGGACTTAATTGTACATTCTACACTGACCGGCCACGCCGACTTTGGCTAGGCAGCCATCGTGCTGGGTTTTATCTACCCTCAAACTTCTGAGCCCTTGTCAAGTCCATGAACTAATTCTGACCAACCACATCTATGGAGGTCCTGAGATGAACGTGGCTGTGATTTACACTTTGCTGATGAACCAAATTGTCGCTGATCAAGCTTTATAGCCAGCAAAACACCCGCACGATGATGCACTGGTAGCGAGCTTCCAGGTGTCCAAGCCACAAAGCCCTGAGTGCAGATGGAGCCCCCGCAATGTATTCCCGACATGGTAGTTGCGAGTGATGACAAGAAGGGGCTGATACTTCAGCGGGCCGCCTCAAGTGATTTGTACCTGGGGATGATAAAGCTGCTGGCCGTCGAATTTAAATACCACCTCTGTTCACAATCAATTATAGCCCAGACTTCGAGCCAGACCTTCCTTCACAGCATATTCTCCACGAATACTTTTCGTTGTCAAGCACGATGAACGCCATCTTTGTAGCCGATCTGGTCCTTTACCTGGTGCTCTTGCCTTTGGTCCTTTACATTGTCTGGACGCGTCGCTCAGGTGGACTCTTGGCATGGTATTATCTGAGCGTCTTCTGTATCGCTCGTATCGTGGGAGGTGCGATAGGAGTACACGATAACCAGAGCCTCGCCGCGAATATCATCGTGGGCGTGGGCATTTCGCCGCTCATCCTAGCAATCGATGGTCTCCTCCATGAAGCGTGAGCATTCCTCATCATCCACGGATCAGTCATGAGCTCACAGTTCCCCGAAACAGACGAGCCTACCGCAACCCCGGGAGACAACGGGTCGGCTGGGCGGTGGTCATTCTGGCCACAGGGTTGATGGCAACAGCTCTTGCGCTTGCCATTGTGGGTGCCTTGAACGTCTATGAAGGCCATCCCAAGCCGGACAGTCTCGACCACTGGAAGACAGGCACCGGATTGATGGTATTGGTTTGGGGTTTGGAGGTGATCTGGGCGTGTTTCCTGCTCTTGCCATCGCAGCGACGGAAGGATGCCTTCTCGTTTCATGCTGGCACTACGGTGTGTATCTCTTTTCGCTTAGCTGGATTCCTTACTAATGCATGTCGGTTGTTAGCTTGTACAAGGCTCGTTTCTGGCGCTGTTCTTCGTGGGAATTCGGGCTATATATCAGTTGATCGCGGTGTGCACGCAGCGGAAAGACCTCAGCTCCAGCACTGGAAGTTTGGCAGTGCGTGTGCTCTTGGTCTTTTTGCCAGAAGCGTTTACAGTCTTCTCGATGGTGCTTGTAGGCGTGCAGACGAGGAACGTCAGTAAAGGTTGAACATGCGACGCTTCCATGACCAAAGATAGTATTAAGTTATCTCTGATTCGCTTGCTTGTCTGCGGCATGCGTCTGATTTTTTTGTCGATAATGTACCATATTGATTTTATAGACTTGCTGTTCTCAAATCCAATTGATCTGATTCACTCCTGTCTTAACTCAACGAGGATTTATCTCGCGGGTGACTCCCGCTGGTCAGAATTGTTCTTCAAGCTCCCTAGTGCGCCCAGGCCCTTATTTACACCTTTTCGAATACGTTTTCCAATAACCTGCTTATGTACCTTTTGAAGAATATCCGTGTGCCTTGCATAATGTTTTTCAAGTACATTTCAAGCATCTTTGAGTCAATCATATACACAATTCGAAAAGTGATTTTGCGTGTATAGATCCACAGCCTGAATCTTCAGGCCTTCAACACTCTTCCTTCTGTCGGTAAAGAAAAGCTCCAGTCATGTGACTACTTTCAGAAAGCCAATCAGACCACTTGTTTAGCGACACATGCATATGATGGATCACCATTGGGCATCCTGGAACAAGCCTTCCTCGAGTTGCGAAGCTGCCTGTAGCGCTTCACGAGAGTGATTTACCACTGTAGACACTTGTCTGGAAGTGAAAGACGGAACCTTCACAACTGTCAGCAAGGCTTGCTGCAGGGTAGGCATACTATCACGATGAACAGGTACTCTACCACCCTGAGAGTGTAATCGCTGCCCCGACCGCCCTTGACTTTCTTGTGAGATAATCCCTTGAAGATATCGGTCTGTACGCACAACCCAAACTTCCTCTCCACGTGGTCGCGGAGCGGCCGTCCACCGAGTAGATTACCGCATTGGGCAAGCGGCGAGTCCTCCGCGGCCGGGGCCCGCTGACTGCAGAAGGGCGCGAACGCTGCGCCCCAACAGACGGGACGGTCGGCCTCCAGGCTGAAACGTTCAATCTGCTTGCCGGAACTACCTCAGACTAAGCTTCAGCTTCCACGGCTTGGGTGTCAGCACAGACCCACTCTTGTTGCGATGAGGCTGACAACACGGGCGCTTCGCTGTACTGACGCCAACCAACCAATCAGAGTGCCGGCCCCTTCGGTATCGCCTTGATTACCCCATTCGGTAATCAGTCAGGGAGCAACGATATAGGACTAATGACTGTGCTATACGAGTGGTCTGTAGACTGATCATTCGAATATATAAGTGTCTATCCAAGGGGCTACAATTACACGAACAAACCATCCACAGAACAACCTCCCACTTCTTCTGCATCGACAGCAATCCTCTCTTTACAAGCACCTCCACTGCTCCAAATTCTGTCTTAATCATATAATTCACCCAGATCTGAGATACAACGACATCAATCATCCTACCAACCTTTTGACATCATGTGCCTTTTGCTCCCTTTCCTTCTCAAGAAGCGGTCCAGTTCCAGCAGCCAAGAATCGTCACGCGCAGGTCCACGACTAGTCAAATCTGAGCGCGAAATGACATCAAACTATAACCCGGGACAAGAGGTTCCACTATCCTCATCGGACAGGCGGAGCTAGCACTAAGGTGAGAGATTCTCTGGCATATGCGAAGTCCATCAAGCTAATGATGGAGATAAGCTCCGTCTGACTTCACACTGTCGCAGTGAAATGCGTGTGGATGAAGCGAACTCGGGGGGGGGGAGGGGGGAGGAAGTTCTAGGACCAAGAATGACACGGAATTCGGTTTGCACAACAATAGTGTTTGAATATAGATCTTAACTCATCATACTTTCTGCGATACAATTCATTGTCCGTAAAAGCAGTTTCTGCCCGTAGATTACAATACACGAAGCACATATCATTATTGTATACACCGAATCAAACACCAGACCACGATCCCATTAAGCAACACCTACAAAGCAGCTGAAGCTGTCCCCCTGAACGCCAACTGCTGCCCCAGCACCGCCTCCACAATCTCATCCTGGCCCCGCCACTCCATCCCAAGCACCCGCTCCGCCGTCCGCGTATCCACCGTCCACCCTCGCTCAAACGGCCCCTGCAACCGACACCCCACCTCGGAATACTGCCTGCGCACCAGCTCGGCCACCCGCTCCCACGACCCCGGCGTCGGCGCCGACAGCAGCACTTCCGTGCCCGGGGCCACCTCCCGCTGCAACGCCCGCACGTGCGCCTCCGCCACGTCCCGCACGTCGACCCACGCGTTCGCCATCCCGGGCTTCTCGGCCTGCAGCGTGTTCCAGAAGAAGGCGTTCATGCCCCCGATCTCCTCCGGGGTCGTCTGGATGAGACTCTCGCCCAGCACGAAGGTCGGGTGGAAGGTGATCAGCGTGAATGTTGGGTGCTGGGTGGCCAGGAAGCGGCGGGTCGCGTCGTGGGCGGCGACCTTGGAGGCGCTGTATTTCAGGCCGTGGCCTGAGAACCCTTCCGGGATTGGGTCGGGGAGGTCGATCGCGATGGTCTCGTGGGTGTTGTCTGTTTTCGTTAGCTTTTGCTTTCTTCCGGAATTTGAGCGGGGGTGGGGTTAGGAAGGATGGAATTTGGGGGTGGAATGGGACAAACGTACCCGTCACGTAAACCTCCTTCTCGCGGAGGGCATTCAGGGGCGTCAACGCCAGCACGGAAGACATCACCACCACCTTCTGGATCTGCGGGAACGCTAACGCGGAGTAGAGGATCGACTCGGTGCCCTTGACGGCCGGGTCGATGTAGTCGGCCTGCAGGTCGGATCCGCGGCCGGGCATGGGCGAGGCTAGGTGGAAGATGTGGTCGACGCCATCGAGGGCGGGCGTGAAGGCGTCGCGCGGGGTGATGTCGGGGATGATGCAGGTCTCAATCTGCTGGGGACTGAAGTCGGGGTAGCGGGCGCGCAGTGGGGCCTCCTGGGAGGCGTGGCGGATGGACAGGCGCACCCGGTATCCCGCCCGCAGGGTCGCGAGGACGACCTGGGAGCCGATGAAGCCGGTCGCGCCGGTGATGAAGACGAGGGGGGCAGTCATCTTGATAGCAGTTTGATGGCAATGAGTTCTGAGTCGGTTAGTGGACCTTACCAGCCATGTGTGCTATTAAATACCACCATCTTTGTGGTGTTGAAGCCATCTGAAGTCTTTGTGCGACCTACTTACATCAGTTCACTAATCATCCCGCTGGAGACGGGGTGACCCCGACGGACCGGTTCACTAATCACTAACTCCGCGCCAATCACCACTCCACCAACGGCTTTGATCGGTGTCGATCACTAATCTTACATATCAGTCTAAATGCCAATAATGGACTCAAGAGTCGTCAGCCACGAACACCTCCATCAGATAAATGACCCCATCTCACATGAGGGTGGTGAGCTTATCGATCCCCCAGCCCGATCCCATTCTCCAGCCGAACTATTTCATCACCCGAATTATACCCATCCACACTCAAACAAGCCAGATCGAGCCGATTCATCCACCTCAAGAACCCAGCCAAACCGAATACGAAAATGCCTCTCTGGCAGATCTACTCTCCCCCCGGGACATTCACCCCGGAAGCGAAATCCAGCGTCGCAACCGATATCACCAAGCGATACACCTCCATCGGCCTTCCCGCCTTCTACGTGGTCATCCAATTCCACGAACTCAAGCCGGAGGATGTCTACGTGGGAGGTCGTGTGGCTACCAACGCCAAGAGGCCGTTTGTACGGGCGGTCGTCACGCATATCGCGGTCGTGCAGCCGAACAGCGACGCCGCGTATCGTCACACGACCAATTGGCTTGACAAGGTCTTCAAGGAGCATGTGCTGGATAAAGGGTATGATGTGGAGTATCACGTGGAGGAAACGGAGCGGCGGCTGTGGAAGATAAATGGGATGATTCCGCCGCCGTACCGGAGTGAGGAGGAGAAGGTTTGGGCGAGGGAGAACCGGGCGGTGGAGTATGAGGGGGCGTTTGCTGAGGAGGGAGAGGGGAAGGCGGGCGGGAAGGCAGCGCTTTAGTTAGTGCCAGGGCTTGATTCTCTTGGGGTTGATGTGGTTCTAATAGGATGGTTTTATGATATGTTATGGATCATTTCGGAATGTAAGCGTGCAATGGTTTATTTTTAATGTCTCTATCGATGATCAACTCACAGTCATGCAGTCATGGCTTATCGTAATCGTTCCCCTGTACACAGTATAATTACTTGCGGAAGGGCACCGGCTCGGGCAAGGTGGCAGGAGTGTCGTTGCGAGCCCGCCACTGAATCAAATGGTCGAAGGAAGGCGCATACTCGACACGAGGAGTAAAAGGCTCAAAGTCCCAGAGATAGCCGAGAGTACGTAGGATCGACGAAGCGGAGTACGACACTGTCTCACCCTCAACGTCTGTACCCTTCTGCTCCACGTATCCCTTGCCCACCCACGGGGAGATCAGTAAGGTTGGGATACGGCCGCCCAGGCGGTTGAAGGGGAAGGTGTATTCCTCGCCGCTAGGGGTGGTAGCGGTATAGGTCAGGTTGTCTGGCGCAGGAGCCAGAGGAGGAGGCACATGGTCGTGGAAGCCACCGGTCTCGTCGAAACTGAGGATGAACAACGTGTCTGACCACTGCGGGCCATTACGCAGAGCCTCATAGACCTTCTTGATCAGCTTCTCTCCATCTGAGATGAGTCCACTGGGGTGCATCGAGTTGGTGCCCACTCCGCAGCACGATGGGTTCAGATAGGTGAACTCGGCAAGCTCGCCTGCCGCCGCGTCCGTATAGAACTGCTCCAAGGGCTGGACCTGGTTGGTGCGGTTGGCAGTGTCGGTCCAGTCGTAGAACTCGGCGTCCGGACCCGTGCCGCCCGCGGTATCGTAGTAGTTGATCCAGGTGTGATTTGTCTCACTCAGCTGCTGGAAGATGGATCGTTGAGGAAAAGCGTGTACGGTAAAAGCATCGTCATTGCTCCCGTGGCCGTAGGAGGTTCCCGAGGTCAAAGCCGCCCGGTTGGGATCGGTAGGCTGCAGGCGAGTTAGCATTGCTGTATTACATCTGCCGCATTGGTTGACTTACACCTGGGATATCGGAGTGCCAGTGATTGAAAACAACATAGTTCTGCACCAGCTCGGTGAGAACTGGCACCTGGTTCTCGGTGTAGTAGTTCATAACCTGGGTGGATAGCTGGGTGCGGTTGGCTTTGGCACCGTATATCCGCAGTTGCTCGTGCACAAAGCCCTGTTGGCTAGGAGTCAATGCGCCCGATGCGATAGCCTCATTGTCCGGCGTGAACGTCCCGTAGAACTCGATGTTGTTGCCGTACACCGCGTGGTCAGGGTCGTCGGTGACCGAGTCATAGTCCCACGCCGCGCTGCAAACAGTGCCCTCGGCTGGGTTGCTCACGTTGTAAGGGTTGCAGAAGGGACCGTTGTTGATAGGGTTCTCGAGTCCCTTGATCGTCTGTCCACCAAGAAGGTTGTCGACGGAGCGGTTCTCCATGACCAGCACCACAACATTCTTAACCTTGTCTTTCAGGTTGCCGATGGATGAGTGCGAGTGGGCGTGCCGTGAGGAGGCACCGGGCAAGGCCGAGGCAGCAGCCGCAAAGGCCAGAAGGCCGATAAGGGCACTAGAATGCATGATGTCTAATGTCTAATGATGGCTGTGACAGTGAGACCAACATGGAAGGAATATGTCTTGCTATTTATCCTTCAAGGCGACCCGTCGCGGATCGAGGAATTGCTGCTGTGCCTCCATGGTCCTCCCACGTGCCTGCCTGGAATGCATGGATGGAGAAGGCCTCATTGCACCTGCATCCTCCGACGGACTATCATACCCACCTGCATCGCGCAGAGCGAACAAAAACCGGCTGTGTGGAAAGTGTCAACCCCGTTGACAGACGACCCTAACACCAATGAGAGAAATGTTGATGACCACGAGAATGGAAAGTAGAGACTCCGGCCGTTGTCCCTGGAGATCCCTGCCTTTTCGATGCAGGAGATCGGCAGGCCCGTGGGCCTCCCAAGAATGCGTATTGGCCGGATGAAGCAATCCCAGCTGGATGCATGTTGCTAAAAAATTGACTACATCAAGATGCCAAGATAATGTTCAAGAATTACAGAAGAGAAGCTTGAATCAAAAGGGCAAGTCAGCGTGGATGTGGAGAAAGAGCAGGCGGGAAATGGCCGATGTGACACTATAGTGGGGTCGCGTCAAACCAATCTTTTTCACGTCAAATACCACCATGCAACCTCTCAAATTTGGATTTGTCCGTTGCTGTCTCCCACCAAATATGTGATGCGGGTTAAGTATTCTTGGAGATTCTAGAGCTGTGTGGCTCAGATACTGGTGAATTGTTGTCATCTTGCAAGAAATGTACGTCGGCTGAGTAATCTGGCCAAAGGTAGGTTACCCCGCACTGCACTCAATATTGTAAACTGCGCAACAAACTTACGGGTTGCACACTTTTCATTAAACCTCAGGAGCAAAAGCTGCATTTATAATCATTAAATATCCACTACTTCGAAATCACTTTCTTCACTCGCATACATCTTCCCCACCAAACATGCACCAAGACGGACGCTCATTTAAAAGCCAACTGCTGGTTAATCACATCGCTCACTTGTTCTTCCATTCCCTTCCATGTCAACCCCAGCTCTCTCTCGGCCTTTGATGTGTCGAGCACATAGCTTGGTCCTTCTCGGGCCTGGATACCGATGGGCAGATCAGGATAATGTTGACGAACAAAAGCCTCAACATCTGCCCATGATCTCGGTGGTGCGGCCAACAAAAATGACTGCAGTCCCTGTATAGAGCTATCCAAAACCTTTACATGCGCAGCAGAAACATCGTGAACATGAACACCCCGGTACTGACTGGCGAATAGCTTCCCCGCTGTGATTGCCTGGTACAGCATGCCACAAGTGCCGCCCAGCTGATCGGCTGATTCCTGTGCGTGATTGTGGCCGAAGACAAAGACCGGATGCAGAGTAACCACATCAAATTTGGGATGTTGGTCACGCACAAAGTCCAGCGTCGCTTTGTAAGACGCGATCTTGCTGGCATGATACTGTTCCAATGGGTTCCACGAAGCAACCTGGGCTGGGTCGACATCTTCAACATCCGTCGTTTCTACCGCCAAACGTATCAGTGGGATCAGGGCTCGAGACATCTCATCGGAAGAGAGCCATACCTTTGACAATCAATCCATCTCTAGTTGGCCCCAACGGAATGATTGATAACGCCGAGGCAGTCACGACAACTTTCTGGATGCTTGGCACCTTGAGCGCAGAATGCAGGATCGAAACAGTTCCTCGTACAGCAGGGCTTAAGAGATCATCCCCGGCACCAGGCAATGGAGAGGCCAGGTGCAAGGCATAATCCGCTCCCTGTAGTGGCTTGTCGAAGCATCCATCAATTGTCAAGTCGGGAACGACAGCAAACTCTAACTCCTTTGAGTAGCGGTCGTAAATCCGCTCGAGCTTGGTCGCCTGCTCAGCACGACGGACGACCAAGCGCACGCGATAGCCAGCTTTCAGTACATCCCAGACCACCTGGGAGCCGATGAAACCGGTAGCACCGGTAATCAGAACAAGAGACATTTTCTAAGACGAGGCAAGGAATGAAGTGAATTGAATTGAATCGATGTAGACAAGTCTGAAGCAACAACTTCCCATTGTCGGTCTACGAGCCTGATATACCACGACTATACCTCCAGGGCTGACAAATGGTCGGGCAAGTTTCATTGTATACCAGTAGACAAGATCTGAGAGGGATTAGTGATCAGTACCTCGGCTTCCGGTACATCTGATTTGATTGGCTCCAAGCAAGTGTCAATGTTATTCTAGCTCCACTCATCGATGGCATTTACGAGTTGCGCAGCCAAATGCTATACGAGCCATGCTGATGTCGGTGAGGCATGTTTGAAGGTTTGGTAGAGGTGATTAACCTATATTTTAAATTCATGACGTCATTCATGGCTGCCTCGGTCTCGATCAACATTGCTCTAGTATATTCAATTAGCAAGCGTGAGAGGATTATCTTCAGTAAAGCCTCTCAATTACATTCTAGAAGCCTTGCGTGATTTATATTAGCGAAGCCTCTTAGTCATGCATCTTTTGTACTTATGGCCACAAATCTTTGTGGCCGGTGAACCTTAACAGATTCCCTGTAAATCCGCTCGAATATATACATCGATGTGGACAGGAGGCCTCGCGGAAAACAAAATGTAGTTTCTTATTGGACGTAGTAAAGAGGTTCCAGATATAATAAGTAGCCTTGAATAGCTTCAAGAGCAGCACAAGATTATCAGACTTACATGGCAAGACCACTTCTGTGGCAAAAATGTTGTGTTGAGGGGTTGATGCCTGATCAACCAGGCTGCAGAAGCCTCCGGTCGCAAATCCTAGGATGTCAAAAATAGGATTAGCGCGAAAGGCGGATCCCCCCCCTGGTTTCTATTTTTGATCCCGAGTCTTCGTTCGCTCCTGGCGTCCCTGGTCAACACCCGCTATCGGTCTGACAGACCGATGAACCAAACGCAAATGAAACCTCAATGACGCTTCCTTTTACTGTCACCACTTGATCGTCTCTTGACTGTCTTCTCGCGAGGAAAGAATGTCCCCATGATCACCCCGCTTGCCTCCTCCAAGACCGGTCCCCGCTGGGTTCCTCGCCGCCGATATGGGTTCCGCCGACGCGTCGCCCTCCTCGTGGGCCTCGGCTTAGTGATCTGGACAATGCTCCAAGTCCTCTCGATTCACCACCATATCGCCCTCGTGGACGCTCGCCCTCCTCCCCCGCTACCCTCCGATCGTATATTCATCGCCAGTACTCATTGGAATAACGAGCGCATCCTCCGAAGCCATTGGAATGACGCCGTCGTTGACCTGGTCCGGACCATTGGCTCTGAGAACGTCTTTGTGAGCGTGTTAGAAAGTGGTAGCTGGGATGACAGCAAGGGAGCTCTGCGCGAGCTGGATACAAGACTAGACCGGCTTGGTGTGCGACGCAACATCACTCTGTCCGACACAACACATCAGGATGAAATCTCCGCTCCGCCCGGGCATGATGGCTGGATCAAGACCCCGCGGGGACGGACAGAGCTGCGACGCATTCCATACTTGGCTCGGCTACGCAACTGGACTTTACAACCATTGGAAGACTTGGCGCGACAAGGGATCACTTTTGACAAAGTGCTTTTCCTGAATGATGTCGTGTTCACGGTATGGCCAAGTCCAACGCTTGCAGAAACCGACGAGTATGTGACTAATGGGTGAGGTTTCTAGGTCGACGATGTAGCGACCTTGCTAAATACCAATGACGGGGTCTACGGGGCTGCTTGCTCCCTGGACTTCTCCAAACCCCCTCTATATTACGATACCTTCGCCCTGCGTGATTCCCAGGGCGATGAACACGTCATGCAGACCTGGCCATACTTCCGCTCTGCCAACTCGCGTAGAGCACTCATCAACATGGAGCCAGTTCCAGTCAGAAGCTGCTGGAACGGGATGGGTAGGTGATACATCTGCGCCTGGTGTTGTATCAGACTGATTCTCTTAGTGGTAATGCCCGCCGCGCCTTTCGTGTCCTCACCACCACTGCGATTCCGTGCTGTCCCTGACTCTCTTTCGCTATCTCACCTTGAAGGCTCAGAGTGCTGTCTCATCCACGCGGACAACCCTTTGTCACAACTCCACGGAGTCTACCTTAATCCTCAGGTCCGCGTCGGGTACAATCCAGAAGCGTATGCTGCGGTGCATTCGACTCGGGCATGGTTCTCCTTGCAAAATCTTGCCGTGGCTCTCTGGGAGAATCGGATTCGACGCTGGACGACCTCTTCCTATTTCAAGATGCAAGTTGTTCGCAGTCGTGTCGCAAAGTGGGAAAAGGATCATCCTCAGCAGCGAGAAAGCGGTGATTTTTGCTTGATCAATGAAATGCAAGTTCTGGTCGCCAACGGTTGGGCGCATGTCTGAGTTTGCAGCATGTGTTCCACTTTAGTTGAGCAATCATTTGCAATCCCACCCAACCACAAGCTAGTGTGAAAAAGATGGGCTTGGTATGTTGTGTGAGCTCGAATTTACGCCTCTCGGCAATAGCCACGCCCTTACCACAGAGACTCGATGATCGGCTGCATTTCAGCTCACCCAGTTCTTCGGAAACCTCCCCCAAAGTAGTGGTCGGCTATGTCTTGAAGAAGACAGCTGGTTTGAGTCAATGCCCAACATTAATTTAGACCATTCCACGAATGCGTGACTTGTCCCGTCCCGTTCACCCCGTTGCATATACGGGGCTTGAAAAGACGGTGTAGGTTGGTGGACAGCACAAACATTCCTAAGCTTTTAATCTAACCCTTCACTCGGATCTAGTCTATTCCACCGAATTACAATCATCCAGTTTGTGCCCCGCCGAGGAGGCAAGATGGGACCTGTGGTACAATTTAATGAAATCTCAAGCTCAAAGCTATGTTAAGTTTAACATGAAATCCAACAATATCATTGCCTCAATAGAACTTCAAAGGCGCCAAGACCAATCGCTTCAAACATGATGAAATCCCTTCCGGTCCCAGAAAGAAATAAACCTTTTCAACAAGTGCGCGTCAAACGGTTGAAACTTTATCTCTGGATTGTCACTAAGAGCCTTGAGTGCGTTGTCGCACCGATAGACCGGACTGTACTGGCTAGCTTCCCATCGCGTTAACTGGCCCAACACCCGCTCCTGGAACAATGGCATCAACGGCGTCAATAATCCGTCTGCATCGCTGTGGGTCACCCTTTCAACCCACTGTTCAAAATCGAGTAGATCGAGGGGATAGCCTGCTTCCTTGAGCACGTCGCAGGTTTGTTCGACCGTGACAGATTTGCTGACATCCGGTGACAGCAGGCTGTACGAGCGTCCCAAATTCTCATTGCGGGTCGCAATGGCCATCATCGCGTCAACCACGTAGTCGACTGTCACGTACTCCAGACGTTGATCGACCACTCGGGGAAAGGCACCGACCTTGATGGAGCCTACCAATAGGCGGGCCACGAAATCATCGGGGTTCATGGCTCCTGTCTGGCTGTGGCCAACAACGAAACCTGGCCGGTAGATGGCCACGGGCAAGCCACGGTCCCTCATCCGGCGCACCATCGCCTCCGCTGTCCACTGGCTCTGCGCATAACCCAGGTCATACCGAAGGCCTTGAATGTGTGGCTGAAGGGGATCGTCCTCGTAGATCTCTTCTGTTCCCAGGATATTCCCTGTTGGCCCCCAGACATCAATACTCGATACGTAATGAAAGCTCTTACGACGACCTGCGGCGGCGAGGTGGAGAATGTTCCTGGTACCAACGACGTTTGTCGTGCGGTGCTCTCGGTACGACTCGCAAAAATTGACCTTGGCTCCAAGGTGGAAAACCACCGATGCCCAGTTTGAGAGCCACGTGAACTTCTCCTGTCCGAGGCCGAGATGCCAATCGGTAAGGTCACCTTCAAGCACGAGGATCTTCTGCGTGAATTCAAGCTTGTCTGGCCAGACGTCGTACCGCTCAAGTGCTTGCTGAACCCGAGCCCAGGCACTCATGTCATTCCTGCTACGCGCCAGGCATGCGATCTGCCTCACTCCTGGTCGCTGCATCAAGTTAGACAGAAGATGGGCACCCACAAACCCGGTCACACCGGTAATGAACACACGACCCTCGCCCTCGGCCTCCCATTGAGGCACCATGTCAATGTCGTCAACAAGAAGCACATCTTGCTTCCATACCCGAGTATCATCAGGTGCTTTGCTGTGTCGAGGCTCGCTAGGCTGAATCAAATCCAGCATCTGGTTGAATTGAGAGTGACCGTGGAGATCGTGCATCGAAACCTGAACGTCAAATTCCTGGCGTATCTGGCTAATCAACGAGGCAGCCTGAAGTGAACTGGCGCCTAGAGCGAAGAAGTCGTCATCATCAGACACCTCTTCGGAAAGATGTAACAGGTTTGTCCAGAGTCTCCGAAGTTTTCCTGCTCTGTCATGTGGCGCTTCACCGTTGGGCACTGTGCTCTCTGCCTTGTCCTCCTTTTGCTTCTCCCGCGAGGCGTCAAGTCGCTGCTGAGTTAGAGCCTTACGGTCCACTTTGCCGTTAGGTGTCAGTGGAAAATCACTCAAGAACTCAATTGCGTTGGGAACCATGTAATGTGGGAGGCGCTCTCGAGCGTAGTCCATGAGCGATTCCTCGTCCAGATCTTTAGCCGACACAAAGGCAACCAAAGCATGGCCTTCTTCCTCTGCCAAAGGTGGCTGATGAATCAGAACTGCTGAGTGGACCGCATCGTGCGACATGAGCGCTCGCTCAATTTCGCCAAGCTCAACTCGGAAGCCTTCATGCTTGACCTGGGAGTCGGCCCGGCCAACGAAATCCAGGCAATCGCTGTTCTCGCGCCACTCGGCCAGGTCTCCAGTCTTATACAGACGCACTGTGCCTTCTCCAAGACCCAAGTCCTCTCTGCTCATATCCACAAATCGCTCTTCGTTATGCTCTTCTCGGTTCAAGTATCCAGGCGTCAGTTGTGGTCCGCCAAGGTGAATTTCCCCTTGCTTGCCGCTCTCATGCACAGGCTGTTGATCTTCGTCAAGTAGGACGAGCTCCAAATTTCCCACCGCCTTACCGATGCCAATACGGTCTCTGCCAGTTTCTTCAAGTGTAACTTCCTGCATAGTAGCCAGAGTCGCACACTCTGTTGGCCCATAGGCATTCCAAAGATGCTCAGGAGCGCCTTTTTGCAGCACATCCTTCATGGCACGCACATTTGCCACATCCCCTGCGGTAATGACATGTCGCAGAGACGAAAATGCTGTCGGGTCCTGAGTACTAGTGATAGTAAATAAGGCAGTGGTGATGATCATCACGGTTAGCTGGTGTTTTGAGACCATTTCAGCCAATGCACCCGCGCTGATGGCCGAGTCCCGCGGGATAGCGACCACAGTGGCACCTGAGATCAAGGTCACCCAGATTTCATACAAGCTCAAGTCAAACCCCGGGTTGTTGAACTCGGCAACACGGTCACTCTTCAGCAAGGGGGTTGTTGGGGTTTTGTTGGCAAGATGCAGGATGGCCTCGGCTTGGATCTGAACGGGTTTAGGTTTTCCAGTCGACCCAGACGTGAAGAGAATGTGGCTGCGTTTAGATGGGTCCTTGAACCCTTTGGGGAGCTTCTCATCCAGTGTTCTTCCGCCGGTCACTTTTGGAAATTGGATGAGCTTTCGGTCGGGCCAATTCAGCGAGGAATCCTCTTCAATCAGGATCGTTTTGACCTCGATATCTTCCAAAAGGTCCTTGATGCGCTGTTCTGGGATTGATGGCTCCAGTGGGACACAGGTTCCCCCAGCCAAGCGCACCGCCAGCTGAGCAACAACCTGGTTGATGCCAGGGCCCAGCACGATGCCCACAGGCTCGTCGAGGTCAAGGTCTCCCAGCTCGCAAGACATATGACCTGCTTCTCCGAGCAGCTCGGCGTAGGTCAGGGATACCTGTTCATCTTCGACGGCGACAGCATCCGGATTCTCCTGGGCGTGGTCGTAAATAATTCTCTCCATGATGGTTGTGCTGGTGGCTCAGGATCAAGTGATATTGTAAGGAAACGTATGGTTGTTTTGTTCGTTCGGGGTTGTTATAGTCTTGCGCAAATGTTAATATCCTTTGAAGGGTTCTTCGTCGGTGATTGTGCTGCTTTCCTCATTTTCGACCGCCCTTGACACGGCTTTATATTCTTGAGCCTGGTCCATGTCCCCATACCAAAGGTCACTCTTCACGATCCTCTTCAGATCGACGCAGCACGCTTCCATACAGTGACGTATGTGACCCTACGGTGAACTTGCTATCTCGGTCTCTAATTCTTCAGCTTTCTGGCAATGGAAGCCTGGAAGGCCACACTTGAAAACATGAGACGTCACTCGATGCCAGAAATGTCCACAAGCATGAAGTCTATGGCAGACTATAAACAATGACATCTGACAACCTGCTTTTTCTACTGCAGGGCAAATTCGACTGGATGGCTGATTGCACCGAAGGTACTATCAACAGGGTGTCAAACCAGCCTGTCGGAACTCATAGTCGTTTTACCGCAAATAGCGGTCGCTTTAGATAGTCGTGACGCTACACCGCAGGTGACCTGCTGAGAACCTCCTGGGGGGCGCGCGCGGGAGCAGTATCCGATGAATGACTATCTCTTCCCCGATCACCCTTACAGAGAAGTGCAGAATAAGAAATCGCTCACATGACTCAGATTGGTGCTTTCGAACCACACTCTGCACGGGCGAGAACACAAACAGGGAAGGTGGTAACGGCTCCTTACAATCAGTAAGGGGGGGGGGGGGCACAGATATGCGCATGTTGGCTGATGTCATTCCACACTCAACACCAGTTTCCAAGCTGTGAAGAACTTTTGAAGAAACAAGATGTTGAATATGACTAGACATGATTCGTGGATTGACCAAGCTTTGCAGCTTTCGACAATCTGTCAACTTTATCTTGACGCAACTTCCCGCCAATCCTCGCCACTATGGTCTATTGTAGTTCTGGTCAAAAGAGTTGGATGACTTCAATAATACTCAAAGGATGTGTACTTCCAACACAGAAACCTCGGTCTTTGATGCCGACCATTAGCCGGCTTAGAGTAGGCGAGGGGTAGGCTCCTCTACTGGCGGCAAAACTATATAAACCCACTCTATCTAATGGTGGACTGTAGAAGGAACCACAAACACAGAATCGCTTACCGTGAACAGTAGCAACATCACTTCCCACCTGAATACCCGAGAACATGTCCGGCGAAAAGGTCCTCAATTCCAAGCTCCAAACCCAGTTGGAGCAGCGTGAGCGCCAGAAGCGCCTTATGCAGCCTCCTAATCCCGGAATGGTGAACCAATTGGTCGACTTCGGGTCCAACGACACCCTATCCATCGCGACCTCGCGGGCGCTGACCAAGGGCTTCCTGGAGCAACTGGACGCGCACCCCAACTTCATCGTGGGCAGCACCTCGACGCGCATCTTCGAGGGCACAACCCACTACCTGGACGACATCGAGCGAGACCTGGCCCGCTTCCACAAGGCCGAGGCGGGCCTGTTCTTCAATTCCGGCTTCGACGCCAACGTCGCCCTGTGGTCGACCGTCCCGCGTCCCGATGACGTGGTCGTGCATGACGAATACATCCACGCCAGCATCCACGACGGGATGCGACGCGGTCGCGCGCAGACCCGGTCGTTCGCGCACAACGACCTCCAAGATTTCCGGCGTGCCCTCGAGGCCCTCCGCGACGACCGGAAGGGGGTCAAGGACGGCAAGAGCGTGGTCTTTGTGGCCGTCGAGTCGTTCTATAGCATGGATGGTGATGTGGTGCCTATCCAGGAGATGCTGCGCATTTCCCAAGAGGTGCTCCCACAGGGCAATGTGGTGTATGCCATGGATGAGGCGCATTCGAACGGGTTGATTGGACGGGATGGATCCGGGCTGGTGTGCCATTATGGATTGGAGAAGGAGATTGGGATCCGGGTGCATACTTGCGGCAAGGGGTTGGCGTCGACGGGGGGTAAGCTCCCTTTTGGTTGATCACTGGGAGAATTTCACTGACTGCTTGGTGGTAGCTATTGTTCTTTGCTCGGAGACCATGCGTATGTCCATGATCAACTATGCCCGCAATATCGTGTTCTCGACCGCGCCATCGTTCGTCACTGTGGCGGCTGTGCGCGCGGGCTATGAGTTGGTCGCAAGCGAGGAGGGCGAGCAGGTGAGTCTTATCCCCGCGGCTATCGCTACCATCAGCACTAAGAAGTGCAGCGACGCCGTCGTTTGCAGCAGAACACGCGCTACTTCGAGCGCATGGTGACTCAACACAAGCAATGGGACGAAGTCAGCAAGCAGGGTATAATCCAGATTCCCGGATCGGAGAACTGGGGGTCGGGTCCTTTTGAGACACCCATCTTTGCCTTGATCACCCCGGGCGGCGAGGAGAATGAGCTCGCGGACCATATCCGGGGGAATGGGTATTGGGTGGACTCGGTGCATTATCCGATTGTGCCGAAGCAGCTGGGACGCGTCCGGCTCACGGTGCATGCGGATAACACCAAGGAGCAGATTGAGCGAGTGGTCGGGGTGTTTATGGAGTGGGCCGGTGCTAGGGTTAAGAAGGAGGGGAGGAGGGCGAAGTTGTAGCTTTTTTGCCTTTGTTCTCGACTATTGTGAATAGGTGTGAATGGTTTTATTGGTTGTGCCTTGTCTGGTTCTCGTCTTTCTTGTTTGTATTGTTTCAATGTACGGTATGTCATTCCTGCACTATGTTTGCTAGCTGGTAAGGGACCTTTGTGCCAAACCTTTAGGGAATAGATCGCATGGTAAATGGAATGTTTGCATAGATACTGTATTACTTGAATGTGTAAATACATAAATAAACATGGTGTAAGAGTTGCCGCGTGGTGATTGACCAGATCAGTGTGCTCTGGTGGGGTCGGTTGACTCAGCATTGACATCTCTTGAACATGACACTTTTTTACAGTATACTATGGGTGAGCCTCGTAGCCTCCACCAAGCGACGACCACATTGATCGAATTTCGGGGTAAAACATCAGCCCTACAGGCAATATCAGCACCCCTAAGATCTACACCATGCAATCGCTTCCGGCCTGTCACTTCAATGGCAAAATCGAAGTGGAGCCCCTCTTTTGCCCAGGTGGGTCTTTCGCGCAGCAAAACAAACAAAATTCTCCACTGCACTTTTCAGGGGCCTCTTCCAGAGAATTCTGCCTAAAATTATCACATGAAATGTTGAGGTGCCGCTACAACTGAGCTGAAACCCACATGCGCCGACCAATCCAGCTCAGTCGAATGAAGTATTTCAAAGCGCGCTCTCCACCAGCCTATCCGACCCAGAGCGACTAGGGCGTCCCCACTCCAGAATCATCATGCCTACCTCCGACCCCTAAAAGCTTGAATCACCCCAGCACCGTCTTCGGTTCCCAGTTAAACCCACAGGCAACCGTCTCGGATCAGATAGTTCGCCATGACAACAATAAAACGAGCGGAGGTGGAGCCCCTCCCCAAAGCCCTCCTCCCCCTCTACCACCGCATCTACTGCTTCCTCTGGCTCTGGGGCCTCAAACTCATCGCGACAATACACGCCATCTACAAGGACCTCATCCACCCGCCCCCGCCCGGCACCCACCCAACCCTAACCCTGCACCTCCCATCGCGCCCGACGCTGCAAACCCGCATCTTCTACCCACCCACCTACACCGCGGGCCAACCGACCCTCCTCCCGACCTACATCAACCTGCATGGCGGGGGCTTCGCCGTCAACACAGCGCGCTTCGACGACCCCTTCTGCGCCTCCTGGAGCCAGCGCACGGGCATGCTAGTCCTAAGCCTGGACTACCGCAAGATCCCGCTCCACCCATTCCCGACCGCGATCCACGACGTGGAAGCGCAGATCCTCGACCTGCTGGCGGACACCGCACTGCCCATCGACCGCACCCGCCTAGTGATCGGCGGCTTCAGCGCGGGCGCCAGCCTCGCGCTCGCCGTCGCGCAGCTCCCTTCCCTGCGGCGCAAACTCCGGGCTGCGATCTGCTACTATCCCATCGTGGACTTCAGCCACTCCCCGCCGGACAAGATGCACGCCCGCCCTTACCAGGACTACTGGCGCGATCACCTGGGCGATGCCGGCTGGTGGATCGATTGGGGGTATGTCTGTCCCGGTCAGGATCGGCGCGATCCCCTGCTCAGCCCGTGGTATGCGGCCGCGGAGGATCTGCCTGAAAGGCTGTATATGGTTGCGGCGGAGTTTGATTTGTTGAGGGTCGAGGCGCAGGAGATGATTCATCGGTTGGCCGAGTTGGAGGGCAGGCGGGATAAGGAGGAGGGGTTTGAGGTGGGTGGGTATAAGTGGACCATGGCGAGGGGGTGTAGGCATGGGTTTACGCATGGCAGTTCGAAGGGGAGGAGGTCGAGGAGGGTGAGGGTTAGGGAGGAGATTTGGGAGGAGGCGAGGGGGTGGTTGGTTAGGGGTGGGGTTTTGGGGTAGGCTGGGGCTTGGATGGAGTTGGGTTTTGGGGGTTGGGCTGGGTGAGGCGACGATGTGGTTTGTATTTAGATTGTATATAGACTTGGTGTAAATAGGATAGAGATTTAGAGGTGGCTTGGATAGTATAGACTTGACTAAAGAGTGCGGCTGGTGGAGAGGTATGAATCCACGCTATCTGCACGGGGAAGGATACAATGGGTGTTGATGTGACCTACGATATGATGGGACAAGGGTGGATTGATAGTTTCTCCTCTATGTCAATGTATCTGGTTCTTAAAGTTATGGACTGGGGAAGTTGGGTAGTGGTGCGACTGTGACTGACTTTGTCGCAACGTGCCGATACCGGCCGGTGTTGACCAGGCTCTGATGCGGCTAGTGTGGCTGGTGCAGGGCGCGGTGCGGACACGCAGGGCTCATCCAATCATCACAGCAATTGTCACCGAGTTGCCCGTCCTTGGTTTTGAGCGCTTCGACATGACAATTTTGCTCTTGTGTGGCTATACCGCTACACGTTTGTTTGTCCTGAACTGTAAAACAAAGTAAACCTCGAGAGTAAGCAACTTGCTTGTGTGGGGCATAACTCCTCATGTGTCAAGTCTGTATCTTTTTTAGTCTGTCACGTGGTTTGTGGCTCAATGGTTGTCGGCGTGTCGGTCAGTTGCGCAAAGCGTAGGTAAGGTGGGCTATCTGGGAAAAGTCAAACAGCCACAAGCGCCCTGACCTTTGGCCAAGCCACCGTAAGGCCAGTGATGAGATCTCTGACGTAGCTCTAACCCATGCCAACCAACCAAGTGATGGTGAGCCTGATGAGGCTGTGCAATCTCACCCTCCATCTTGCGACCCAGGCAGCATGATTCCAACATAAGAATAGACATCCCCCATCGTACATAATTATCGCTTTCTAAACGTCCTCAGGGAGTTTCTGTAACGTCCTAAGTGAGTATCTGTACCGGAGTCTTATCTTCAACAATTTCAAGCACCCCACCAAGTCCTGGAATGGCTCCAAAGCAACCCTACGAGGCAGCCCCGCCCTACCAAGAAGTAAGCCCCCACTGCGCCATCACCCCTGCCAAGCTGACACCACCGACTCTTACTTTCACAGTACTCGGAAGTCACACAAGCAGACCAGGATGACCTGGAATCACAACCGTCACCATCCCACCACCACGGAGACACCGATCCGACATCCACTATTCCCCTAGTCACTTCGGTGATTACCACGCCCCATGAGCACTGTGAGGCCTGCGAGCGGATCATCGTCCGACGAGAGCAGAGACAGAACCAGCTACAGTGTTGTGGGATGGTTGCGATTGTCTTTGTGATGCTGTTTATCTGTTTGACCATTCTCGGGGCAATGTTTGCGAGGGTCAAGGCGCATGATGACTGAGACTTTTGTTCGAGGCACCGGTTGATGTTATGCAGTTGGGATGGTAGAGTTGTAACAATGATATGAGCCTAGAATTCTGGGCTGAGAGCTGTTGGAGATAATGCACGGGGACAGCGACGGATTACAGGGCCCATGGCAAAGACAGCAGCTAGTCGAGGTACTTGCGAATGTTGGCAAGATTGAATATAGCCGACACACCGTACCGTGCTGCCTCGTTCGTCGTAATCCAGGGCGCCTCCTCACCCTCGGAGAAACAGGCCGGTGCCGCTGTCGGCGTCACTTCCCACCCGTGGTCTTTGGTATACCCGTCCGTCTCGAAGAACTGTTGCCATGCTGCGCGGGCTAATTCGGCGTCATCACCGCGTCTCGCCGTGAATGCCGTCAGTGTGGAGTGGCTCTGTCGCCATGTGGCTGTAGCAGGGAACTCGAAGCCGTACTCCTCGCGCTGAACATCCGCTCCGCCGTTGTAAGACCGACAATATCTCCGGTAAGCCTTCAGGAACGCATCCACGGTCGCCGGATGTTCGCTTCCAGCGTAGTCGACGAGCTCCGACACCAGTTCCGGGAAGCCGAATAGCATCGACAAGTGCGAGATGGCATACGGTCGCGTGGGAGGCGGACATGCGCGCACTTCTCCCGTCCTTAGGTTGAGTAGAATTGTCTTCGTAGCGATTCCATATTCTAGGCCCGCGATGCCCTCAAGCATTGCCAGCAGCCGATCTCTACTCTCCGTCCATCCCGGCTCCTGTCGCTCCCATGCGGTAAGCCACGACGCTGCTAACGCGCCGCCATCAAGACAAATGTCCGTCAACGCAAACCCTTCCGGAATGACACCGTGCTGCTGGACTTTCCGATGGGCGTCGAGTCCCAACAGCGCATGCTGGCAGCCCTGAAGCTCAGCGATCAGATCCCCTGTCCGTTCGTCCCCAGTCAAATAGTAGTAGAACCGTCGATACAGCACGTTGGAAATCCGGAGCTGTTTGCAGCTGTCGCTGAAATGCTGTACCCCATGACGCGTTCCGAAACCCTTGAAGCGGCCGGAATGATACACGTCCACTTCGCTCGTATGGCGAGTCATGGCCTCGGCCAGTCGAAAGACATCCGCCCGACCAGAATGCAGGAGATACAGCCACAGCCATAAGTCCGTGGAGAGTTCACTGTTGTCCCAGGCAAATCCCCCGACATCGTAGCGCCACGCGTGCCGGTGGGGGTCGTACGTGTGCTGCACGTCACCGTAGTCCCAGAAGCCGTACCAGCGGTGTTGCTCGACCTGGCGCTGGTAGTGGGTGAATAGGGTATTAAGGTTGTCTTCAATATTTAGTTCGGTGGCTGTGGGGCTGAGGCCAAGGAGGCGAGTGTCCGGGGCCCATGTGCTGTGAAACACCCCAGCATTGTATATGGTCTCCGGGGTGGGCACTAGGCGAGGGGAGTCACGGACTAGAGCTGAGAATGCGCTTAGGCCGTTGTCGGATGGGGTTCCGTTGCTGTAGGGTCGAAGGAAGAAGACTGCCGTTCGCCCGATTCCGTTGGCCGTACCGAAGCCGGGCTCGTAGTCCTCGTATGTAGCCTGAAGGGCTTTGAGCTGTTTCTCGTAGGTGTCGAGACCTAGTCCGTCGTGGTAGGGACGGGTATCCAACGGTTCTGCTGAAGGTGAGTACATCCATATCGTTGTCGATGCTTCGTCGGTGGTCAAATTGCTGAGATCGATTTGGGTGGGGTACTGCTCCCAGAAATTGGTCAATCCCACTGCCAGGCCACCGCGCTGTGCCGAGCCAATGTATGCAGTGCCGGAATATCTGCTCCCTCCTGTCACCTTCACCCATGAACAGCCTTGTTTCGTTCGCTTCTTTAGCGTGAACCCGTCAGACGATAATTGACTGAGGGCATAGTCGTTCCACGACGGAACATAAGACAGCCACGGGGCATCTTTAAGGGTCACGGCTTTTCCGGCAGTCTGGTCGATGCGATCCTGCACGCTAGGGCCATGCCACAAACCTGATAGGCCTTGCACTTCTTCCCTCAGAACCCCTCCTGTGGGACCTAGGAAGCGAATGTGGCGGTTGTAGTGTTCGATATCGCGAAATGGTACCGAGAATTTGAGACCGAGTGAGGTCAACGGTTCCTCAGGGTCGAGGTCATGGATGAATGAGAAGACGACTTTGAGCGGCTGCGCATCGGAGTAGATATATACTCGCGCGTCGAATGGTAGATGCTCTCTTCCCTCATATACAACAGTTCCGGAGGCTTTGACAACTGCTCTCGCCCAGGTGAGGTTTTCAATGGCACTCTTGTGTACGACTGTTGTATACTCTTGGTTGTTAATCGACGAGACCACAGTAGCGGCGGAGCACACTTGTTGTCCATCCAGGGAAATGTTCTCAAACAATGTCGCAGAACTCCGAGTCAGGAATTGCACACTCAGTCCGATCTTCGTGGAGACAATTATATGTTCCGGGGTCGTTTCAGCCCATATTCGGGACTCCATCTCCGGCTCGGTCGCAGCCTTCACGGTATACCCGCTGCTATACCCGACATGGCCACTGATGGAATGCGCCGTCCATTTCAGAGACCCGTCTGCCCAGTATGCCAGCTCGCGACTATCGAGGGGATAGCCTTTGCCGTCTGTCTCAATTGAGAAGGTCTGGTTTGGCTGGTATCGGCCCTTAGGCCATGGCATGGTGAACGAGAGTCCCGTGGCTAGAGCGTCCGGGTTATCGCCGGTTAGCCATCGGAGATTCGGTGAGGGCATGGCGTGCTTTTGGTGCGGGGCACGCAATACTATGGGACGGCGGTTCGTCACATGAATTGAAAAGGGAATTGCGAAGTGAAAAGCAAAGCAGGAATGGAGAGGGGGCAAGTGCTTTAAGTAGTTGGAGATTGAGAAAATGGAGGTTCCCGGCTGGGTTGGGAGAAGCAACCCGTGACCTTTTTGTTGCATACTTGCAAAACAAACACCATACATGATGCAGCACAGATTCGAAATTGGGTCAATCGTCAAATCCACATCAACTATATTAGTCTTGACTATCATCTCGTCAGACCCATACCTTTTCTGCATTGACTACTTCAAAGCTGTTTGGCTTTCTTGGACTTGCACAAGTAGTCCCCTCGCAACTATCCGCGCAGCGATATCGAATCATAGCAGTAGCATAATTGACAAGACAATCTCTTGAATGCAAAGTGAGAAGCCTTTAGTAGACTAGAACAGATAACTACCCTTATTAGATATCTTGATGACAATTTTTATACAAATCATAGTAATCAAGTAAAAAGAAAACTCATAATATAACTCTTTATTCAACTAGGTTTAGTTATTAGATATCTAAACTGTGCTCATCCTCGCCCTCGGCGTTCAGTCGGCACTTGTGCCGGTGAACAACTCCTTCGGGGCAGGCCAGATAGGAGAGAATTGGATAATTGTCTCGCAATACCTTCACAATACCTTGAAAGCTTGCAGTAGGTTGGGTCGGCTGCTTCGTGCAGGCGTATGTATAAGTCGAAGAATGGCTCGTTAGGCATGGTAGAGACTAGATTGAGTAACAGTTCAACTTCACCTGACTGAACATAAAATTCCGTAGGTAACGACAGCTGGAAGCTGTGACAAGACCGAGGGTCTACTTTCATGATGTTGGCTTTCGAATGATCAGACCACATGACGTGTTTGTTACCTTTCGCCTTCCTACCACCATGACATGATCATACCCTCAGACATGAAGTCTAGTTCCGAAGTGTCACCTCGATCCAACACCTTCATGCTAACACCCATCTCATTCCAGCATTTTCCTGGCCTTCAGCTTGTTGGCAACCTCGTTGACAATGGCTGGGAATTGGTCTGGTGGCTTTCCCTGGCTTTTCTCCACGGCCTTCTCAAACACATTCCACACCTCGATATACTTATTCCCACTACTCTGAGTTGTACCAATTGCTAAGAAGGCCTCACGCATGCGCTCATGACGTGAAAGACCCTCGAAGTGATCCACCTTGCCAGGTTGGTTGACAGCCTGCCTCTGCACGAAGCTGAGCTCCACGCAATAGAGAATCAGCGCTGCTAACCCGGATGCAATAGCCGTTGCTACTGAAGACCCAGTCAAGGTCTGGCATTTGTCGATCGGTGCGTCGTTGGGTCGCTCTTTCACCACTTTGTGGCCGGGAAAAATGAAGTCGACCGCCGCCGCGTCTCCTACCCACTTCCATACCGCTCCAGAAGCCTCCGCAGCACCGATCTTGAAGATATTCTTGGTATTGGCACAGGCAGCAGGGAAGCTGACATCCAGCGCTGCCCCCTGATCATTTGCCGCACAGAACATCAGGATTCCTGCGTTAGCAGCGGCTCCGATCGCGGCTTCCAAATCTCGAATGTCGGCCGCATTCTGTTCGTTGCGTTCGATCGTCCATGACATGGAGATAATGTGAACCTGTCGGTCAATTGCGGCGCGAACAGCCTTAGCTGCACTCTTGGCTGTTATCTGGCGGGTTGAACTCTCGCTGACATGCTCTGCTAGCTTGACAACAAACAACTTTGCAGTGGGGCACACGCGGCAGATGAGGCTCGCCATGACGGTCCCATGCCCACTGCCTGACACATAGAAGGACCGCTGCAGATTCTGTGCATAGTCCCGTGGGCAGAAACTGCGACCGCCGATTATCTTACCCCGCAGAGTCTTCTCCTCGATGTCAACACCATCGTCGATCAGCGCCACGCGCACGTCTTCTTTCCATCCAGTCGGGGGCCGAATGTTCTGAATGAAGTCCGCGAAGTTGTCCATGCACGTCAACCAACGGTGACGATGCTCGACTTGCTGTTCGCGAACCCCCTCGATGGAGGCCCCGCTCTGGTTAGCTGATCTTTCTGGCCGATGTTCTTCCAGTTTAATGTGGATGTCTGGTCGTAGTGCGGCCAGCCTGCTGCGGAATTGATTCACATTTCGCTTGGTTCGCTCGGCGGTTTCAAGACCCTGTTACATGTGAGTTTCAAAACCATCAATCGGTTCATGCTCTCTACGCACCTGGCTAACATGCAGGTGCACAGTCCGCAGGCTTTTCAATTGTGCCAGACCGCCGTGATCGCTCCATCCACGCAGCACCGCGTTGTTCCCACTCCAGTACAAATACACCTCCCGAGCGTCCAGCGCCACACTAATGATCGTGTCAATGGAGAGGTCAATCTTGCGCCAGTCCCACACCTCGACCCGAAAGCCCCCCAGCGCCTGTTCTATTGCCTCATCGCTGTGCGCTGGAGAGGTCGTGTCATCCACAATGACTCGCAGAATTCGGGATACCCCCTTCTTTCGCAGAAAGTCAAACATAAATACCATATCGCGCCGACCCTCACCATCAGGCAGCAAACTTCTCACCCGCGCAAAGCGCGAATCCACGGACTGCACCTTTTTTGTCAATTCGAGATGCGGAAGCGCGACATATTGCAATGTGTCTTCGAAGCATAGATACTCTAGGCCACGGCTGATCCAGTCTTGGTCGATGTATCGTGACGAAGACTCATATAGGTCGAAGTATAGATCTCTGGCTAGAGCTCGTTCAGTATACAACTTCTCTATCGTAGCAGCTGGAAGCATTGTACTCACGTCGGTCTCGTCCATATAGCAGTTCGATCGCTTGGTCGTGATCCCGCGTCCTCAGATAATGAACTTTCAGGTAATCTCGAATTGTATCCGCGGTCTGTTTCGTGACAACCATGTCCTCACTTGCTTTCTTGGTGGATGTCTTCTTTGACTCATTAGCCGTGCCGTTTGCGAATTTGACAGATTTGTTCATAGTTATAGGTTTGTCGTGCACTGCCAAAGCGGTCACAAAGGCCAAATCTCCTATGGACCCTGATTGATCCTTCGATGACGGATGAAGCTCACTAAGGGTATTGCTTCGTCGGGGTAGGCCTAGTCGGTTCTCGGATGGTAGTTTGTGATCTGGCCCAGGCAAGCTCGTCGGTGCTAGGCTAGGAGGAAGCATAACATTGTCCTTGGCCACACTTCCCTTACTCATTGGCAAACCGACATCCTTCATACCTTGGAGCTGTTGTTGCTCCACGTGTTTGCGTCGAGACGCCTTGGCCTCAGCTTCCGCCCTGGTAAACAGATGATAACGATATGGAGAGAGTCGATTTGTGGTACTGGTTTGCGCATCCAGTGCCTTATCACAGCGATCAATCAATGCTTTGACAACACTCAGCCCTGCATCGGTGCATCGCTCGTATGCAACTGCCAGATGTAACGGGGTATTGCCTTTGTCGTCCAAAGCCATCAAGGCCTCTATATTGGCCTTGCTGATTAGCTCGAGGATAAGAGCTGGCACCGCCTCTTCGTGAATAGCCACATGCAGGCAATTCCGTGCATGCAACCCTTGGACAGCGATAACTTGACTGATTTGTGGATGATTGGCACATATGCACCGCACAAGGCTAATGCGCTTCTTCTGGATAGCCCAAGACAAAACGGTCCGTTCTGAATGGTCTTTTTTCGCCAGGAGCGCAGGATATCGTCGCACCAGATACTCAACTAACGGCTCATATCGACTAAAGCGCTTGTCTCGGGCACCTTCCACGAGGTAGTGCAATAAGGTTCCGTACTCGACGATCTCATCTAGAATATCCTCATTTTCCCGCACGAAGCGATGAAGCCGATCGCGGTCGGTCAACAATATTGTTTTCTCCCGCAAACTGTCCCGAATATTCTCAAAACGGCGCTTTACGCTCGTTGATGGCTCCGCTTCTGAATCATCTTCAGAGTCTTCATCGCCTTCGGAATCGCTCCGTGGCTTTTCTAGATTGAACTTCATGTGATCCTCCGTTGGGGAAGCCACGATGAAAGGTTCGTCATCGAGTGACGAGGTGGGCGGGCTTACCGTCAACATTCTGTGAGATACCGGACTGGAGAGCAGTGCGCACTCTCAGGAACAGATGCTCTGAAATCAAGTCTTTCTCAACCGCCGACAGTCATCATGCTACCCCGATTCTCCTGCAAGGGGGGCGAAAGAGCGGCTGAAGTGCGTGGTAAATACACTGCGCGTGGTAATAAGCACGGGCCGCGGCAGTACATCTAATTATCGAAACATGCGAACGATTGTTGTCTGTGCCAATCATATCCTCTAGTCGCTATCCGCAGCACGCTCCAGTGACAGTTGGGTGGTTGATTTCAAGGTTTCAATTCACTAGAGCAGACTAAGTATTCAACCCGCATATATTTTGACCATCCCTCGTGTTTGATGTGCTCTGGTTGGGCTAACAGAGAGACTAGTGCTTAGGTGCGTCCTGCCAATTCCGCTGGTGCGTGACCCTGCACAACCCCTCCAAATCGACCTGCCCCAGATTGTAGACGTCAAATTCCCGCAAATTATTTGTTGGATCACGAAGGGGGTCGAACAGGACTGGATCATCCTTGGGCACGCGTCCTTTGCCTCCCCACAGCCGTTCCCGCCATCCGGTGACAACATCAGCCGTGAGCTTGACCACGCACTCGAATGGCTGCTCATCCTCCCTTCGCAACAGAGTAACTGTGCGCAGTAGAGATGGAACGCCACTCTGAGCGGACTTATTCTCCAGGAGAGTCCAGGACGCACTATTTGCCGATCCCCAGTTCCGGCCCACCAAGTCCCGCGACCCTACCACAGTGCAATGGTCCTGTTTGTCGCGGCTGATAGTCTTCTCCCAGCCGACTGTTCCGGTGATGCTCAGCCCTCCTACCGGTGCTGAGGCTCCTGCTTGACCGGAAACCGATCGCTTTATGTCCTCTCGTTGGCTCGTGGGGACAAGGCTGAAGTTACCATCCGGGGCAATTTTATAGACTTCAGGACCGGCCTCGCCTGCCTCCCGAGCCCTAAATTCGAGGGCGATCTGGACCCCTTCAATCCGCCGGGCGCGTTTCCGCACGTCAAACCGGAATTCAAGCACGAGCAGGGTTGCAAATCGATCGTCCCCGTGCTCGCTCATTATCCCATGGATCACGTCGAGACAAGAGCAGCGGATGTCGATTGTACCTTTACGCTCGATCACGTTGCTGCGCTGATAAGGCGCACGCGGGTCATTCTGCACGCGAAACGAACTGCCTGCGTCTCCAGCAGAGGCCAGCCCGAGATCCCAGCTCAGCCCGCCCGAAGCCAAATCGGGGCTGTTAACGGCAGATTCGAAATCCCCGTCGGTATCCTGATCGTGCACGTTTGCTGTATCACCCATTTTCATGTAAGGCTTTTTCAAGATGTTTTTGAGAAAAGTGGGATCCGGCAAGATAAGCAGGAGCTATATGGGCGATTCCACGCTTCTTGGCGGAGCTGACATGCGCCCCTTGTTTTCGGTCCAAACGCACTAAGGGAGGCACCGGCTAATTGCCAGCTTCGAGACACGCACCCACTTGAAACAAGAACACTGCACAAAATCTTGCTCACAACCTTAAGATGCTTCTGTTTGTCGAATCTCGCACATATTGAACACTTAGTAAACCTTCAGCTGCTGACAGATCAAGCTTCTTGCTGCTTCTATTGTCATGTCCGACCGCGGGTCGATCTCCAGCTCTGACGATGAACAAAGCACGACATCTAGGTCGTCCACTTCAGGCTCAGAGTCGGGCGATGAAAGGCTTGAGAATGGCACCGAGACAGAGACTGTTGAGGATCTTGATCAAGCTCCATCAACAGCGAGCGATGAGAATGAAGATCCCCAAGATGTCAAACCACCTATGTTAGCTCTTTTAGAGCCGACAGAGGGCGAATACGAGTATGACTTTCCTGTCTTTCAAACCTTTTCGAACTTTTAAAACTGACAGACCCGCATAGTATTGTCTTAATTCACGGGCTTCATGGAGATCAGCAAAAGTCTTGGGCTAGTCCGATTGATGAGGATGGCAAGCCGACCTGGCTGACCGAGGGTCTTGCTGGGAATCCACCGGTAGCACGAATTTACAGTTTCGGATATTCCTTAAAGTTGGACAGCCCCGGCAAATCACCCATGGCGGCCATTCATGATCTGGCAGATTCATTAATCAACGAGCTCTATCAGAAAGTAAAGGATGATCCAGAGGTCTGTGCTTGTTTGCCTTTGACTTTCCACCGGTACACAACTAAATGCCCCTAGGACCCATTCCGCCCCATCGTGTTCATCACGCATGACATCGGGGGAGTAATCGTCAAAGAGGCCATACGTATCGCACTGCTGGAGAAAATAAATTACACCTGGTTCATGATATATACTCGAGCTTTGGTAGAATGCTGAGCCCAACGTCGCAGTGGCCAGAAGCTGATATATGTAGGTTTTCTTCGGATGTCCTCATCAATCCATTTATGACGGCAGCATGGCAAACCAGCTGCTCCCTCTGGTGTTTCAAAATGGGGTTACCTCTCACAGTGTTCAAATGGAGGATATCACTGCGCTTGGGGAGGGCATCGAGGAGCTCAATTCGACCTTTGTGGGACTACAGGCTTCGCTGTCTGTCGAGATCATCAACATATATTCAAACAACAATGCTGACCAGGTACGGATTCCTCAAGCACGGAATATCGTCAACCATTCTCCCTTTGACATTACAAACTGACTTTCAGAAGATCTTTGACCAGATGGCAGCAACCATTGGGCTACCGTATGAGATTACCTTGGCGTCTACCAAATCTCATAGTGACCTTTGCCGTCTTCTAAGAGAAGATGCCGTTTATCGCAAAATTGAAGACCGAATCTCTGGGTCCGCAAAAGGTATGTCCAGCACGGCTATCCCCAACGATTTGCAGCATTCTCAAGTATCGCAGAGTCCTTTTGCGAGGCAGTCAGATTTTCGGATTGGTGGTCGCACATGATACCCATGGCGCCGCCACTCTACCCAAGCAAATGGCTGTCGAGAGCATTCAACCCCTATGCTTGGATCACGAGTCATTCGCGCCTAAAGAACTGGCTGGTACCACAGCGCTCAGCCAGGGTCTATCTTCATGGTTCCGTTGCAGCTCATCTCGCAGGTGTTCAAATATTGAGTCATCTGCGCGACAAGGTGAAATCTGACGATCCCACCAACCACATGATTATCTATTTTCAGTTCGACAGTCGTGACGATCGCTCAGCAACATACACTGACCTGCTTAAGTCGCTTATTGCACAGCTGCTACGGCACAATGCGAATATGATGAGGCCAATCAGCGCACTCCTCGAGCGCATGATCCATTTTCGCACCTGTACGGAGGCGGAGCTGTTGCAATGCTTCCGACAACTTGTAACGTACGCGGAAGACAAAACCGTTTGGTGCATTATCACAAACGCGAAGGAATGTGGCTTGCCGCTTACACGATTCGTGGCACTGGTTGATGAGCTCTTCACTGCCAATGAGTGCTGCACCAAATATGCCATTGTAACCCAGAATTTCGTGACGCATAATGCTCTGCGGCAAAGGCTCTCGGAATGGCCTACCATTGACCTTGATAGCCCTTCCCACAGCATGCTCCATGAAGCTCGCAAGGCGAGCAGGCAGGCTGCGCTCCAAGATCTCGTACGGCAGTACCCATTTCTCCGCGGTACCTCCCGGAGCGTCCAGGTGAAGATACTCGATTCCGATAACGATTTGGACTGGCGTGAGTTTGTGCTTGGACGTCTGAGACGCAGGAAGGGGCCAGTGAGCATCGGCGAGGTGCAAGATGCGATCAAGCTTCTGTCGTCGGACCCTAAGGCCAGGCAAAAAGCCACTTCCAGCATTGTGAGCAGTCTCAAAGCGCAAGAGGGAAAGCGGGACTTGGTTGGGGAGATACTACTCTGGGTGAACAAAACATTGCGACCTTTGACTTTGTGGGAGCTGCGCCGGGCGATATCATTTTCTAGTGTCTCACACGGGAAAGCTGAGCTATCCCGCAAGACACTTGACAAGCTGTTCGACGGCATGCTAGTGGTCAAGTATCAAGAAATCCACTTGGCGCATCCTCAGCTCTCAGGGGTCCTACAAGACTTCGGGCCTGGCTCTGGCACCATGGAAGCTAGTAAGAAAATTCTTACAGCGTGCTTGAGATATCTTTCGTCATCGGAGTTCGAGAAGTGGAAGGAAGGAGCGAAGCGTTGGGCTACCCCTGAGTTGCAGGATGCTCGATTTCTGAACACAGAATTCAACTTCGCGCACTATGCGGCACTTTACCTGGAACAGCACTTTGAGTCGGTAGTGCTCACCGAGGCCATCAAGTCGCAGGTAAAGGAGATCGTAACCAATCCCCTGTCGTATCGACGTATTGCCGTTGCCCGGTGGGCTGCATCAAATCTCTTTGAACGACCTGACCGATGCCACGCCTCTATGTTGCCGCTCATGGTAGGCATGCGACAGCATACATGGGTATTGGAGAATCCAAGCGCATTTGCGAGGGACCACACCCACGATATGAGCACATTAGTTTCGGCAGCATGGGAAGCTGCGCGATACAGACAAAGCGATCTGCTGAAGGAGCTACTCGACCATTGTACCTTAAATAGTGCGCAGATGCATGACATTCTTTGGGCAGCTAACTGGTCCGCTGATGAAGAGGTCATCGATTTGGTGGTCTCGTGTATCATTCGGTCGACTAGGTCTGAGTCGCCGTTCGAATGGCCTGACTTTATCCTCATTCGGGCTGCCACTCTGAACTCGACTTCCCTTCTAGCCAAACTTCTCGATGCAGGCGCTTCAGTCCACGGCAAATACGACTATGAGGGGGATATCTACCTGCACTCCGCAGTTTTCTGGTCCGCCGCGGCGGGGCATCTGGACAGTCTGAAATTCTTTCTTGGCAGGGCGGCCATCGCAGACCGTCTCTATTCCAGAAGACGTCAGCTGCTGCATATTACCTCCGCGCATGGACATGTTGGAGCCGTAAGACTTTTGCTGGCTGCGGGGGCAGATATTAATGCTCTCGGTGGCGATGACGGGCAGTCGGTCTTATGTCGGGCCTGCCAATGGGGATATTACAGCGTTGTGCAGGAGCTAGTCAAACATCCCGAGTTGGAATTGGACAAACACGGCGATGTCCGCTGGACGCCTCTAGCAGCTGCCGTAGACCAAGGCTATGTCCACAGCGTTCGATTACTTCTTGAGCGCGGTGCGGACCCCAATGTCCTCGGGTCGGTCAATTGGAGCCCCTTGCAGTTCGCCATCTACAAAGGTCACGACCACATTACTAAGCTCCTACTCGAGCACGGGGCCAATCCGCATGTGACAAAGAATGAAATTGTTCCTTTGCCCGAGGCAGCAGGGGCTGGGAAATTGGAGCTTGTTAAGCTGCTTGTTGAGGCTGGCCACCCTGTGGATGCGCCGGGGACATATAATCGGACAGCGTTGCTGAGGGCGGCCTATTCAGGGCATAGAGAAGTAGCAGAGTACCTCATCAGCAAAGGCGCGCAGGCCACCCTTTCAGATCAGGGTAATAGCAATGGCCTTCACCTGGCGGCTGAAAAGGGACACGCGGGGATTATCCGGTTACTGAGCGACCACGGGACGAGTCTCAATCAAGTTTCTGAAGCGGGCTGGACACCTCTACACATCGCCTACTCGCAGCCGCAAGCGACTCGGGCCTTGCTAGAAAAAGGGGCCAATCCCAACATCGTGGCTTGGAACTGGACACCGTTGGCACTGAGTGCTACCTACAATCAGACGGAGAATGTGAGGACGCTGCTGGAGTTTGGTCCCGACCTCGAAGTGCAGTACGGAGATGACCCCTACAATGGATACACGGCGTTGGGGTGCGCCGTGAAGAAAGAGCGACTCGACTCGGTACGTCTGCTCCTGGAAGCCGGTGCCAATGTCGATCATCAAGGCTCCAAGGGGCAGACCCCGTTGCATGATGCGGTACGACTCGACAATCCTGCCCTCATCCAGCTCTTGCTGGAGTTCCGCCCGGATGTGAATCACGCCCAGCAGGAAGGGTTCACGCCTCTTATGTATATGTCACCATCTACGCGTATGGAAACTCTCCGTCCGCTGATCAACGCCGGGGCAGACCTCGAGGCTCGCAATCGTAAGGGCCTGTCAGTGCTGATGTGCGCGGTCGGTCATGAAAACGCCGCAATGGTCAAGTATCTGCTCGCCCGCGGGGCGGAACTCAACACCGTGGGTTCCATCCGCGGTGGCCCGCTGCACTATGCCTGCTGGGACTCATCCCTAGACATGGTGAAGCTTTTGGTCGCTGCCGGTGCGGATATCAACCTCGTTGATCCGCAGAATGGGTCGCCTCTGCACCAAGCAGCTTACCGCGGCCCCTTCGGGGAGTGGGAGCACCAGAGCAAAATTTGCAAATATTTACTGAGCCTCGAGGAGCTGGATGTCAACAGCACAGGAAGCATGCGGGGCTCTCTGCTGAGCTGGATCTGTGTGACAGCGCCGTTGGAAATCGTGACCGCCCTGCTCGATAAAGGCGCCCGCGTCGACCAGCCGGATATCCAGGGCCGCACTGCGATCCATCTGGCGGCCGCCAACTCCGTCAGCCATCTGGACCTCATCTTCGAGCAAGGTGGCGACATTGAGGCGCGAGACCATGTGGGCCGCACGGTCCTGCATTTTGCAATACTCAGCGGATCGGCCGCTCTAGTCGAAAGAGTTCTCAGCCTCTCGTGCGAGTTGCTGGATGCCCCCGACGACGACGGCTGGACCCCGTTGCTCTGGGCCGCGCGAGGCTGGACCCGCCTCAGCCGGACCACCACCGCGAGTGTGCAGGAGGAGATCATCTCCATGCTGCTCAACCGCGGTGCCAACCCCTGTACGCAGTGGGTTGGGCTCGGACGGACGTGGTCAGCGGCCAAGATCGCTCGGTACCACGGCCACTCCGGCAACGTGGTAAGACTGCTCGAGGACGCGTATCAGACCGCGCATCCTCAGGCCGACGCGCTTGAGATTGTTGGTATTCATTTCAGTCGTGTGGCTGCTTCGTTTAGAGGTACATGCGATGGCTGCTTCATGGTACCGCTCTCTCCCCTTCTTTCCGTTGTTCTCCATTTCATCTTTGCTCTGCTTCTCACTTTCTAAGTACTCCGACTAATGCTTTGTTGTTAGGGCCTCTACGGGTATCGCTACAAGTGCCAAGTCTGTTTCGACTTTGACCTCTGCTACAAATGCTTTCTCACAAGGCACAAGACGCACGATGGGCATGACTTCTCGTCGACGGAGGCGGAGGAGAAGTATGTGGAGGAACCCGAGGAGGAGGGCGGAGGGGGTGGAGATGCGAACTCTACGACCCATGGTAGTTCGTCAGATGTACAGGAGAGTGAGGATAGTGATTCAGACAAGGACTCGGATGTGGATTCGAGTAGTAGTGATTAGGCCAAGGTGCATAGACTTTCTCGTGTAGGGCAACAGACAATACAGATCGCCAGCTGTTTCAGAACTCTATCGGGCTCAGCGCTATTAAAATGAATTGATTTATGCTTTGTCATTCACAGTTCTCGCTTAGGCACTATGAGTCAGTGACTCGGGAGGAATAAGGTTACGCAGGTACTGCATACGTCACCTACCGTGGGCTGTATAATTACCTCACAACAAGTATCTACCCTTGACCGTGATCTGACGTTTTAGCATAGGTACTGTACTCCGGTCGCTGCCGCATCATGGAGCATATGTGTGGTTACAGATTGCAACAGGTAAGGCCCTGGTATTGATGTAGGGCTCCAGTTTGGAGAGAGGCATCCGTACCTGATCGCCAGATGCGAGGCTTGAGTGTATCACCATGCTTTTATTCTTGAGTACTGGAGGATCGATTCCGACCCGATATAGTCTTTCTCTTTCAAATAGGAGTCATTTCCCAACAGAAGAGTCACAACCTGTAAAAGTTGTTTTTGTTCAAAGCGTATATCGGTATACCAATACCACAAAAATATCTTCAGATCGCTTGCGAGCTACTTAATCGGAGTTGTGGATGGGCATACAATCCCTTCGGATAAAGCTGCAGCATCCCCCGCCTCTGCATGGATTCTTTTCCGATTTGCATGGTCTTCCTCTTTAAGGATTCCGTATGTTTTGGTCGGAATGCTATCTGTGCTTCACTTGAGGTGATTTTGTCGGGTAATTGTACAGTAGTGTCTGGTCAAGAACCTGATATGGATATCGAAGGATAGACACGGGAGTAAAGTACAGGAAGCGATTGGACTACTGCCTATGATGGTCATGCAATGAGAGGAGCTATTAGCACTCGTATGCTTGATTTACTCACTTAGTCTCTGAAGAAGAAGTGTTGTTGCAGACTATCAGCTATAGAATTCATACAATTCGAGTAAATTGCAACAGTTCGGCGCTGGAGTGTGTTCAATGAATTAGGCATGGGCGCACAGTCACCCATATAGGACGTCTCTCTAGGGCTAGGATTATCTGGAAATGGAAAAGCCCATCAACGAACGAGATATAGCAAAGAGCGCGCCAGTGGGCAAGGCAAACGGAACCAGCTGACCTCTCCTTATCACCCTTCTGCGCAGCAAACCTCGAGTGTGCCGACCATGGAATGACACCGTAGTCACAAGGTTGAGAATCATAACCTTGCTTGGTGTTGCAAGGAGCTCTGAAAGCGGAAAGGGGTCTCTCGAGGCATGTGGCGGTGTATCCGGTGTCTTGTTGGAGCAAGGTTCATGCAAGGCGCGATGTCGGCCTCTCTACCCCTCAACGCTCGAGGTACATGGTTCCACCGTGACAAAAGTTAACGGCGCTGTCATGTGGACTGATCTAGTCACGTAGTCATAATAGAAAGGAACATGAAGGGATATCAATTGCTGTTGTAATGGCGGATAGTGGTATAAAAATGGGGCAAAAGGAAAGATAAAGGAAAGGCAAAAGAGGAAAAACATCAATCTCGCAGCTGTTGGTATTGAACCAGGGTAGGATATGCCAAGAACCTGCTCAGGGCAGCCAGAGGGGGATTTGCAGCGGACAGGTGGTATGCAGCGCTTGAGTCTCCGCGTGACCCAGCCCATAGTCATCGCGCTTGGGTCGCCGGGTAAAGACGACTAACATATCGCGCAACGCCCGGTCGGACGGGTCGCATGCATTCAGCTGCGTGACACATCGCTTGTAGTGGTGGTCGGCGAAGATCAACGTGTCGAGGAAGTCGCGATGCTGCACCCGCGCGCGGATCAGGGCCGGGTTCGTCTCCCACAGCGGCGCCCCCGTCGTCTCCAGGTTATCGTGGAGGTAGGTGACCGCGCTGTCCGAGCGCATGTTAGACGACCCCAAAAACACGGTCATGGTGTGGTCCGACCCATCGGAGTGGACGCCTCCGGGCGCTGGCTCGCCCTGGACTCCCTGGCGATCGTCGGTGAAGATCCGCACGTTGAGCACGGTGCACACCCACTGATGCGACGTGTAGTCCAGCTTCTCGCGCGGCAGGATAGGTACCTTGTGGAAGACCAGCGCCTTGAAGAGCATCAGCGCCTGGACGACCGTGTTCCCCTGCATCTCGAGCGGTGCCTCCTCGAACTCCCGTTGGACCCCCGGGTCGTAGCGCTTGTAGGCCTCCTCCGTCCTCGGGCCGCATGGCAGCTTCTCCAGGCGCTGGATGCATCGCGTCTCGACGTCGAGGCAGTAGCGTGCGGAGGTCACGGTGCGGTATTCGAAGGTGGGATCGGGGCCGGTGGTGTCGCTGATCTTCTGGATGAGTTCGAAATCCTGGTCTCTTGCGCCGAGACCTTTGAGGATTGGCACCATTTCGTTGCTTTTGACGAAGATGATTCGTTCTTGGAGGTAGGTTTCACGCAGGGCCATTACTTTGGCGACGGTTTTGTAAAACTCCGCGTGGTACCGGCGTTGAAGCACATTGAGGTTGTGCGGTGTCGAGCGCCCGGTGCTGCTGGTTTGGCTTCGGGGCGGTAGAGCCATGGGCTCAGCAGGTGTTGCGGTTCTTTAGGGGTTCCTTGGTAAAGGTTGGAGAAAAGCCGTTCAGTGGTCCTGCAGTTTCACATACTCCGGAGGCATTGGTACTTATACTCTTTGATTACGACAGGCTCATGACTTCATCTCGCAGCTTTCAGGGTGACGGTTCATCTATGTGCGAGGGACCACGTTGCCATTGTCGCCAAGGAACTGACTGCAGCTCGAACATAGAATCAGGTTTATGTCAATCCTGTCTTCAATATCCAAGCCTCCTTCTATGTCAGTTTGTTTTCCATAATCCTGTACCCCTAGATCCGCGCATAAGTATAAACAGACATAGTGGTCTAGTCGAATGTAAGGGGTTGGTGCTTAGTTCCATTCAAATTGGCCAATTCGGGAACGTCTTCATGTTTTCCGTCCTATCAGCACGCAATGTTATGTGGAAATCGATCCCTGTAACCTTTTCCTAGCATGCCAAATGGCTGAAGTTTATATCGCTCGCTTAAGTATCATCAAACCTCGGGTGAACGGAGACATTTGGTTCTGAAACTTTCGTACCGTGTCCAATAGCTAAGTTTGAGGCGACCGCCCCCAGAGCGATTGTGTATGAAGCCCTAATTGCAGGGTGTAAAGCGGCCAGCCACCTCAAGATCGGGTATATATTACAGTTACTGCAAGCACTACAAATATCCGATCCAGATTTGAATTGCCTACGTAGGCCAATCATGGCTTCACATTGGTCACATTACCAGACTCTCCTTATGTATCTACCTCGGAGTAAGTCCGTGCCTTCTATAAGCATTTCCAAATTACCTGCTTGGTAGATTGGTCCGCCAATACTAGTGATAGGTTTAGATCCGAGGGAGGAAAGATCAGTGACCAGGGAGTTGCGGCTTGTGCCGCTCAGGCACAGGCCGCAAAAGCCTAAAATGGCATTCCTCTTGATTGATGCTGAGGACAGCTCGGGATCTCTCCCGGTGTTGCTCGGCGAACTGTCGAGGTTGATTGGTCTGAGAAGAAGGGGGCCAACTACCAATAATACTTAGCAAAGCCCGGCGCGACAATGGCAGTTATTGAACCATCAGACGGGTTGGGTAGATTACCCGGGGCGGTGACTGCAGTCAATTAGGGTGCTGTGCTGTCCGCTGCCAAAGCAGCGACCCACTAGGCCAATTTGGGAAGACAAAGGGATCGTCCTAGAATAGATCACGGCCATGTATCATCTTTCCTGAGACAAAGTCTAATAATCTTGCGCCATGATCGCTTTGTACGCTCTGACAAGGTTGCTTCAAGACCACTCCATGCTAGGACTTGTTGTGGTGGACATCTGCTTAGACGAGGGACAGAACATCTCTCCATCCCTAGACTACTCCATGATGATGGTTGGAGATTGCATGGATGTCTCTTATCACCCATTCACAATACGCGATACCGCAAGCTTTGAATGCTAAAATGACACTCTCAATGTACATACACAGGCATCTTGTCTCACCGTCTTCCTGGGAAAGGATCCTGAGGGTGAAACTACCACAATTAGAGATCCAGGAAGTATCTTTGTCTATTGACCCAGTCAGACCCATGAGCTGGGGAGAGAGGCTTGCTTGTCTTTCATTATCTGGCAACAGTGAATCAAGACCTGTTCCTGTTGATGGTCAATGGCTATAATTCAGCAGACAAGGAATCTCCTTCCACCAGAACGATTCATTATTATCGACGACTGGGATATCACCTCATGGAATTATTTTTTGCGTCCGGAATTGGCCAACATGGGTTCAAAAAGCAGGATCTGAGTAAGCTAATCTGCTCCAGGCTACTACTGGTCTATAAACACTTCTTCTGTCTCTCCTCCTATCTCTTTAATTGCTCAATTCAAAATACCTTACTTAGCAAGTCCAAGAAGCCTATAAACAGTCGTTCTGGTTGGTTATACGAGCGTATACAGGAAACACACCTTTCCTCCTCTAATTCTCCATCACAGACAGCCTCATCCAAGTTCACCGCTGAGGTTGATCATTTGTGCTTCCCCACTGCAAGAATCCAAACGCCCGATCCTTCCTCTGTTCTTATTGCGACCCTGTCACGATGGCCAGAAAGGCCGAATCCCCTGTCCGGCCGTCTAGCAACCCCAGGCCTGACAAGGCTGACAACCAGGCTGGCGGGTGTGATTCAGCCAACAGTGAACTCATTCCCGCTGGGCGAGTGCGCGTCCCTTGCGACTTGAGATTGGACGTTCTTGGATTCGGTGAGGGACAGGCGTGGGGCAAGTGGTATTACGGCTCATAAACCCGCCTCAACTTGCAGCTCAGCAGGCTGATTTGATCCCTCAGAGTCAGGTGATGTGTACTTCAACGGCCCACGCGATAGACACCTCCTCCCAATAGACTCTGGGCTTCGAGCCAGAGTAAGCGGTCTGGGCCATGTCGCATCCCGGGGCGCTCTACGGGCGGCGTATCTTCGTTTCATGGTTAGGCTGCCTGAGAGTGTCATGGACACCGAATACCTCATTCTATTTGACGATTCTCCGCGCCCGGCGCTTCGAAACCGAAAGCCATCCGTTGTTGACCAATGCATCAATCTCTATATTCAACAGTCCTGGGCGGAACTTTTCTCGCTACTAAGCCTCCATTGCGAACCACTCTTCCTGTCGACGTCAGTCGCTCCACCGCAGGATCTGGAGTCCTACCTGATGCTTTCACGTCTTTGCTTCCGGTTGATCCCGCAGAAGACCGATACGGTAACGTTCGAACCCTGCTCTGTCCCACCGACGTTGGCGCGTGAAGAGGTTGACTGGGATGCAATGGAAGATGAGATGCGGGATACTCCCGTCTTCCAACTCTCGGAGGTCGAGCGGTTCCGTGACGTCGAGCGAGGTAAAGTCTACGAAGTCGATATCCATGGGGCGAAATTTGCCTACAAAATGACCCATGGGACCGAGTCCCTTCAGCGCGAGATTTCCATGCTACGGAAGATGGAACAGTGCAACGAAGGAGGACGCTCGCTCCGAGTGCCCAGGCTGGAAGGAATCATCGGCATCGGTACTCAGTATGCCTGTATACTGATGACTTACATACCGTCGCCTACTTCCCTGGCTTGCTTTATGACGGCCAACAATGACGGTGAGGTGAGCATCGCCGAGCGTCAGAAGTGGTATGATCAAATCGCTGACGCGGTGCATACACTTCATCGGCATGGGCTCTTTTGGGGGGATGTCAAAGCAGCGAATGTTGTGATTGACGGTGTCCATCGCGACGCGTGGCTCGTGGACTTCGAAGGGGGGGCAACTGCAGGCTGGTGGATTATAGCATATCAGGAACGGAGGCTGGGGATTTGCAAGGATTGAGCAAGATGCGCAAGTTCTTGAGGTTAGAGAGCACTAGGCCATGGCAAACGGGGAGACGGCGAGGACTAGCCCCGACCTCACTTTTCTGTTCTCTTCTATGTCTGATACTTGTCCTTGTACCTTTCCTCGTCGTCTCCTTCTCCTTTTTCATGTTGCTTAGTCTTTGTGCACTTTTCATTTAGTAGGTTGCAACCTAAACACCGGAAGCTCATTTCTGGCCAATGAAGGTTCTTCGATACTCCTAGTCTCGGTTGAGTGCAATTTCGGTTGATTGGGTCGAAGCCTCGGTTGCTTCAAGACCGAAGTATCCACAGTTGTGATAACATATGAAGAAACGCGGCTCACTACTGGAAATAACTCTCCTCTACGAGAGCGTGCGCGGGAATCGGGTTGCATGATGAGTGTCTTGATATTATTGACTAGTTTATGTGGCACCATCTGAGCGGATATATAGACCCGAATCATCCGTATGGCAACATAAGAGGGAAAGAAGTCCATTGACAGGACCAGCAAGGGAGATGGACTGAATAGGCATCTAGTGGTTACTTCTGTGTGTACACAACTCCGATCCGAGAATCCCGAATCCACCCCTCTTCCATCCGAGCACCCGACGGCTGAAATTTGCAATCTCGGTGACTCGGGAGCTTGCCTTATCGTAAGGGTACATATGAGTGACAATCTCCACGAGGCACTTATCGTCTGTTTTGAGGTCTTTCTGATTGTCAATATACTTTCATGCCCTGGTTATCTGCGCACCCCTGTGCGTGCGGGGTCACGGTTGACCGGGTCGGCGCTGGCTTCGCTTGCTTGGCATGGGCATGAGCCAGGAAGCCATATATATGACCATGTGTATCTCAATGAACTCAGATTATGCTCTGAACTCCAGACCTTTCTGATCCCTTCAACTAATACAAACATCCACCACAGCCACAAACCAATAATTCCAATTCCACCAGTCCAAAATGCCCTCAGTTGACGCCCTGCGCCCCGCACCACCCACAGTGATAGGCCCTACCACCCAAAAGGCGACTCGTCCAAGCCACCCCCTTCCTCAATGGCTCATCGATGGCGCTCGTGTGGATAAGCAAGAGGTCTTCGACGCGAGACGAGACCTAAACTTCCAGCCCCCGAGCGGCATCACCACCATGCGGGAGATCGGTCTCGAAGGACACGGGATCTCTCCGGTGGCAGCCTCCGAACCATTTCCCCTCTTCACCCCCGCAGCCATCAAACAGATGCGGGCGGAGATTTTCAGTGAGCCCGTCCTGAAAGACTGTCAATACTCGTCGAGCTTCGCCAAGAATATGATCCGGGGAATGGGTCGAGAGTTAGTTTCACCGCGCCATTCCAAGTGTGGACAATGTGCTGTATCTTGCAGACTGACTGAATTTCCGCAGACGCGCCCCCTTCACCTGCGATGCGTGGAGCTCACCCGAGCTGCAGCGCATTGTATCCCGGATCGCTGGGGTAGACCTCGTGGTCGCGTTCGACTACGAGATCGCCAATATCAACATCTCTGTCAGCGATGCGTCGGCTGTTGCCATGGTTCAGGAAAAGCCGGATACCTCGGCCTTTGCATGGCACTACGACAGTTTCCCATTCGTATGCGTTACGATGCTGTCGGACTGCAGCGACATGATCGGTGGCGAGACGGCTATCCGGACCCCAGCGGGTGAGATCAAGAAGATCCGTGGACCGGCGATGGTATGTCACCGGCACCATGCTACCGTCCCTCTTTCTTTGTGTTATTTTCTTCTTTTTATCTTCTCTTCAACTCTTTATCTTGGCTGATCGAGTCTCCCAGGGCACCGCAGTGGTGATGCAAGGCCGATATATCGAGCACCAGGCGCTCAAAGCCCTGGGTGGCCGCGAGCGGATCAGCATGGTGACGCCCTTCCGTCCGCGGGATCCCTCCGTCCGCGACGAGCTGGTCCTGACCGGATCCCGGGCCATCAGCAACTGGTCGGAGCTCTACCATGGCTTCACGGAGTACCGCTTGGAGCTGCTCGAGGAGCGCATCCGCTTGAAGTTGAAGGAGGAGCGGAAGCGGGTGGATACCAAGCGTCCGTTCAATATTGCCGGTATGACTGAGTTCTTGGCGGAGCAAAAGGACTTCCTGGAAGCGACGATTGCGGAGTTGACGGTGGTCGAGGAGATGGATTCGTGTCGAGGGTAGAATTCGCGTGGCCTGCGTTAGGAGCTGCTCAAGAATGCCAGAAGATTGAGATACGGACTTGCCAGTGACATAGTAGAACAAATGCCTATCCTCCTACCCGGTGGAAAGTTGCCACAGTCGGGTCTCGTGCCAATAGGTTAAGATTGTCGGGCACTCCCGAGCCCCGCTCGGGACCGTCGGCTTCCTCGGTCGTCAATCGCGCCGATAAGGTGAATTATGCGGGGTAAGACGTATCAGTGTAGCGATACATTGAACCTAAATTTAGGATGAGCTGTGTGGATATAAGCAAGCCACCTTTGAATAGGGAGAAATGTGGCTAAAATGTGAATAAAAGTGCCTGGGAGACCAGGAGCGAAAGTTAGAAAACGATGAAGATTCGATGATGAATAGCTAGCAGTACAGCAACTTCCCTTCGTGTCACATGTCTATCAGTTCCTTGTTGCTTGACTCTGCGGTAGCCACGGTACTTGACCGGAAGCATTAATGAGGTTGTTGATAGATGGAGATTGCGTGAATTGACCTGTAACTAGACATATGTCCATCGATGGGAACCCGACGGCCAAGGACTATTCCGGCAGTGGCTGAAAGCGGTTGACGTGGCACCTGCGAATCGCTAATTAAAACGAGCGATTGAGGTGAATTCGTTTAGCTACTCATAGCAGCCTCGAGCTGATACGAGGTACCTTGATGCTGTAGAAACTCTGTCCGCAAGCAACTCAACCTAGAATACGAGATAGACCGAACCTGCAACCTATAATTCGCCTTAGTGGCGACCCATGCTCATGTTATCTTCACCCTTAAAGCTCTATACTTATTGCACTCGACCCAGAAGGACTGCCGTCTTCGCAGTTTATAGTCTCCTGCTCGTTTCTTTGCGAGAAGACAGGCAACTCAACCGTTCCCATCGCTCTCTTTGTCTCGATAACCTCCAACACTGACCACAATGTTCTCACCCTTCCAACTATCGGAGTAGTGCTGCTCGCGACCGTTGTATATTCAAAGTGTCAGATGGCCGGCTACAACGAATGCAAATGGTGGGACAGCTCCCCGTTCTGCGGGTCCAGTGAATCCACCCCCGGCGACACCGACTCCGACGGCTGGCTATTCGTCGCGTCGACGCGGACGAAGAATTGGGATGTGCTGTGCAGAGAGATTTCCGAGTCGTATTGTCGGGACTACGGAGACGGGTGTCTGACCGGGTATAAGCGGTTGTGGTGTCATGATTCGGGTATGTCTGTCTTCTGTGGTTCTCTTTTCTGGAGAGTCGACTAATCACGAGCCTTAGGGAGCGTAATGGACGAAAATATCGGTGTGGAACTGTGATTATGGGTGTCATGGCTTTCTGCACAGGGAGACTCGAGTAGGGCTTTTCGTCCTATGTTTGAGATGCTGGTCGTGGCTGTAGGAAATCATTTATGTTTATGTGGGGGCCGACTGGGGCTGACATGTCAGGGCTCTTGGCCCCCACAATGGGTAGAACTAGTGGTGAGGGATTTGGAAGTTATCATTTAGTCTTCGATGTCGGGCTGGTTGCATTTTTTTGATTTCTTAGATGTAGAGGAAATCAAGGACTAAGCGAGACTGAAGTTATGGTGAGCTGAGGTAAGTAGTGTGAGTGCTTCGGAGGGGACAAGTGCTTGATTCGAAGAAATCATCACCCTTTCAGCAAGATCAGTGTCAGTCTTAGGCTATGTCTGTGTGGTCTGTGTACATACTAGCTCTTTCACGGTTGGGGCGACAGTGAAGATTTTCTCTTAATGCCAGCCGACAGCTACGAAAACCGCAGGGCAAATGGTTCCGGAACCTGGAGGACGAGCGCGTATACCGGCAAGCAGCATCTGGCGGCAGCGCCAGGTCTCACTGCTTTGTGCTCTAATAGTTACTTCAGATGATATAAATATCGTACACTCTGGGTACTGGAAAGTGTACTAAACACTTGTTGGAAGGCCTAGGCGGTCGCAGGAAGCAACACCGCCCGGCGCGCCTGACCATCCTGGCAGTAAACCTACGCTACTCACCTCCATACATTATTCTGTGGCAATACGGCCGACCCGTGGTGACTATAACTGCAAGTGTTTCAGTACCGATCACGTGGTACTGATCCTGCGAGCTTAGCGCGAAAATCCCTCGATAACGACAGTGTCAGCCTCATCCACCATGACTTATCAATCAGTAATCATCTCCTGAGATCAATTCATCCCCTGTAGCGTCAGCACCACCGTACCTATGGCACCATCATCAACCCGAAGGACAAGGACCAGCAACTCCAGGTCCCGGAAAGGATGCATAACCTGCAAGTATGTAGCACAACCAAGTCAGACCCGCCACACCAATACAACCCTTGACTCACGGCTCGATATAACAGGATCCGCCACGTCAAGTGTGGAGAAGAGAAGCCCGCGTGCAGCCAGTGCACACGCTCGGGGCGCAACTGCGACGGCTACACCGAAGCGTCACAGACGCAACTTCGCCAAGCCCTCATCCAGTCCACGCCTTGGCGCCAGGGTTTGAGCCCAACTTCGGATCAACGGATCGTGCTCGTGCCAGGCACGAGGGAGGAGCGGCAGTATGTGCAGTTCTTTTGCACGCAGACCGCGCCCGCGCTGTCGGGCTTCTTCCCGTCGCAGTTCTGGAACCAGTTCCTCCCGCAACTCAGTCACCGTAACCAGGCGGTCCGGCATGCCGTTGCCGCTGTCGGAGCGCTGCATCGGCGTCAACTGGCAGGCTGGTTTGAGCCGGCACAAGCAACCGATGAGTTCACGCTGCAACAGTACAACAAAGCCATCCAACAATTTCTACGGCAGATCGGAGACCCGAAAGAGGGGGGCTTTGACTTGATGCTCATCCAATGCCTCCTCTTTGTCTGTCTCGAGATGCTCCAGGGGAACTCCAGGCAAGCGATGAATCACGTCCAGGGCGGCCTAGACATCCTCTCGAGACAGACCACCGCCCTAGACGCCATCAATAAAGACCTGTTCCAATTCTTTTGCCGACAGAACAATCAGTTGTCGTACTTTGGTCGACCGCTCATGCCAGCGCTGGACATACGGTCGCCCGACTCTTCCCCCCTCCGATCGAATCAAAACCTCAGTTTCGACCATATCGATGAAGCGAGGGATTACCTGACGAGCATGATTACCCGGTGCTTGTCCTTTGTCCGCTTTGCCCAGCGTCACGTCTTGGCAAACCCACCGCAACCGCTCTATCCAGAAAATCTTCATCAGCAAGCGGCCCTATTAGGCGAGTGCCATGCATGGTTCCAAGCCTTCGAGACACTGCGGAAAAGGCCCGCCAAGGCCAGCGGGATCCTCGATCCGCGGGCGCCCTTGTCCATGGCATGCCAGTACCACACTGCGATCACGTGGCTGAGCACCTGTACCTCGCTAGATGAGATGGTCCTGGATAGCTTCGTCCCGAATTTTGTAGCTATCGTGTGTGCAGGTGAGAAGTTGGTCGAACTTTGCGCTGGAGACGAACGCAGCTCGGCCGCGGAGCAGTTTTTTCTCGACGCAGAGCTAATACCCGTGCTTTACTGGACGGCCCAGCGGTGTCGACACCCGATTCTGCGGCGCCAGGCTCTTGATCTGTTATCGAAATATCCGGCTCGGGAAGGCTTGTGGGACAAAGGGTTGCATGTGGCGGTCGCGAGTCGGGTCATGGAATTGGAGGAGACGGGGCTCGAACATCTGCCCGTCGCGCAGCGGACTCCGCTGGCACGTCAGCGCATACACGATTCGTCGATAGTAAGCGAGCGGGAGTCACGGGCGAACCCGTGCCTGGTCCTTTTCCGCTCTAAGCCTCATGGCCTGGACGGGCCTTGGGAGCTTCGATGGGAGAATGTGGGCTGGTGATGCGATACAAGCCGTTCTCTCGAAGGATCAACCTTGTCTAAATAAATAGATCTACCTAAATAAAATTGGCAGGGTTTGGCTGAGAATCCCATTTACATTTACGTGTTTCATGCTGTCGTGGCCCCCACCGGGGTGGTCGGATTACGATGAGACCAATCAGACTTTCGTCGGGATATAAGGATCGCGCTAAAGATAAGCCACGCCGTACATTTACGGGCCGTTCAATCACAGACGGCAGTTGCCTGGTCCTTGCGCTTGGCGTGCGGCTGTGGATAAGATTAGAGATCCGAGGGCTGTCGATCTCCCCGAGAGCCGCCCCATGTATACTCCGTATCTTCGCTGCCTGATCCTTGATCCTTCAATCATAGCAGCTAGAAGGCTGTGTAGGATGTGGTCATTTGATTGGTCAATGCGTCAATTTTATGCTGATGCCTTCACCATCAGTTGAGAGCTTATGTTATAGCCTCGCAGTGTATCCATGGTATATAATTGTCGAGTTGTCGGATCTCTGAACAAACATAAATCTTACAATTTGATTCATAGCGAGGACCTGCTTTACATTCTCTACCACATCAAACTGCACCGACCTAGCACCTCACCATGACATCTACCGAGGATAATGACCTTTACACAGGCTGCAAAGCCTACGTCGAGGGTGTTAGTACTTCGTACGGATACATCCCCTCTGAAGGCGCAGGAATTGCGTTCTGTGTCCTCTTCGCCTTATCCATGATCGTCCACATTATCCAATTCTGCTGGAAGCGAACATGGTGGTGCAGCCTATTCAGCATTGGATGCATGGGTACGGATGCCACCGAGGTCCCAAATTGCAAGAAAACTTAGCTAACATCACGGCAGTGGAAGTCCTCGGTTGGGCCGGGCGGACGTGGGCCTCCCAATGTCCCTACAATTCCACCGCATTCATGATCCAGATCTCGACCCTGATCATCGGTGAGAGCTACCCTTTTCCCTATCCACACACGAAGGAGTACCCACGCTGACACCCCGAAGCACCAACCTTCTTCACCGCCGCAATCTACGTCCTGCTCGGTCGCCTCATCCAACTCTTCGGTCGCGAATCCTCAATCCTGTCCCCGAAACTATACCTCTGGATCTTCTGCACCTGCGACGTCATCTCGCTTGTGGTCCAGGCCGTAGGCGGCGCACTGGCCTCGACGGAATCCAACGAAGTCAACGGCGACACTGCCCCGGGCACTAACACCATGGTCGCCGGTATCGTGTTCCAGCTGGTCTCCGTCACGGTCTTTGTCTTCTGTGCGGTGGACTTCTTCCGCCGCTCCCTGCGTCTCGGGTACTTGCAGGGTCTCCTCCACGGCCCGCTCGCCTACCTCGTGGGCGCCATGGTGCTCTCCGTGGTATGCATCTATATCCGGAGTATCTATCGGACAATCGAGCTGGCGCAGGGCTGGACCGGATACTTGATCACGCATGAGTCTTACTTCATTGGGCTGGACGGTGTGATGATGGTTATTGCGGTCGGGGTTTTCAATGTGTTCCATCCCGGGTGGCTGCTCCCGGCGGATCATGTGCTCGCCAAGAACCAGGCCTGTCTGGAGTCTGGGGAGATCGAGACGCACCAGTTGCAAGCAACGACGGAGTACACGGGGTATGGGCATCAGTGAGCGGAAGATTGGCGGTTTTGTCTGTATTTTGCTTTTGTGTTTAGGTGGTGGCTGTATTGTCGTCACATGGTGAGATAGAGTCTAGGATAACAAACCGTTCATCGTCTTCATCAAGGCCAGATCTTGTGTAAATGTAGCATGGTTCCCTCGATTACAAGCTTTCTTTTATAGGTTGGGCTGGTGATAAGGTCGAGGAACCGCCAGTGGTAGGTACTATATATGACCGGCTTGTGTTAAGGACTTCTTTGTAGTGCAGCAAATGCCCTTTTGCCCCAATCCTTTCGCGGGTGATTAGAGGATTTCTTGTGATGAGCAGACTAACCTAAGGCTGGTGACACATTTAGAAAGAGTATTGCAAATGATTTCAATTCGGCTAGTTCAAAGAAAAATGATGCGAATACCTATGATTCAATCTGCCTACCCCACTTCTGAGCCCAGAATTGTTCATTGGATCAGCGAAGCAACTTGCGGAATGATATAATATATAACCACGATTCACAACTCGTTGTCTGGGCCTAAACTGCTTTAGTACATAATGTTGTTAAAAAAAATATTTCAGAGCTCGATCTTCATTATGAGACGATATACGGCTTGCTAGCATGAGCGCTAGACCAAAGTTCCACGGCCTTAGTAACTAAGTAGCTATGATATGATCGAAGCTATTCGCGCATACTTAGGGCAGCAAGTAACGTGACACCAGCGATCGCTGGTCCAGACTTGCATTTTAGGCGGTGAGCAAAATGACCAGCAGTCGTATTGCGACGCGTTATAAGTTTATATTTGGCGGGGATCAGAATGTTACTCTATCTCTCGGGTGATTTGTATTTGGGATTATCTGCGTTGAAGGTCATTAAGATCATTGTATGTCTCTGCTCTCGTGTCGGGGAGTGGAGAGCAGGCTGGTGTGTCGCGTCTACAGCAGTCTCAATGTCAGGTGAACTATCAAAGGATACAGATGGAATCGAAGTCGTAGGTGCCGATGAGGTGTGCCCTTAGATCAGGGCAGCGATTCCTGTCCCTACGTGTTCACATATAGCGCATACTGTGCGGGACAAGCGGTCAAGGCTTCCTACTGACACCAGTATGGCATACAAAAGCTAACAAAGCCGCATCATGGTACTTACCACAAAGACTACATGGTGAGAGGCAAAATTATGAAGGACGTTAAGGCAACTTGGAAGACGGGGGGAGGGACAATCGCCCGGAAAGATAAGCGCCGGATGACGGGCAGAGCAGTACCTAGCGCTCTGTACGCGTTGCCATACACATACGTCAACACCACCAAATTGAATTACAATGCTGTATCTCAATTTCATTCTCTTCGTCTCGCTTGATCGAAGCAGACACTCGTGGATATCATTTTTGGGGCAAAAAAAATATAACCGAGATTGTCCATCCCCGCTTGAATCGCTGGGAGAGGGAGGCGGTGTTCATGGAGATCTACTCTTATCTTGAGGGCGTCGTGGAGATGCTCGTCGCCAAGTGCACTGTGCTGGCGGATGACCAGTTGCGCTACGATGCTCTATCCGTGCTTGTGCGCATTGGTTGCATGGTTGCGTCGCTGGACGAAAAGCCCGGTGACGGCCTACGTGGTATCACAGAGGCTGTTGCCGGCGTACTTCGGCGCGATCCTGATTATCCTGGCAGGGATGTATGTCTTTCCCCTGGAGGATTCCGAGTCGTCCTGAGAGAAACTGTATGTGGAGGTAAAGGATCTGGATGAGGCACTCGTCCGCAAGCGGCAGCGGATTCACGACCTGCACCGTGTACCGCAACAGCTCGAAAGGGATTTCCCGTGAATAAAGCATCCGGGACTCTGTCCTTGAGCCGCTCACTGGGGGCACGCGCCGCTCAATGCTAACAGCACCAAGAATTTCTCGGCCGACTTGATGTGCTTTGGAACCTAGTCCCCGACACCTACTTGGAAATATGCCGCCTTTAACGCCCGCATGCCAACCTGCATCTTGTCAGGTGATTGCGTTTCTTCAAGTTTGTGGAGCGATGGTTGGGAAGTGATAGAAAGGTGGTTAGGGAAGAGGACCGGTCGGGAAGTGTCGCGATGACGCTAAGGAACAAAGATCTCGGCATAGAAAACAGGAAAGCTACTTTCAGGCGCATTATCGATACTCTTGCCACTTACTTGAAGCCATTGAATGCAAAATTAAATCAAATTGCAACTGCGGATCGGAGTGAATGATGCTGTGGTGCTATCAGATACAAGTGCAGACATTTGCTTGCAATAAGTCGCACAAAGGCGTACACTCAGACATGAAGGAAATCAGAAAAGAACACCTGGGAATACAGGTCGGTGCAGAAAACAGTAACAAGCATAATCGAAAGCGAGACTGAAAACACACAGAGGTCATGGCAATCAATGCTGCAGTAGATCCCCAACCACCTCGTAGTACCAGCGTACGAAACACGCATGCAAGTGCCCGATCGACTTCTGGGATATGACCAGAAACTATAGGCTTTTGTTCAACACTTTGCGGCAGGGATTCTCCCCATTCAAATACGCCCACCCGGTCACATAGTGATAAGCCCGAACCTCAAGTTCTTCATCGTCCGCCACTTCCTCATCCCACATTGGAAAGTCCGCGAACCCCATCTCCGCCCCTTGAAGGTCATGCATATGTACGTGTGGCTCCTTCTTGTGGTATTCCCGAGATTCAGTCACCTTCTCGCGGAGAATATCAAGTATCGGCGCCCACCACCCGTCTATAAGCACGATGCGTAGGAGAAATAGTCCCTCCAGATGGGGTCCAAGGGCCTTGCACCACTGCGCAAGCTCGTTTTCAGTCAGCGAGGTATCGGTCATTTGGAAAACGTTAAGGCGCTTCCACTGGATTCCTTCTAGAAGCGGGCTCACACTCAGCTCATCCCCTTCAAATCGACCCATCCCCATTCAAGGAGACATTGACCTGTTCAAGCTCAGACCCTGTGAACATAGCCTTCAGATATTCTTTGAAGTGAGAAGTAGTGTTACCCGCCTGACTGCGGCAGAGAAGTTGCACCTGAGAGGAAGCATCAGCACCCCTTCGCAGACGATAACCATGAAGCCGAAGAAAGTGCGGTTCAAGATGCCTCGGAAGCGGGCGCTGACTCTAGAGCAAGCACCCCCGAAGTTGACTCGGAAGACGACCATGACTCGATCGGTCTCATAAAGCAAGCATGCTGCTAAAGAGGAGACAAACGACCCCGACCTGACAAGCTGCACCTGAAGGGAACGTTTCCTGATATTCTCCTTCTGGGCTTGGCGAAAAGTGGCGCGTAGCTCTTTGACAAGTGATTTATCAATCTTGATTTCATCGTTCCTCTTGGTGAATACGTAGGGCTTCATTGCGAGTGACATGTGGTAGAAGTTAACCTCGACAAGTCCGAGTGCTGTAGGGGGTGCTAGTAGCTGTGCCTCCAGGGTGTGGGAAGACTGTGCAGATTCCGGGTGTTTCACCTTCATCTTCCAGGCTTCGAGTTCGCTTGCCAGTATGTTGTGATGATGTCTCGCAAATGATTCACAATCTGTCTCATGATCTTTGACCCGAAAGGCGAGGCCGACTTTAATACCCAGAATTCCTTTCGCCACGTGTGGACATCGCGACAAATGAACGGCTCTATCGAGGGAGTCCTGGTCAAGATTGACAAATAGGATCGGGCATAGTAGCGGCGAGGCTAGATCGTTGAACATATGACAAACAAGGCGGGTGTCCGATATTGTTTTGCGGTACACTTGGGCCTGGACTGGATGCAAAGTTCGACCGATATAGCACGGTATATCTTGAGTCCACCAGATGATCTTGTTTTTCTTCACCCTAAGGTCTTGGAAGAACTCAAAGACCTGAAGAAGTAAATCGTCGGGGAGATCGAGGATCGTGAGGGGGCGCATCGAGGGGCGCGCGAGTTCCATCGCTCGAATTCGTAAGGCAAGGCGGTAGTGTTCGAGCCTGAGGAGGATAGAACATTCAGTGCATGGCTCTTCTTCACAGCGCTCGTGCTTTATGAGACCGATCGAGTCATGGTCGTCTTCCGAGTCAACTTCGGGGGTGCTTGCTCTAGAGTCAGCGCCCGCTTCCGAGGCATCTTGAACCGCACTTTCTTCGGCTTCATGGTTATCGTCTGCGAAGGGGTGCTGATGCTTCCTCTCAGGTGCAACTTCTCTGCCGCAGTCACCAAGTTCAACAATCTGGCAACAATCTCCTTTTTCTGGTTCTTCGATCTCGCAGCTTTTTTCCGAGCCCGTCGCCCTGTCCGGAAATACTCGTTCTCTTTCATTGTCTGCGTCGTTTTCTTGGTCCGAGATATCTGTCTTGTCGTCATCAGTCATGCAAATGTCTGAGTTCTCGTTGGGATAGTGGCTCTCTTCATCTTCAGCGTCCCTCTCCTCCATCCAATGTCGAACGCGGACGTCCTGCTCCAAATCATCGATCCCAGAAAGCAGCAGATAGATTTCATCGAGCGTAAGTGTTGTAGGTGAATCAACGTCAAACATGCGATCGAACTGCTCCAGCAAGTTTTCTCCGCGCTGCACAGTGATATGGTAGCAGCATGGCATGATGATGGATCAAAGGTAGAAGTGAGGCAAGCTTGGGAGGAGCTGGAAAGGATGACACCTGGTTGTGAATTCAATGAGATTTGACGACGATAAGCTAAAGGTTAGCTAGGGGTCTGCGGCTTAGCAAAACTGGGATGGTGGGAATAGACTTGGAAGAGCGAGGGGAGGGAAGTGTAGAGAAGAGAGGTGGGTGAGAAGACGGGTGAGAAGACGGGTGAGGAGATGGGTGAGCAGACGAGTGAGCAGACGAGTGATAAGAAGGGTGATGAGAAGGATGAAGAGAAAGATAAAGAGAAGGATGGAGCGAAAGAAGGAAAATTGAGGAAAAAGGGAGTATGATGAGGAGAAGGTCGCGTTGTGTATGTGAACAAGATGAGATTCCCTCTCAACACGAACAAACAGCCAAATCACCTGACTCGGACTTCGAGCAACACCACCACTCCTTGGAGAGACAAAGTCTTGGTGCGGCCTTGAATATCCCAGATGCAGTTCAGGATAAGGATATATAGCAAATCTGCTCTCTGTGATCAAGGGTCTGATGGCTCGAAGAATTTCACTTTACCACAAAAAGGCTGCTCCAGTATCTTGATATCGAGAGTGACAGTGAAATGTGAAACCACTCTAGGATGTAGGGACTAGATGGACTCCTTAATGGCAGTTTTGCCGACTCTAATAGCGATAGAAATTGAATATCTGCCAGTAAAATATCGGTTGAAAATTACTCATCAAAGTCGCCTGAGGATGAAGGCATCTAGTGGTTATTTTTCACTAGACTCTGATGCGCATTTCTTTGAATCAAAACAACAGATATAGTCAACATCTACCCCACCTCTCGTCTAGAATTCTCTGGAGGTGTGAATAGGGAAATGGTCTTTTTCTAGACCATATGATATCCATATCACTGCTTAAGCTGCCAAAATCGTCACTTATCATGACTCTGCTGCACTTACGGATGCTTCTTAGCGGTCAGTTCAAAAAGTTCTATGATTTATAAACCCATCTATCTTCATTGCAATGCTCTCGAGTAGTGTTCGATAAATTCAAATTCGGTCTTCTGATTAAGTTGCTTGGACACAGTGAAGGTATCGAGTAGACCCGGCACGTGATGCAAGGGACGCGCCTCGCCTACAGGTGCCGTTTGCAAAAGCAACAAACTACCAGAAATGCGTCGTGATGATCTGTCACACATTATCTGTTCATCTGCACACGCGAGCCGCGGGCAAGGAGTCCTGACAAAGTCTGCCTCAAACGAAATCCGGATATTCCTCGGCTGTCCACACCTTCCACACAAGTCTTTCCCCACTGACTGCGCCGGTTCTCATCACATTCAACGCGGTACTAGCCCGCTGTAGAAGCGAAACACCCTCGATCTCTCGGTACTTGTTGGGATCAAGGCTACCCGACGCGAGGAGAGAGGGTATAATATCAGGCAGAAGATAATCCTTGAGGAATGGATTCTGCTCGAAGATTAGTTTCGGAATGTGAAAAGGTGAGTAGTGCGAACCATACCGTCTCGAATGTATAGCTGATAATACTATGAACCTCGACGCCAGGTGCCCACGATACCTCTCCCTCGACATCAGCGGAAAGCTGCACGCCGGCTGGGTCTGATGGCGACCGAAGCACAACAGGGAGAACAGCTGCCACAATGGAGCCAGGAAGGGAGGCAACCTTGGCGAGATGCTGCAGTGACCCAGACTTGGAGCTCACACAATCGAAGGCGCGAATGGGTGCTGAGATCTTGCTCTTGTTCACGATCTCCAGAATAGAGTCGGTGACATTAGACTCGCGATAGTCGATGACGTGTTGGGCACCATATAGCTTGAGCTTCTCGTGGTGCTGCGGCGACGCGGTGGTGATGACATTCTTATAACCCCAGTGGCGGAGGAGCTGTATGGCGTACTGGCCGACCGAACTGCCTCCTCCCCAGATGATAATCGGACTCTCTGCACTTTTTGGTGAGAAACCCGAGGGGCGCGGCCACGGAAGCTCGAGGTTCAACTTCTCTGTCAAAGTGAAGTAGGCGGTACAAACATTAGTTGGCACCGTAGCGGCCGCGGGCATAAATATGCCAGAGGGAACCTGGATTTTGCATCAGATGTGGATAAAGGAGACACACAGTAAACGGGGAATCATCACACCTTTCCGAACAGATGCTCTGGTGCCGTAACATACACCTGCTGCCCCTTCTCCTTCTCGTTGTGGAAGAGAAAACCGAATACCTGATCCCCAGCCTGTAGGCGTTTGACTCCAGGGCCAGCTGCCACTACAGTGCCGACACCACTGTCGCCCAGGCTTTGAGGGAACTGAGCCATCAAGCCCGCGTCGACTTGGTAAACATCCAAGGGGGCAGATACCACCCATTCAATGCGGACACGGATTTCATTTTGTTGAAGCTCAGGCGTTGGGACTCGCTGAATAGTTAGCGGTTCTTTGACATTAGTCGCAATCACGGCAGGGTGAGATGCCATGGTGCATGCAATGCTCAATTCAATATACTAAGAGCTGATGGGCAGGATTAGCGGCACTGATAGGATTGTGACCTTATATACAACTTTCGGACCATTGATCTTTGAAAACTGCTTCGATGTATTCAGGTTCACTGAAACGTCCCACCCGAGATCAAGTTACATAGCTAGTGTGGAATCATCATCGATCCGGTGGAACCTTAACAGCTATCTCCGGTCCACTGAGAGTACGGGAGGCCGATGGGAATCGGATTACAAATCACCTCAGCTGGGGTCGATTAACCCTGTGGGTGGCGAAAATGTTAAAGTTGACTTCCCATTCTCTCCTGTCACCAATCATCGTGTTGGAGTAAGCATCTGCATCTCATAATTCCTGAACCGAGTCGTCGTCTTTAACCATCCTTAACACCGGCAACTGAACTCCAGCTGTGAGCAATCGGACGATAATCTCTACATTTGTTAAAGCCTTGCAAATGATGAATGCAGAATCCGTGATCAAGCGTCGGCATCATGTGCGAGATGCGACCACAGCTGATGCACCCGAGGACGATTTGCTAGGGGTTACCGATCCGGTACTGCGGCGACGCGTACAGAATCGTCTGCACCAAAGAGCCTACCGTGAGGCCTCCCAGCAGTTCTCTTATCACCCCCGCTGCTGACAAAGGTTGATGGTTTACATTAAAGGTCAGCGTCGAAAACCACGCATCACAGAGGTCAGATTGCCTTCTCATTGCAGAACAATTCGAGCCGTTGCCACTCCCGATCAATCCGAAGTTCAGGCATTGCCTCACCGTCTCATCGACCACGACTCTATTTTCTACAGCCTTCCCGAGGTGGATCCCAGGCGATACACATACGCCCCTCCCAATTTCCATACCCTGGTGGTCGAATTTGAGAAACGCGCCCGGGCTGCCCACGCTATGGGCTCACCCCGGACAGATCTCCTTCTCAGCCTGAGCCGGCTGAACGTAATCCGCGCAGCGTACCAGAACGCGGTCATCACCGGCATGACTATCGAGTGGATGTGTCGCGATAACGCAGTTTCAATTTTTAGCATAAATGGCCCTCACTCACCGCAGTATACCTTGAGCGCGATCCCAGAGCGGTTGCGGCCGACCCCCGTGCAGCGCACTGTGCCGCATCACCCTTGGCTCGACATCTTCCCTTTTGAGCAAATGCGGGATAATCTGATCCGCGCTGGGGATTTGTTGGATGGTCATGGGTTCTGTCATGATTTAACTGCTTTCTGGGATACGCAGAGCAGTAGCGCGACGTTGCTAGTTTGGGGGGATCCGTGGGATCCAGCAAATTGGGAGGTCACGGAGGAGTTTGCGAGGAAGTGGGGGTACTTTCTTCGCGGATGTCCGGACATTCTTGTTTCGACGAATAAGTGGAGGGCTCAGAGAGATGAGAAGCCACTCGCTTGGCGGAGGGTGTTCGGTGATTATCTGGGGTAGATGAGATATCCAGAAGTTATGGTTGCAACTTAAGCGACGGATACTCGCCTCGTGGATAGGCGGTGTTCTGCATCTCCGGGTAGGTAATGGGTGCATGCTTACATGACCAATTGATGATCAGAAGGACTTGGTTTTTGTTTTTGACAGCATCAACTATCTGCTCTGTCAGTTCATTTGCCAGGGTGTGCCATGGGAATACCTATGCTTAGACCCACTTTAAAATCCGATGCTTACAGATTGAGTCTCATTGGCCCGACAGACCCACTCTTTTACAGTCGGGCGGTTCCATGATCCATGATGCAGCGCAAATATACCTTAGTAGGTTATTTCACCACTAATCTCCGTGAACTACTCCGACATTGTGAGTATATTATGCACCATGTCATCGATTGACTTCTCTCCACCATCTTTCATCATCAGATCAAATCATTCTTATCATGTCATATCAGAAAGCAGTCATCATCACCGCACCGCAGCATGCACAAGTGGTCGACGACCGGCCCATTCCCAAGTTGCGGGATGACTGCATCCTAGTCAAAACCATTAGTGTCGCCCTGAACCCTACGGACTGGAAACATATCGACTACCTCGCCAGCCCCGGGGTACTTGTCGGGTGCGACTACGCCGGCATCGTGGAGGACGTCGGCAAAGCTGTTAAGAAACCATTTGTCAAAGGCGATCGCATTTGTGGATTCGTACACGGATCCAATGCCGTCCAGCCAGAGGATGGGGCGTTCGCGGAGTATATTGTGGTCAAGGGGGATCTCCAGTACAGGATCACTGAGACCACGTCCTTTGAAGAGGCGGCAACGTTGGGCTTAGGAGCCATCACTGCCGCTCTGGGCCTTTACCAAAGCCTCCATCTTTCACCACCCACGTCCCCAGTGCAGGAGAAAGTTCCAGTATTGGTGTACGGGGGATCAACAGCGACCGGGACCTTGGCGATCCAGCTTGCCAAGTTGTCCGGGTATATGGTTCTGACTACATGTTCTCCTCGCCACGTCGATCGATTGAAGTCCCTCGGTGCGGACGCGGTTTTCGACTACAACGATCCCGATGCCGCCAACGCAATCAGAAAGTATACCAACGACAGTCTTACTCTGGCCTTCGATACCGTGTCCGTCGAAAGCAGTGCCAAATTCTGCGATATGGCTCTTTCCTCGCAGGGCGGAGACTATAGCTCCCTGCTACCGATAGCGATTGAACGGGAGAATGTACGCGATCGAGCCACAATGGCCTACACTGCCTTCGGTGAGAGATTCATTTTTGGATCCAAGGAGATTCCTGCGCGACCGGTCGATAGAGAGTTCGCGGAAGCTTTTACGGCTATTTTTGAGGAGTTGCTGGCGAGCGGCAAGATCAAGCCCCATCCGGTTCGCATTGGCGATGGCGGGCTAGATGGTATTCTGGACGGTCTTCAGCTGTTGAGGGAGGGAAAGATCAGTGGCGAGAAGCTTGTTTACAATATCAAAAGCAGCTGAGGAGCTTAGCTTCATGAATATACCCGGTGTCATAGGTGAACGTTTTGATCCTCGGCACTGGTAGAACGAATCTTCATGGTTTCTCAATTGACAACAACCCCCTGCTCTTATTTCATGGTATAACTGGGCTGTATCTTTCTATTGCCTTCCTTTCTGGTGTCTGTACTCGGCTGTGACGTGGGACTAAACCGTTCTGATCAGATCTGTAGCCACTCAGCGGATTGTATATATCCCTCCCGTCCTGGATCAAAATTCAGAAGAATTAGACTAAACATTGTACAAAGTGATGGAAATCGAAGTTTAGCTACCAACAGTTTGAGATAGACTGAGTTGACAACCGGCACACTTTTGCTTTCACCTGAAGTCTATATGATGACTTGCACAGGTCACCATCTCGCGCGTCTTCAAGGCTACTGAAGCTCGGAGTTAGGTGCGAACCCGATCGTTGTGTGGGGTATGCTGGGAGGGATGCGGCGAATCAGAGCTGAGACGTAAGCATTCCCGTGGATGGAATCTCCGACACATGGGATGGAGCTTATGACAATGGTGAGGTGGAATTACATTGCAATACCACTCATCGGGGGTCATTTTGTAAGACAAACTCTGGAAGAGACTAGCGGACGGTAACGTTCTATTCTTTAAAAGTTTCAGTGTTAGCACTGACTTATTTGAGCCTAACCATTTCCTTCCAATATTCGCGAACGTGGTCGTTGTTGCTGGCTTCCAAAACGCGGTTCGGTTTGAGCGGTCTGCCGTGAGGTTGTTAGCACTTTCGGTTCTTATGCTACTAGTTATCAACCCAGCAGCGTCATCTCAACAACTTGTCTCGATGGTGTAGTTGGTTATCACGTGGGTCTCATACATCAGTATGACTCGGAAGATCACTTCTGGGCGATCCCAAGGCCGGGAGTTCGAACCTCCCTCGGGACATCTCTTTTTTGTCTTTTCGACACTGTCGTTAGCCCCACATGGCAATGGATGGGAATGTGGGACAGCCTGGCGGGATTCTTCAGCGAGACCCACCGGCAAGCCCGCTCGTAAGCGGACTTAGGATCGCGGTCTCCGAGAATGCTAACCATGATGTCAACTGCATTTGCCGACGAAATGGATATATATTCTCTGCAAGTGCCCAAGACTACGAAAATCTCGTGTGCCCGGGTCCCAGATCTTGAATAGGTCAATCTAGTCCTCCGCCCGAGAAGTGTCCTCGAGTCAAAATCCTCTATACCCACCGCTGCACTGCAATCCAATTACAGCAATGACGCGCATCCTCATCACCGGCTCCGCCGACGGCTTCGGCCTCGAAGCGGCCCGCCAACTCGTCCAACGCGGCCACACCGTCTACCTGCACGCGCGCAACCAAGACCGCGCAGACCACGCCCAAGCATCCTGTCCCGGCGCCGCGGGGGTCCTCACCGCCGACCTCAGCAACCTCGAAGCGACCCGCCGGTTGGCCGAAGAGGCCAACGCCATCGGCACATTCGACGCGGTGATCCTCAACGCGGGAATGCTCTCCGGACCCTTCCGCAAAACCCCGGACACCGGCATCCCGGCCATGGTCTTTGTCAATGTCGTGGCGCCGTATATTCTCGCATGCTTGCTGCATCGCCCGAAACGGTTAATCATCATCTCCTCGCAGTTGCACCGCAGCGCGAGCAACACCGCCGTGGAGGATATTTTCTGGCGAGAGCGGGGCGAGCGCACCTTCCAGGATTTCCAGGCGTATTGTGATTCGAAGTTTCATGTTATGTTGATTGCGAATGCGTTTGCGCGATTGTGGCAAGGGACGTCGAGTGTGGTCTCTGTGCATCCGGGGTGGGTGGCGACCAAGTTGGGGGGTGCGGGGGCGCCGGATCGGTTGGAGGATGGGGTCGAGACGTATGTCATGCTGGCGGAGGGGGAGTATGATCAGGGTATCACGGGGGCATACTTTGAGCCTAAGAGGAAGCGTGGTAGTGCTCTTCTGGCGACGCAGGATGTTGCGCTTCAGGAGAAGGCTGTGAGGGCCTGTGAGGAGGTCACGGGCTTGAAGATTCCGGTTTAGCGCGGCACTGGGTTGTCTGGCCTGCTGTTTGTGGCAGATTGTATCATAGATTATAATACTCATAGCATAATCGAATTGTAATAGGCCATTCCTTGATTACCTTCACAGAAACCCTTTCTCGACTGGTGCGTTACCAACATGTACAAAATATGTTTTGAGGGGAAGGCCCATAAGAAACCTATCTAAGACTCGCCACTTTCTTGAGGTCCTTGGAGTAAAGGGCTGGCATTAACTCGTGTTGCTGATTCACCCGAATGCTCTGAGAGGCCTGTGATAGTTTGAAATAAGCTAGGAACAGCTGTAAAGACTGAAAGAGAAATTATTGGCCAAGTTGCACTAGATTAATTTTTGATGGCTCGGCTGTCGTCCCACTGTAGATACTAAGATTGATGAGATTCGAGATGCCCTGCAATCAGTGATTAGATATAGGATTTGAGGGATGATCGTGTGAGATAGCCGCGGTCGATCGAATATGAGAAGATGATTGCACCATTCCGGCAAACTAATGCCGACCCCTGTGATAATCTCTGTCATTGGACCAATGCACCCTGCAAGTTAGGCGCACCTGCAGGCTGTGTCACTGCATTTGACCAGCTGAAATGAGGGGTCTGTGGTACTCCGTAGCGTACAAAGATCCCTCTCCTTCCCCAGGCACCACCCACAGACCTTTAGTCCTTGTTTAGTTTGTCCCACACGCGCAATCTCACCACATGGCGGCTCGCACACCGTGACTAGCACATAGTCTGTCACATAATGAACACCTCAGCAGCGCTGTTTAACAACTCCACAAACGCGGGGCTCCAGCTTGGCCAGAACAACGGCAATGTCGAGTTTCACAATCATCACGGTAAACCCTTGCAGTCACACCAGCTTGACAATATGCTGATATCACTCGACCTGGTCGTTCCTCTTTGCTCTAGAACCATCGCAAGCCTCGCGCAATGAAGCGTGTCTACGGGATCTTCGGATAACCAATCCTCGCGATGACAAGGCCCGAATCCAGGATTTCAAGGGAGGCCTGCTTATGGACTCATATCGTTGGGTTTTGAGCAACGACGAGTTCAGAAAATGGCGAAATCATGGCGAGCCCGATCGGAATGTCAACGACCGCCTACTTTGGATCCGCGCTGATCCCGGAAAAGGAAAGACCATGCTCCTCTGCGGGATCATTGATGAATTGATAAAGGAGCTGCCCGGGACCTGCACATTGTCGTATTTCTTCTGTCAACAGAGCGATGCTCGCCTGAACGATGCAACATCCGTCTTGCGAGGCTTAATTTTTCTACTCGTGAACCAAAGGCCAGATCTGCTCTCCTATATCCGGCCGCGCTACGACGTGGAAGGGAAAGCGCTTTTCGAAGATACAAATGCTTGGTACGCTCTATCGAAGATATTCCACGACATTTTAGGAGACCGGAGTTCAGAGACAACTCTTTTGATCATCGATGCTCTAGATGAGTGCAGCACCGGCCTGCCGTTGCTGCTTGAGCTAGTGAAACGGTCAACAGAAAATCCTCGTGTCAGGTGGATTGTTTCGAGTCGGAATTGGCCCGATATTGAGAAGCAATTGACGGCTACATACTGCTCCACTTTGTCTCTCGAGTTGAACGAGAATTCTGTTGCTGCCGCTGTGAGGACCTATATTCGGATCAAGGTGGACTTTCTCGCAGCGCTGAATGGGTACGATGAGAACACGAAAGACCTTACCAGAGACTATTTGACGTCAAACTCCAACGATACATTTCTGTGGGTTGCCTTGGTCTGTGAGAGGCTTGCGAAAACATCTGTGTGCGACGTGGAAACTATTCTCACATCATTCCCTGCGAGTCTCGATGATTTGTACAAGCGCATGATGCGCGACATCGAAAACTCAGAAAGTCGACAGCTGTGCCAAGGGGTTCTCGCCACTGTCTGTACCGCATACCGGCCTCTGGCAGTTGAAGAGCTACCAGTACTTACCGATCTACCCTCACGAATCTCGACCGATTCTCGGATGATAGCGCAGATTATTAAGCTCTGTGGCTCATTCTTATCTATTCGGGAAGACACTATTTACTTTGTTCATCAGTCTGCTAAGGACTTCTTGCTGACATCCAATCTTATAATACCAGCCGGTTCTGGGATGGAACATGGTAGAATTTTCTCTCGGTGCATCAAGGAAATGAATCAGACACTTCGACGTAACATTTTCAACATTCAAAATCCAGGATGTCGAGTCGAGGACATCTGTCGCCCTACACCTGACCCCTTGGCACGAGCACGTTACTGTTGCACATATTGGATCGATCATTTCTTAAATGCAGATCCTAGCAGAACGATCGACTTGTCTGCAAACGGCCCGATCCAGCTCTTCCTAGAACAGAAACTACTTTACTGGCTCGAGGCTCTTAGCATTCTCAGGCAGCTTACTGGTGGAATTGGAGGCATGCTCGAGCTTAATAGCTTTCTTCAGGTATGTATCTGCGACGAAAGAAAGCAAACAAAGCTGATTACGGCCATCTTTCGACACTTTGATTAGAAAGCGAAGTGCTCGGACAAACTGTCAAATCTTGTCATGGATATTTCCCGCTTCATGCGCGAGTTCAAGGTCCCAATCGAAACCAGCCCGCTCCAAGTCTATAGTTCAGCACTCATTTGGGCCCCAAATCGGAGTCTGGTCAAAGCGCTTTACCAGCACGAAAGAGCAACATGGATTACCAAAATCCCCATGGTCGAGGAGAATTGGAGTCGTTGTATCAATACCATTGTGGGCGACGACGGTGATTTTGCTCAAATTGGTTGGTCACAGGATGGTGACCGGCTGCTATGTCGGGCAAGAGACCTGACTGTGAGCAGCTGGGATCCCGGAACTGGACAATATGTTTCGAGCATCAAGCTGGAGAGACTTAGCCTGGACGGGATTTATGACTTATCCCGACACACAGGCCGCGTCGCTTCGGTCTTTGGGGATGATTGCACCAAGATTCGTATTTGTGATGCTATCACCGGAAAGTGTATTCGCATACTCGACGACAACTCGCATCGGTTCGTACAGTGGCTTGCAGATGGAAAGCATCTTGTCTCGTCCTCAAAGGGCGGTCGTCTTCTGTGGGATGTTACCGAAACTCCTGATCAAGGTAGGCAACCTGTAAACCTCGATCGTGGTTTACTCATACATTGCTGGTCTCACGATGGCTGCCTGTGTATTGCGTCACCCCAGCATTCCCACAATCGCCACGTCCTTAGCCGCGTCATTCGCCACGCCATTCACGACAGTAGAACAGGAGTTTGTTTGAGGAACTTCGAAGATCACCCGCAGCTTAGTGTCGATGCTAATTCATGGTCTCCCGATGGAAATATGCTCGCATGGAAATCATCGACCAGCGTGGTCATCTGGAATTTGGCCACTTGGGGACTCGGACATGTGCTGGAAGGACACGCCGTGAAGATCAGAGAATTTAGCTGGTCTCCCGATTCAACAAGACTCGCGACAAGTGATTTTGATAGTACAATTAGGATTTGGGATCCAAAACTCGGAATATGTCTCTGGACGTTCGGAGGAGACGGAACCTTCTGTTACGACCACTGCTGGGCTCCCGACGGAAATCGACTTGCATCCTACTCATTTGGCTTGATCAGGATCTGGGACACAACGCCAACCAGAAACTTCCCAGATTTTGCAGAGCATTCTGTTCAGGTGGCAGCAAGGACTCACTCACCTCACCGCCGGGCTTTGGCGTACGTTCGATCCCAATTCACGAAGTTACGAAGAAAGGCCCTCGACCAGAGAATCCCACGCTCACCAGCCAATCGTGGCTGGATTATGTCGCTCTATTGGTCGCATGGTAGAGCTCGTGTTGCGTCACTAACCAGGGAGGGTATTCTTGAGATTTGGAACACGGACACTGGTTACAGAGTTTGCAAAATCGAAGATAATTTTTTCTATCTGTCCGTGACAGTGGCCTGGTCATCAGATGGGAAACTAGGAACGTTTTACAAAGCGGTTCTTTGCGAATGGGATAATGTGTCAGGAAAGCGGCTTTTAGCTCTAACACATAGTACAGGCGGTGTTAGTAAGGAACCCGGGTCCTTTGCCTGGTCGCCGGACGGGTGCCAACTAGCATCAGCAGAAGGTGGAACCGTTAGGATCTGGGATTTCGCCACCGGGAAATGCCTAAGGGAACTGCACCATTCTGATCTGCTTCAGACGCTGGCCTGGTCTCGCGACGGACAGAAAGTCGCATCGGTATCCAAGCGTGATCGTACAGTTAGACTTTGGGATCTCGCCACGGGACAGTATCTTGAGCTTCGCGACCCGACCGAACAAGACGATTTATCTTTCGCTCGTCAATGGCATGTTACATGGTCTCATGACAACAGTCGCATCGCCTGGGGATACAATCAATATGGCTTTCTCTATGACGCAGTCAACGGAATGCATATCGGCTCCCTAGAAGTCTATGCCTGGAAACACGACGAGTTTGATCAACCTTTACTGGATATATGTGATACCAGCCTTATATTCAATATTTGGGACTTTATCATATCTAGATCCGCCGGTGCTGTCGGTAAGTCAGTTTACACCATCACAATTCACGGGCTTGTCGAGAATGGTTTTGAGACGAGTTTGGGGGTCTTTGATTTGCAAGGTATCGGCTGTCTCCACGACGCTGCTGAGAACAGCCCGTGGATACCAGTTGGGTATGGGATTTCCTTCGATAATTCGTGGATTACTTGGAACGGAGACAATCTGCTGTGGTTGCCCTGGCAATATCGACCGCGCCTCAAATCTTGCATGCGCAATTCGGGGGCGACTGTGGCGATTGCATGTTGGTCTGGTCGAGTCATCTTTCTCTCATTCGCAGAGAATCCACTTTCTTGAGTCCCCGTGGTGTCTATGTGCGCTTGAGTGCCCGCCAAGCCAGTAGAAGATCCGCCACAAGTCATTGAGAATACAGCGTTGTTGAGATTGAGGTCTCAGTCTTTTCTTGTTCCGGAGCTCCTGTATAATCTTGGAAATGTTATGCTTGGCTATGAAATTATAGCATAAATCCTTCAGAGTCTGAGGAGAGACATAAGCGTTTCGGCGATTGAGCCCTCATAGCTCAAGTTCTTCTCCCAGGCTATGGTACAGAACCAGGTTCTCCGGGCACATCCAAACGGCAGCTTGTCATCTATTCCAGTACAGTGTAAATTTGACCGTGTTGTGGATATTGGTATGTCTCACACGAGTATTTTCGCAGGCTAACACCTGAAGGGGGCCGGCAGTGCCTATTTTGCCTCGACTTCGCGCATACGGAACTGATTCCGTCTCAATAACATTCCGTCATATTCTTACTACGAGCCGTTCTCAAAAAAGTCCGGAACCATCAAAAGCTACGTGATGATTATGCAAGACCAAGTGAGGTTGAGTTTTAAGGGCCTTCGTCGTCCCTTCCTTCTGCCTCCTGTTATCACCAAATCACTCCCGCTGACACCAAACATTTTGTTCTCCTCGTCAGAAACACGAACCCCACCGAGGCTTGCCCTTTTCTGCATCCCTCCTTTCAGCTAAAAGCGCGATGCAAGATCCCTCGACCACAGCATGGGTAAACCCCATGCCCATCTCCGCAATGATTCAATGATTAATCCCCACCGCGCGCAACAAGCACGCATGCGCAAATTCCTCGAGGAGAACGCCTGGCTCAATGCCCTCCCCATCTCTGCAAGCGATCGCCACGCTCTCCGTATCATCCAAGACCTCTACGAGGTTCGCATCGACAAGTGCCCATAGCTAGGCGCCGGTCTCCGCCTCTGGCTGATATGGGACTACGATCGGCTCTGGGGCAGTTTCACATTCAGCCCCCTCGAGGACGTCTTCCTCATCGACCCCGCGTTCACTATCGAGCAGTGTGACCCGGCCACCGGCTCTAGTCCATCTTTGCCAGTCGAATGGATAGGCTGGGCCGGTTCTAGTGGCTTTGATCGGGAGGATAGGAGCACGATCTCGAGCGAAATGCGGATCAATCCCCGGAAGAAGACGCTTCAGGGCAAGTTTGGGTTCATATGGGGAGGCGGGTGGCCTGGTCCAGGGACGGTGAGTTTCCGGGCCACGCGCTTGCCAGAGGTTGAGAGTTTTGGCTGGCAAGGCATGATCGACCTTGAGGATATTGTGGGCGAATGGGCTCAGCGAGAGCCATATGGTGAGAAGGAGAGGATGCGCCAGACGCTGTCACCGGAGGAGCTGGAGGTGGAACTGCACGAGCGGGATGCTGCACGGGCTTGGGCTCGTGAGGAGAGTCTGAATGCGGAGGCTGGTGAGGATGACGAACTATCACTTTTGTCCGACTGCTTTTCGGTAAACAGGGATGTGACGATGGCGGTGTTTGACCGCAGTGGTAATAGTGTGCAGATTCGTCTGCGGGTTGTCACCAAGTACAATCGGGTATGGGGGGAGTTTGACGGCGACTTCCGGGCAATTTCCTTTGTGAACTGGCAGATTCGTGACAAAACTCCCGCCCCGACGAGAGACGTTAGCATTGGCGGGGCCGAAGACAGTCATCTTCTATCTTTGCTAGCCAGGCTGCTGTCGCAGAGGAAAACGCTCGACGCCCAAGTATTCGACAAGATTGGCAATAGCATGCGGATCCGTTTGCAGGGCGATGAGAAGGTTGTTGTCTCGGGAGAATTTGACGGGGACTTTGCGACCCTTTCTCTGATGGAGTGGAAGATCGACGGCGGTGCTGAAAAGAGTGACGATTCCTGATTCTCCTGCTTCGGATGCCCTCATAGCGATTCGGGTTTGGTAGCCATCGCCGATTATTGAACGAGCAGCGAAGGTCTGCATCTTCTTTCCTAGAAGAACAAGACTGTTAGCTCCGTGCTTTTCGTGTTTTAGGCTAGTACGTCTGTTATGAAATGTTTTCTTCTTTCAGCTGCGACTCATATCCTGGTATTGTCCATCCCTTGCCTCTTCAGTTACTTCGCTTTGGCTAATGATAATGTTTCACTCAGTAAGCAATAACCGGCGCAAATGGGTGGCGAGACCCGAATGCCCATAAGACGCCCATAGCGTAGATAATAATATCCTCAGGCACAGGTGTCTGATGCCCCTTACTCTTCTAGAGTCCAGGACGGTTACCGGCATCCCATGCACATTAGAAGAAATCTAACCTGCTCTGTGATCCATACGGAGCCAGGAATATCTTCAGAAAATCAATTTGCGAAGCCTTTTGCCCATACAATAGGACATTCTCACCCAATTCTTTGAGCTCTTTTCTTCTATCTAGAACATTTCCTTCCAAGTCTTTTGTAACAATCTTTACCTTTGTTCAGACCCCTAACAATGCTGTCAAAACAAAGCCAACAACGGATGATCACCATTACACAAACAAAGAAAGCCCCTCAAAAAAGCTCCTCCTCACACTATATAATGCCCTTCCATCTCCAAGAACAACTCTTCCTCCTCTCAAGCAACTAGAGGTGACTCCCACCATACCCATCCTTCCGGAAACCAGTATCAGAAGCGTTCCGCCCCTAGCTGCCCCAATTTTCGCGGTCCAACCAGACTTACAACCTCGATCAAGTATGCCTTGATCTAGACTCTCAACATATACGAGCGTTGGCGCATAAAGCCAACAGGCCAGGCCTGCCCCGCAACACACAAAACCCCGCACCCAAAAGGTGAGTATATACAACTGCTCTTGGCTTCATGCTTAGCTAACATGGATCATCAAGCCAAGAGATACGCGGAGGTTGCGGGGAATATGAACAAACGAGATAAGAAATTATTCTCAAAGGGAAACTGACAGCTGTGTCGGGTCTCAATGGTTTGTTTTTGTGGCAAGAAAAAGTGGCCTGGGACGTTTGACGAAACATTCTAACAACACAGATCGTATCCCCTTTCCATATGGTCTGCTATGTCAGATTGAATTACCGTTCGGTGGTTTGATTTGGTTTAGTGGGTGAATTTGGTGAGGAGCGAGAGAGAGGTATTGCTTTACAGATTCTGTATAGCTGGGGGTTTGAGTTTAGATGGGCCGTGAGGGTCGCGGGGTGGTTTGGGATGAGATGTTCTCTTGTGATGTGCTCTGGAGGCGTGGGGATGGCGTGGGGTCGCCTCTTTTTGCGTTAGGTGGGAATCATGGTCTGGCGTGATAGTGGCCGAGGATGGAAGCTCTGTTAGTAAGATATTTTTTTGCTGATAGGATCGCTGTGTGAGATCGACCTGAGATTGCGGCTGCGTATCTCCTGCAAGAGCGATATAAAGCTGCTTCATCCGTTGCAAGATGGTGGGCGTGTTGAGTAAGAGCCTAGAAGTATATGATTATAGCTCTAGTATTAATACTAATCGAGTCACACGTCTTTGTAAGAAACTGGGGTATACTAAGTACTACCTAAGCGGTGGAATGATTCAAGTCTATCCATACGTTTCATTATGTTATTTATCCTTCTGCACGCAGAAACTGTTTCTGCAGAGTAGTCACTATATCCTTCTACAGCCCTAGCTAGTTTCTCAGATAGCCCTAGATGGTCAGAATCCACCCAATCCACGTCCTAAACAGACAGTGCACCTAATATCCAATTGTGACCCAAGAGGATCTACCAGTGTCACTAAGGGAGACCTCCATGACTCCCTCCTTCCCGCGAGATGGATTCTTAACATACTTTGACACGGAAGAGATTAGATGGCTTATTCTAAACTGTCTATGCTCTGTACGTAGGGAAAAGCCCCGATAAGACCAGGGGTGGGACCTCCGTCCTTCTGGTGGAAATAATGGATACAATTTCAAAGATATCATGTTGCTAAATTTACCAACGTCTAGTACCTAGGAAATAACTGCCAAGTACTCTTGCTGCCTATAGTCTACTCAACCTTCCATACAATACTTTTGAGAGGACGTTTTCTCCAGACCTTCAATTAAAGAGTATGTACTATAACGCAAAATGCTCCATACACAAACCACGCCCTCACACTTTAATAGGCAAACTCTTGAGCACCTCACTCGCCGCCTCCCGACACAACTCCCCGACGGACATGCCGCCCACCAGCTTGAGCACCGGCATGTCCACCTCCAACTCCTTCAAGAACCACGACCGAATCTCCACAGCAATCAACGAGTCCACGCCTAAATTGATCAGTGGCTGACCGCGCTCGATTGACCCTTTCGCCGCCTGCAGCATCCGCTCCATCTTCACGACAAACGCCTCTTGGATGACGCCGTCCACCTCCTCCAACGTCTCGGCCTCCGCGACCGCCTCCGCCAACGGGACCTGCTTGGCCGACGCTGCATCGACTACCACCGTCTGACTTTCCTCGACAAGGGTATGCAGACTAAACCGCGGATTCTCCGCCCAGAACGCCTTAGCCACCTCCTCGCGGAGACTGTGTCTATGCAACCCCGTGATCATCTCCGGCGCATGGCCCCCGGCAAGGGTGGGGTGGCCGATGACGATTGCCTGCGCGAACATATCCCAGAACTCGGGTTCGGCGATCGGCATGTACTTGTACTGTCGGAGCGTCGTTTCATAAACTCCCGTGGTGCTGACGTACCCGACCCCCAGGACCATCCCGATGTGGAACACCGACGCCGCGAGCCCGCGGGCCCGCCGCTGCGCCGCGACGGTCGACATGAACAGGTTGGCCGCGACGTAGTTGCTCTGGCCCCGGTTTCCGACGATGCTGGCCAGCGAGGAGAACATGATGAAGAAGTCTAGCTTTTGGGAGTGGAATAGCGTGTCGAGGTTCTTCGTGCCTAGGACCTTGGGGCCGAAGACGGTGGTGAAGTCGGTGTGCTTGAGTTCGCCGAACGAGCGGTCGGATAGGACCATGGCGGCGTTGGCGATTCCGGCGATGGGGGGCATGCCGGTGGTTATGGTCTGGTGGATGGCGGTGAGAGAGGCCATGTCGGCGACGTCGGCTTCGAAGAGCTGTACATTGGCGCCTAGTTGGGCGAGGTCGGCCAGCCAGGTGGTCGAGATGCGCGTGCGGTTCCGGGTGGTTAGGGCTAGGTGGCGCGCGCCGTTGAGGACCATCCATCGACATAGCGATTGGCCGAGGCCGCCGGTGCAGCCCACCAACAGGTAAGTTCTGTCGGGACGGAAGAGGAGGGCTGGATTGACGGGGCGCGTGATGGTGGGGATGGTTGTGGAGGGGGAGAAAGAGAGGATAGCGTGGTAGGAAGGAGTAGGTGTGGTGGCCAGCTCTGCAGCCGGGATTGTCTCGAGGGCTGTGTCGGCGGGTTGCTGCTGCTGCGCCCAGGAGATGGCCCTCTGCAGCTGGGAGGTGTTCAAGTTGGCGGTGTCGGCGATGCTGGTTCCAGGAGCGATGGCATCGCCATAGCTCCGAATCTTACACTGCGCCGGGAGGATGCGCTCCCACTGCACAGAAGACTGAGCGAAGTCGACGAGTAGCTTGGTCGAGGGCGGGATCTGTGCGCGAATGCTGCGCTCGGAGGCATAGGCATGCGTGCGCACATCAACCACCTTCACACCGGCTTCTGCAGCCTTGCTCCTCAACACACGACCCAGTTGCTCATCAGCCTGGTGGAGAACCAGTACATCCGACGATGACAAGCCATGCAGCCACTCATCGGCGACAAGCCCGAAGGCAACTGTCTGGAGCAGCGGCGGGCTGGCGTTTTCAGCCGGAAACACCATCTCCTCTGACACAGTGACCACCGAACGCACCGAGTTGGTGCATGCAATAACCTGGACATCAGGCTTACTCAACAAGTTTCCAGACACCACGCAAACCGAGCCTTGATCCAGCTGCACCGCATTCACCAGCGCGTGCGTTACCTTGACCTCCACCGCACCATCCTTCTCAACAACAGACGGCAGCGCAGGCGACAGCACATACCGCTCCGCCTGCTTCACCAGCTCGAGCTTCTCCTCAGACGTAGCCATGCCCTGCACGACCATCTTCCGCGCATTCAGCTGGTCATTCAGCCGCTTATCGGGAACGATCCGCGGGACGAGCCACTGGCCATTCTCGCGCACCAGCTCCGGCTCGCAGGTCCACAGGACGTTCTTGGTCGCCAGACGCGTCTGCGAGGCAAACACCAACCGCACCAGCGCCTCCGTCACAGCCTTCGCGGCCCCTGCATCGACCGCGTCTTCAATGTCGAGGTGCTGGAACTGGATGTGCGGCTGCTCAGCCGCGATCGCACGACACAGCCCGATGGCCATATTGCCGTAGGGGTTCTTCTCGCGGCACTGGCCGGACACCCAGAGCAGCTGCCTGCACTCGGGGAGGGCGCGTTGCAGCGCCTCCAACTTGCATGGGGTAAAGTCCTCCAGCACAGGGTGATCGAAGTCCTCCAGAATCACCAACGAGGTAACCGAGATATCAGGCTGAACAAACAACCCTTCCAGATTCTCGACCAGCTGAACACTCCCCGCACTCCCGAGGGCCTCGACCACCCGCCCCGCCAGCCCCTTCTGGCCACCAACAACCGTTACCGGCGGCAGCGTCCAGCCCGCGCTCAGCGGCTCGCGCAGCAACCGCACATCTGCATCAACGGCCTGCGTCACCATAACCGAGGTCATATACTTGCTCTCATCCACAAAATCATTCACGACATGATCGACCCCGGCGAACCCCGTCTCCTTGAGAAGAGTATCCCACTGCTCTACCGTAATCGTAGGCCCATACCGCCGTCCATCCTCGCCCCCCAGCCACCACCCCGGCAACCCCGCCATCATCAACTTGACCCTAACAATCTCACTCGTCACCTCCAACAGCAACAGAAACCCGCCCGGCTTCAACAGCCGTCTCACATTCTCCATCGTCTTGCGCAGCGACTTAGTAGCATGTAACACATTCGACGCCACAATGACATCGAACCCAGCCTCCTCCCCATCCCACCCCTGGCTACTTAACTCCTTCTCCACATCCAACGCCCTGTAGCTCATCTTCCCCGCCCACCGCTCAAACTGCGTAGCAGCAGCCTCGAAAAACCCCGTCGAGATATCCGTAAAGGTATACCTCTCAAACCTGCCATCAAGGGCCTCGAGTATCCCTTTGGTCGCGCCGCCCGTTCCTGCTCCGATCTCTAAAATCCGGGATCTAGGGTAGCGGTGCGCGATCTGCCCCGCCACCCGGCCCATATACCCGTTCGCCCGGGCGAACCCGAGTCCGAACTTGTAGAACCGGTCCAGCGTGTCGTTGGCGACCATGTGCTCGAGCATCCAGGCTTCGCCGCGGACGACGGCGGGGAGGTGCTCGCCGACGGCGCGGATGAGTTGGAGGTCGACGGAGTCAGGGTATTGGGATGCCAGGGCGAGGAGGTGGGGTTTGGTGTCGGTGCTCCATTCGGGACGGATGGTTGGGTGCTTGCCGCTGGTGACGAGGGGGAAGAGGTGGTCGATCCACTCGAAAATGCGCTGGTGGTGCCATTCCATTTGCGGGACCGCCGAGCGCGGGATGGTGGTGTTGAGGTGGCGGAGGTAGTAGTAGGCCAGGCGTTCGCTGAGGTCGACTAGGGCTAGATTGGACGGGGAGTCGGAGTCGGAGACGGAAGAGAGTGCGGCGAGGCCGCTGGAGAGATCTACCTCCCACGCGGTCTGCGTGTACAGCTCTTTGTAGTCTCTTGGGCCGGGGGGCGTCAGGCTGGAACACCGTAGGCCTTGGAGCTGGATGAGGCCCGCGGCGGCGGGGCTGTACAGGTCCAGGTCCGCGATGATGGTCGTCCCCGAGGAGTGCGTGATGGCTGCGTCGACGGTGAGCTGTGCGCTGGCCTGCACGAGGTCGCGGTTGACAATGCGCAGACTCTGCAGGCCCGTTGGCACGAACGGCGCGCGCAGGCTCCCGTCCTCGGGCCAGCAGTAGGCTGCGAACAGCGTCTGGAAGGCTGCGTCCAGAACGGCGGGGTGGATGGGGACGCCCAGCTCCGCGGCCGGGATCTGGGTTGCCGTCGCCATGGCCGTCCCGGACCGGCGGTGCACGCTGTCCAGTCCCCGGAAGGGACCGGTGTAGTGTAACCCGATGGCTGTGAGGGCCTCGTAGAACCGCTCCGTCTTCACCTCGTGGAAAACCCCGGTCGGCGGGTTGCGCGGGGGCAAGTCTTCGTCGGCGGCAGGCCCCAGGACGACACGCACAGTGCCGCGCGCGTTGCTGCGCCACGAAGACTTGCCGGTCCCCGCGGTGCGGGCGTAGCACGCCCACTGCGCCGTCTTGGTCTCGGACTTTGCGTTCCCTGGGGACGGGACGAGGGTGAACTGCACCTCCACCCCCTTGCCGTCCTCCGGCAGCGGGATGGCGTTGGCGATCTCCACGTCGAACAGCTCCAGCATCTGCACGCTCAGTCCCTCGCCCACCAGGTTGTGGGCGGCCTCCATCGCCATCACCAGATACGCGGCCGCGGGGTAGATGACCTGCCCCTCGACCTTGTGGCCCTCCAGCCAGGGCAGCTCCTGCGTGCGCAGGGTGATCGCCCACCGCATCTCCTGGTCGAGATCCTCAGTCGACCGCACCCCCAGTAGCGGGTGCCGCGGGAGCCGCGACCGGAAGTTGGCGGATTTGGTGGACTCGCGCCAGAAAGACTGGCGGTGGTCCCAGCTGTACCGCGGCAGGTCGGGCACCCACTGCGGGAGTGCGTCGGTAAAGGCCGAGGTGTAGGCAGGGAAGGCGACCGCCTTCGCCCCGAGATGCAGCCACAGGTACCCCAGCGTCTCGCTGAGCGCCTCGATGTCATGCTGTCCCCGACTCAGGGTCCCGCTGTAGGGGAGCGGTGTCGCACTGGATGCTGCTGCTGCCACCTGCTTGGCGGTCTGGGTGAAGGGTCCCTTGAGGGCGGGATGTGCGCCGATCTCGATCGCCACATCGCACGCTGCCTCCTCGCTGAGCGCCATCTCCACAGCCGTGGAGAACATCACCGGACTGACCATGTTATCGTTCCAGTATTCCCCGGTCAGCGTGTCCACGCGGTATCCCTCCATCCGCGCGCCGTGCACACTGGATACCCACACACACCCCTCCCTCGCCTCCTGGGGGGCGATCTCACACGCAGCCAGGGAGTCGAGGTAGGGTTCGGAGCACGGGATCATGTGCGCGGAGTGGTACGCCGTATCAACCCGCAGCGGTCGCGCGAACACGCCCCGCTCGTCGAGGATCGCCTTCGCCTCTGCAATCGCATCCTCATCCCCGGATAACGTCACGCTACTGGGTGCATTACTGGCCGCCACCTCGATCCGTTCGGCAAAATTCTCCTCGCAGAATTCCGTCGCCTCGTCGTACGACATCCCCACCGCCATCATCCCACCGCGTTGGCCGTTCTGCCCGCGCGCCAGCGAGGCGTGCACCCCGCGGTAGTACGCGATGCGGATCGCCTCAGCCGCCGAGATCATGCCCGCGGCGTACGCGGCGGCGATCTCGCCGCTGGAGTGGCCCACGACGACGCTGGGTGTGATCCCGGCCAGACGGAGGAGGTCCACGACCAGGATCTGCACGGCCGTGCAGAGAGGCTGCGCCACGCTGGCCGAGGCGAGACGCGAGGTGTCTTTGTCGGCGAGAATTTCGGTGGACAGCAACCAGTCGGGGCCGTCGGGGAGCGTGTCTAGGGCGGATTGCAGGGTGGAGAGGGTTCGTTGGGCGAGTGGGGAGGCCCGCAGAATTTCCCGGCCCATGGTCGGCCATTGCGCACCTTGGCCCGTGAAGACGGCCAGGATCCGTGGCTTCGCAGGTCTCTTGTCGACGCGGGTCCCGAGTGTGGAGTCACTGGCGACGGCTTTGGAGAGGGCTGTGCTGAGGGTGTCGCGGTCGGGGGCGGAGAAGGTGGCGCGCACGGGATGTTGTGAGCGCCGGGTCTGGAGAGTGTGGAGGATGTGTTGGACGGGGGTGTCGGTGGTGGAGAGGAACGCGTGCAAGGCTTCGACTTGGCCGCGCAGTGAGCTTTCCGAGTTGGCGGACAGGACTAGGGGTGTGTAGAGGGAGGATGTGGCAGATGATGGCCGTCGATGTGGGTTGTCGTACGACTCGATGATAGCGTGCGCGTTGGTTCCGCCGAAGCCTGGTTACATTAGCACGTTTTATCCTGTAGCACACACGAAAAAACACACCGAAAGAGTTCACACTCGCGCGACGCGGCTCTCCCTCCCGCACCTCCGGCCATGGGATCGTGTCTGTCGGAACCGCGAGTCGGTGGTAAAACGGCTGGATTTCCGGGTTCAGCGACTCGAACAGCATATTCGGGGGAATCACCCCACGCCGCACGGCTTCGACGGCCTTGACCAGTCCCGCCAGTCCGGCTGTGCCCTCGAGATGTCCGACCGCCGTCTTCACCGACCCGACGTACAGCGGCGTTTCTGCCTGCTCGCTGGACGAGGCAAAGAATGCATTGTAGATCGCACGCGCCTCGATGGGGTCTCCCGCAGCGGTACCAGTCCCGTGGGCCTCGAAGTACTGACACCGCTGGGAGTCGATGTCCAGCCCAGCGCGTGCATACGTCTGTCGAATTAATGCCGTCTGTGAGTCTGCTCCGGGGAGGGTGATTCCGTTCGTTCCTGTACTCATCCATTAGCCGTCTGGAGTAAAGCTTCCCACTAAACTGCATTCGAAAGTCCGGGGATAGGGCTTCCCGGGGGTTCTCCCCCGGCAAGCCTTACCCCCGAACAACCCTTACAAAAAAAGAGAAGAAAGTTAGGACGAGGGAAAGAAGGAAAGCTCACGTCCATCGGAGTTGACCCCAGTCTCGCGGATGACCCCATAGACATAATCGCCGTCCGCGACCGCCTGGCTCAGCGTCTTGAGCATGACGGCGGCAAAGCCCTCGCCGCGGGCGTAGCCGTCGGCCCCGGCGTCCCACATGCGACTGCGGCCGGTGGGTGAGAGCATGTGCAGCTTGGACTCGGAGATCATCATCTCGGGGCCGAGGATGAGGTTGGCGCCGGCGGCGCAGGCGAGGGTGGAGCGGCCCTGGCGTAGGGCCTGGACGGCCTCGTGCACGGCGACCAGACTGGACGAGCAGGCGGTGTCGATGGTCATCGAGGGGCCCGTCCAGTCGAAAAAGTACGAGATGCGGTTCGACAGGATGCTCCGCGCCGTGCCGGTGGCCATGTACTTGGGCATGTCCTCGGGGTCGCGCAGCAGCAGCTCGTGGTAGTCGCCCGTCATCACGCCCACATACACGGCGGTGTCGGAGCCATGCAGGTCTTCCATCACCCCGCCCGCCGATTCCAGCGCCTCGTACACCGTCTCCAGCAGCAGGCGCTGCTGCGGGTCCATGGCCTCGGCCTCGAGCGCGTTGGTCTTGAAGAACGCCGCGTCGAATTGCCGGATGTCCTCGTCCAGCGTGTAGGCCTCTCGCACGTTGAGGCAGCCGGCGCGCTCGCCGTCCCGGTCGTAGAAGGCGTCGACGTGGAACCGGTCCGTCGGGATGCGGCGCTGCACGTCGCGCTTGGCGCATAGAAGATCCCATAGTTTGCTGGGGGTGTTGGCCCCGCCCGGGAAGCGGCAGCCCATGCCTACAATGGCGATGGGCTCGGGGGTGCCGGTGGTGGTGGTGGGTTGGGGAATCGTCATGGTGTGTGCGAGTGTGTGTCTGATTGTTGAAAAAGGAAAGACAAAAGTTGAAGGGGGAATTGCGTCTATAGTATAGATATAGTACAATAAGTCTGGTTCTGCCTTTCCCACAGACTAAAGACAAAACATCTTATGAAGTATACCTAGAAGAATTTCCCTCCCTCTCGGTCGGCGACTTTGTTGGCGCCGACCAGCCGAACCCTCGGCCAGCCTTGCCTGCCTCTTAACCCCCCATCTCAACTTCACACCCCTTGTAGCATCATTCTCTTCACACAGCTACAACAATGTTCAAATTCTACCCATCCGATTTCTTCCACTTCGAGTTCCTCCGAGTGCTGGCCAGCGCGCCCGCCGGCGGGGCCGAGACAGGCGAGTGCCTGGCAGTGCTACCGCAAGTGCCCGACGGGGACGCCGAGGCATGGTACCGGGCGTGGACGGCGCAAGCGCAGCAGGCGCGGGGGCTGGGCGACGAGGCGCTCGTCTCCGGGGACACGGTCGCCGCTTCGGGGGCCTACCTGCGCGCCAGCAACTACTTCCGCGCCAGCGAGTTCTTCCTGCACACCCGCCCGGACGACCCGCGCTTGCTGGCAGCGATGGAGAATAGTGTCGCCGTGTTCGACAAGGGGGTGGATCTGCTGGATACGTGCACCGTGGTGCGGGTGGAAATTCCTTACGAGGAGGAGAAGGGGGCTGCACGGCTGCCAGGCAGATTGTATCTCCCCCGGTCAGGTGCCGCGCAAACAGGCCAAGGCCAGAGCGAAGACAAGCTCCCGCTCCTCATCATGACGGGCGGGTTCGACTCGACGCAGGAGGAACTGTACTTCTTCGGGCCTGCGGCTGCACTTCCGCGCGGGTACGCAGTGCTCACGTTCGAGGGACCGGGCCAGGGGATCTGCCTCCGCCGGGACGGGCTGCGGCTGCGCCCGGACTGGGAGCATGTGACGACCAAAGTGCTGGATGTGGTGGAGAGCCAGCTTGCCAAGGACTATCCGATTGACCTGGAGAGGGTGGCAGTGGTCGGCGCCTCGCTGGGCGGGTACTTCGCTCTGCGGGCGGCGGCGGACCCGCGCGTGCGGGCGTGTGTCTCGTGCGATGCGTGCTACGATCTCTTCGATGTGACGCGCAGTCGCATGCCCGGCTGGTTCATTAACGGGTGGCTGAGCAGACGGCTCAGCGACGGGTTCTTCAACTGGGTCGTCAATAAACTGGCGGGGTGGAGTTTCCAGCTGCGCTGGGAGTTCGGCCACAGCATGTGGGTGTATGGGGTGGAGTCGCCGGCGGAGGTGATGCGCTGCATGCAGCAGTACCACGCCCGGGGGTATTTGCAGAAGGTCAAGTGCAGTACGTTTGTGACAGGGGCGGCGGATACATTCTACTTTACGCCAAAGCAGAATACGGAGCCGATCTTTGAGGCGCTGGGGCATGTCCCACTACAGAAGAAGCGGTTGTGGATCGGGAAGGGGGTCGAGGGGGGTGGGCTGCAGGCCAAGATTGGGGCCTGGGCGGTGTTCCACCAGAAGATGTTTGTGTGGTTGGATGAGCAGTTCGAGATCAAGCGGGGGACTATTGTCTAGATAGTGGTTCGGTGCGTTTATGAATTTGTGGTGGAAAGTAGCCGATTGCCCCTCGGAGCTTTCAGTCTCTATATCCCAGATCACGAAGTTCTACTGTTTAGTCTTGTATCGGATAACGCCGTTCAATTTAGCTCTAATTACCACAAGGGCTTTGATATTTATTGCAGTCTTTAAGTTCCCTCAGTAATCTCACGTCGTTCGGAGGTAGCGAGTGTCAACAGGGAGGTATATAATCCCGCCGCGTCGCCGCCAATTGCGCCCACTCCAAATTTTCAACCACCATACAGCTATACAACACAACAATGGCACCCATCGGCCGTCTTTACACATACATGCCCAACGCGCGGATCTTGAAGGTGAACTCTTAGTCCCCTTATCCCTTACCCTCTAACCCCCCCCCTCCTCATTCCTGACAAATCCCAGATCCAAGCCGCGGCCGCACTAAACAACCTCACCCTCGACATCCCCCAACCCTTCGCCTTCGGCACCGCCAACAAATCCCCCGAGTTTCTCCAAAAATTCCCAACTGGCAAGGTCCCTGCCTTTGAATCTTCCGACGGCGAGGTGACGCTGGTCGAATCCGACGCGATCGCGCAGTACGTGGCGGCCTCCGGGCCCGCGGCGCCGGCGCTGCTGGGCCGCAATGTCGCCGAGCAGGCGGCCGTGCGCCAGTGGATCTGTTTCGCGGAGAACGAGGTGTTTCGGAACATGATGGCGGTGGTGCTGTGGCGCGTGGGGATGCGGGAGTACGATGCGGGGGTCGATGGCGAGGGGGCGAAAGGGTTGGAGGAGGCGTTGGCGGTGGTGGAGCGGCATCTTGCGGTGGGTGAGAAGGAGTTTCTTGCGACGGAGGGGGAGTTGTCCTTGGTGGATTTGACGCTCGCGTCGGCGCTGTTTTGGGCGTTTATGCATTATATCGATGAGGAGATGAGAGGGCGCTTTCCCCGGGTGGTGCGGTGGTATCTTCGGGTGGTTGGGGCGGAGAGGGTGAGGGAGGTGTTTGGGGAGCCTAGTTTGGTTGCGGTGAGGAAGGAGGCTTCTGTTTAGTGGTTCGCACCAAACCAACTAAGTCAAAGGTGTTACTGGGAAGTTGAAAAGAAGGGGGGTCCGGGGGTTCTCCCCGGAACGTGTTCATTCCAGGTGTACAATAGGATTGAGCATTGTGTAGCTTATATGATCTGCAGTGTAACAGCAGGGAATAAATCCTTTCGGCGAGATTCAACCCCTCAGTCATATTATATAGACCCTAATCACAGGACACTGGCCCCCCTCCTTCCCGCTCCCAAATGCAAAATGGCTGACCACGGTGAGCACGGTGTTCCAGAACAGCAGAATGCTCCTCCCAAGAAGGGCCTGCGCTTCTGGCTCATCTTCCTGGCCATCGGGATCGCGACCTTCGTGGCTGCCCTCGACACTTCGATCATCTCGACCGCCCTGCCTACCATCACCGCCGACCTGGGCTCCGAGGAGCTCTACATCTGGATCATCAACACCTACCTCCTGTCCTCGACCGTCTCGTCGGCGATCGTGGGTCAGCTGTCCAACATCTTCGGTCGCCGCAGCATGACCACCCTCGCACTGCTCATCTTCGCCGTCGGGAGCGCCATCTCTGGCGCCGCCCGCGACACGGGGATGCTGCTCGCGGGCCGCACCATCCAGGGCCTCGGTGGCGGCAGCATCACCACCCTCTCGGAGGTGCTCGTGTGCGACATGGTCTCGCTGCGCGAACGGGGCGTCTACGCGGGGATCCTAGGCGCCGCCTGGACGCTCGCCGCCGTGGTCGGGCCCATCATGGGTGGAGGGTTCACGCAGAACGTGTCGTGGCGGTGGATCTTCTACATCAACCTCCCGATAGCGGGCAGCTCGCTCTTCCTGATCGTCACCCTGCTCCGAGTCCGCAATCCCCGCTCCGACACGAGCATCCTGCGCCGTCTGCGCACCATCGACTGGGGCGGCATCACGCTGCTCACCCTGGGCGTGACCGCCATCCTCCTGTCGCTCACCTGGGCGGGCACCACGCACCCGTGGTCCTCATGGCGGACGATCGTGCCCCTCATTCTCGGGTTCTTGGGACTGCTCGGGTTCATCGCCTACGAGGCCCTGCCGCCCGAACCGACGATGCCACTGCGCCTCTTCCGCAACCGCACCGCCGCCACCCTGTTCGTGATGGCCTTTATCTACAGCCTGCTCCTGTTCTGGGTATGCTACTTCCTGCCCATCTACTTCCAGGCCGTGCTCAACGCCACCCCGACTCGCTCCGCCGTCATGCTCTTCCCGGTCGCCACCACGACCGCCCCCGCCGGCATCGTCGCCGGCATCCTGATGACCAAGACCGGCCGCTACCGGAGTTTCCAGTACATCGGCTTCGCCTTGATGACCATCGCCTGCGGGCTTTTCACGCTGCTGGATCAATCCACCACCACCGGCGAATGGACAGGCTACCAGATCCTGTTCGGTGTCGGCACCGGCATCGTCTTCACGACGGGCTTACCCCCGATCCTCGCAAGTCTCCCGGAAAGCGACGTTGCCACGGGCACAGCCACCTGGATCTTCATGCGCAACTTCGGCGCCATCTGGGGCACCGCGATCCCCGCGGCGGTGTTCAATACGAAAGCGAATGCGCTCGCATCGCAGACAATCGATGATCCTACGGTTAGGGGGCTGCTGGTGAATGGAGGGGCGTATGAGCGGGCTACGAAGGCGTTTGTGAGCTCGTTCAAGTCCAGACCCGCGGTGATGCGGGCGATTCGGCGGCTGTACGTGGTTAGTCTACGGGAGGTGTGGCAGGTCAGCATTGCGTTCTGCGGGGTGGGGTTTCTGCTGTGCTTTTTGGTCAAGGCGTATCGGTTGCGGGAGGAGTTGAATACCGAGTATGGGATGCAGGTCGAGGGGCAGGGGGAGTCCAAGACGCGGATTGTGGGTGAGGGGGTCGAGATGGGGAGGGGGGGAAGGGTAGAGGAGGCGAGGTAGACTGTCTCTGTTGTACAACCGCCAGATCTTGTCAAGACGCTCTGGCCAGATAGCGGCGTTCAGCGATAAAGAGCTACTACGTCTACTCTTGCCAGATAGCTGTGGCGACCTGTCTTCAAACGATTGGTTTGCACTTGGTATCTAGCCGGTAGTGCGAATTTGATGTGTACCTAGAGTAAGACGTCCCGGGGGAGAACCCCCGAACCCCCTTTTTTTCAGCTTCTCAGTAACCCTTGTTTAAGACTTAGGGTTGAGTGTTGCCAGGAAGCTGAAAGAAAGGGGGGTCCGGGGGTTCTCCCCCGGAACGTGTTCATTCCAGGACTTAAGGCTGAGAGAGCCGCCGAACTCACCGAAACTCGCCGACACCCAAGTATGCAGCGACCACTTGCACACATATCGATAGAAGAACAGAACAAGAAACTCAAACAACACACAAGCTTGCTCGAACACTTAGGCCCTCCGTACAAACAAACACCATGTCACTCGACTTCACCACCTTCCACAACATCATCGCCGGCCAGCCGCGCTCCGCCGCCACCGTCCACGCGGGCGTCTCGCCGCTCACCCGCGCCAAACTGTGGGACGTCCCGGTCGCGACCGCCCAGGACGTCGACGACGCGGTCGCTGCCGCCGCAGCGGCCTTCCCCGGCTGGGCGGCGGTGCCCTACACCGAGCGCACGCGGCTGCTGGGGGAGTTCGCTGACCTCTATCTCCAGCATGCAGAGGAGTTTGTGAAGCTGTTGATGGCGGAGACGGGGCGGAGTGTATGCTATGCCTTTTTTCTGCGGTGTGTGTTTACTTGCAATGTGCAGATTTTGACGAAGACAGAGACAAACGGCAGCGATCGAGGTATACTGGGCGGCGGAGTGGTTGCGGTATCCTGGTGCGTGCCCAGCAAAACCCAAGTGAACACCAAGCTAACGCGTGTCCAGCCAAGTACACCCTCCCCGAGACGAAGCACGAAGACGACGAGCTCGTCGCGATAACCAAGTACGAGCCCCTGGGCGTGGTCGCCGCCATTTGTCCGTGGAACTGTACGTGCTCTGTCCTCTGATCCACCACTCAACAAACTAACGGCCCCAGTCCCCATCAGCCTAGGTATTTACCGCATCCATCACCCACTTCTCCAACCACTTTCTAAACATTTTACCCCTAGCAATGGGCAAAATCGCTCCCGCAATAGCAACAGGCAACACCATCATCGTCAAACCCTCGTCCGTCCCCCTTTCCCTTCCCCTTACCCCTATCGCTACTTGTACCAAACTAACCAAAAGAAAAAAGCCCATTCACCCCCTACACAACCCTAAAACTCATCCAGCTGGCCCAACGCATCTTCCCCCCGGGAACCCTCCAAGCCTTAAGCGGCGACGACACCCTCGGCCCACTCCTCGTCCACCACCCGCGCATCCAGAAGATCTCCTTCACAGGGTCCACGGCCACCGGCCAGAAGATCATGCGCGGCTGCGCCGAGACCATGAAGCGGTTTACCTTGGAGACGTATGCCCTCCCCTCCTGAAATAAGCAACGATGGATGGTGGGCTGACGCACGCAGCGGCGGGAATAACATCGGGATTGTTTTCCCGGATGTGGATGTTGAAGCGACGGCCACGAAGATTGCGGGCGGGTTGTGGTTTAATGCGGGGCAGGTTTGTATTAATGCACGGCGGCTGTATGTGCATTCGTCTGTTTATGGGGAGTTTGTGAGGGTTTTGGGGAATGTGACGGAGAAAATGGCGGGGGATGTGGGGCCGGTGCAGAATGAGATGCAGTTTGAGAAGGTGCAGGCGGTGCTGCGGGAGTGTCAGGAATTAGGGTTGAGGTTTGTGGCGGGCGGGGAGGAGAAGAAGGGGAGCGAGGGGCTGTTTGTTCGGCCGGTCGTGCTGGATAATCCCCCGGATGAGGCGGGGGTTTTGCAAGAGGAGGTTTTTGGTGGGTTTTCTGGTGATTGACTGGTGGGTTTGCACTGACTGTTGTGGATTGCAGGGCCTATCGTCTCTTGCAAGCCCTTCGATACCGCGGATGAAGTGGTGCGCATCGCGAACGAGAGCACCACCGGGTTGAGCGCGATTGTCTGGACGGCGGACGCAGAGTTGGCGGAGAGAGTGTCAGCCCAGTTGGACGTCGGGAATGTGTTTGTGAACGGGCCGCCCAAGCCAAATGCCTACGTGCCCTTTGGCGGCCACAAGCAGAGCGGGGTGGGGGTGGAGTATGGGCTGGAGGGGCTGCTGGGGTTCTGTCAGGTCAAATCGGTGCATGTGTACAAATAGTGGCATCGAGGATCATTGGGGGTAAATTATGATAGTCTTGGTATATATTGGGATTGAGTGTTACCAGGAAGTTGAAAGAAACGGGGGTCCGGGGGTTCTCCCCCGGGAAGTCTTCGTGTACGTGTAGGACTTAGGGTTGAGTATTACTTCAATAGGAACAAGGGTTCAGTAGTCTTACTGGGCCTTCATAACCAGTCATGCCACTGGTATTAGCATTGGGCTGAACCCAGCTGGCGGATCGGCGACTTTTAGCCATCGCCGGCAGTCACTACATAGTTCACTTGTTCTACTAGATAAATAGCCAGCGTCCAGCAGGACCACCGCCCACTCCAAGAAAGACAGCCACCATGGCGGAAATTCACGATATCACCGGGCTCCTCAAGCCCTACCTCTCCGGCACGAACCTCGTCTGGACGCTCCTCCTCGTCGGCTACATCATCCCCAAGCTATTTCAGTACCTGCAGCGACTCTTCTCCCCGGTGTCACGCATTCCCGGCTCATGGCTCCACAAACTCACTTCCTTGCCTCTCAAAATCGCAATCGCCAAGGGTGAAAGGTAATCCCCTCCTCCTCAAGCTCGTCACATGGGTCTAACAAACCAGCCATATCTTCACCGTCGACCTACACAAGAAGTACGGCCCCATCGTCACCCTCTCCCCAACCATGATCTCCATCTCCGACGCCCGCGAGATCAAACGCATCGTCCACACAGAGGACTGGGCCAAATCGGAAGCCGTGTACGGCAACTTCCGGCAGGACCCGCAGCGGCCAACCCTCCTAGCCTTCACCGACAAGAAGGCCTACAGCCAGCGCAAACGGCTCGTCTCGAGCATGTTCGGCTTGCGTTACATCCGCAGCATGCAGCCACTGATGCGCAACTGCATTTCCGTGCTGATGGACGAGCTCGACAAACAGTGTGCAAACGGAGCCACCGCCGTGGACATGCAGCATATGATCCAGTCGCTGGCGGCGGACATCATTGGCGTGACGACGTTCGGGCAGACCTTCGACCTGGTCAAGAACGGCTCGCATCCGCTGCCGGACCGGCTGAAGCAGGCGCTCAAACTGTCGGGCATCCTGCAGTTCATGCCGTGGCTCACCAAGATCCCCTTCATCCCGAACCGCGATCCCTACGTCAGCTGGTTCACCAACGAGATCGTTGCGAAGCGCCGCGCGCAGATCGCCAGCCGCCAGGGCCCGCCCCGCGAGGACCTGCTCCAAAAAATGATTGAAGCGGCGGACGAGAGCCCCACCTCGCCGTTCCGGGTCTCCGACATCCAGGACGAGAGCGTCGTGCTGCTCATCGCCGGCAGCGAGACCACCGCCAACGCAGAGCTGTTCACCCTCATCCACCTCCTGCGCCACCCGAGTAAGCTTGCCACTCTCTATGAAGAGATCGACCGCTGGTATCCCCGCAACGACCCGCGTCCCACGGACTGCGACTACAGCATGTCCGGCATGGTCTACCTGCAGGCGTGCATCGACGAGACCATGCGCTTGGTACCCGGTCAGGCGACGGGGAGTCCGCGCGAGTCGCGCAAGGACGAGACTCTGCTAGGGTATGACATCCCTAAGGGCACGACGGTCTTCCCCACGACGCAGGAGGTGCATCTGGACGAGACTCTGTGGCCGAACGCGACCGAGTTCCTCCCCGAGCGCTGGCTGGACGTCTACGCTAAGGGTGAGGCCAACAGCCTCCCCTACTACCCGTTCTCGGCGGGCAGTCGCGTCTGCATCGGGAAACACTTCGCCGCGCAGGAGATGCATCTCTCGCTGGTGTCGCTGCTCCGGCGCTTTCAATTCGAGTATGTGTCGGGCCAGGATGAGTCGACCGTGTTTCGGATTGCGCAGCAGATGCGTGGGCACAGATATCTCATGACCGTGGGGAGGAGGTAGCTGTAGTTCCGATGCTGTACATAGTTCAGGATATCGTGAATTTATTTTGGCTTCCTAAGGACCTTAGCCCTAAGTCCTAGAACATACCGTGCCGGGGGAGAACCCCCGGACCCCCCTTTCTTACAACTTCCCAGCTGAAATCAATCCTTGTCCACAGAACTGTACGCACCAGCGAGAAGCCCAAACTTGCCTACTGTCATCGACATGGATTGAATGCATCTGTATCGGTAGCAACCCACCGAATCTCGCCGGCCGTAACTCGCCGACGACTGCATGCTGCTAGTATATATACCATCACGACCCTAACCAGTACCCTGCAAACTCAAACAACCCAACAAAGACCCATCAAGTAAATCCAGGCGATCAACATGTCCCCCGCCAAAGTCAGCGCCAACGACGTGCCCATGCACGGCAACGGCTTCTACAGCTCCAACTCGGCCCTGCAGCACTCCGCCATGCTCAACGCCCTGCCTCTACTCGCCGCCGCAGCAGCAGCATCCAAAGCCAAGCAGCAAGAGGAGCAGGAAAACTCGCGCCCCTTCGCAATCCTCGAATTCGGCTCCGCCCACGGCAACAACTCGTGCGCCTTCCCTGGATTCCTCCATGCTTGCCCCCTTCCCCGAAACTAACAAAAGATACTGTAGCCACACCCCCATAACCACAGTCCTCAAATCCCGCGCCCCGGCCCCCTCCCGCGAAATTCACCTGCAATTCAACGACCGCCCCACCAACGACTTCTCCACCCTCGCCACCAATCTCACCACCATGACCTGGCCCGTTAGCAATGCAATCTTCACCTCCCTCCTCCCCGCCTCCTTCTACTCCCGCGTTTCTCCGAAGGGGAGCGTGGACGTGGCCTTCTCCCTCGCGGCCCTGCACCACCTCGACCGCGTCACCCCGGTGCCTCCCGAAGGCCCCATCCCGACCCACGAGGTCCGGCAAGCCGAGTTCCGCGCGCAGGCGCACGCCGACCTCCTCTCTTTCCTGTCCCATCGCGCGGAAGAGATTGTCCCTGGCGGGGGGCTGGTGCTCAGCTTTGTGGGGCAGGAGCTGGGCCCTAACGGGGAGGAGATTACCAATTATGCGGGGCCGGTGGACGCGTGTCGCTCGGCGATGATCGATATGCTGCAGGCGGGGGTGCTGAGTCCGGCGGTGGCGAATGTGTTTGAGGTGCCGGCTTATAACCGCACCATTGCGGATGTGCGGCGCACGCTGGCGGAGGGGGAGGTGGTGGCGGCGTGGGAGGTGGAGGAGGTGTTTGAGCGGAAGGTCGTGCATCCTGCACTGCAGGAATTGGAGGCCAGGAGAGAGGCTGCGCCGGGTAAGGAGGAGGAGCATGCGGAGTGGTATGCACGGACGGTGGTGGATTGGCTGATGGCTGTTGTGGCGGGGTATTTTGTCAAGGCGGTGCGCGAGGGGATGGGCGTTACGGATCAGACGGTGCTCGATGGGTTGTTGGCGGAGTGGGTGGAGCGGACTAGGGGGAGGTTTTTGGAGGGGCATCGGAATGAGCCGGTTGAGTGTTGGTTTGTTTATGTTCGGTTGGGGAGGAAGTAGATGGTTCCTTGTTGTTCTTGGGTTTAGGTTTAGTTGTGAGAGGGCTAGGGTGTTGCTTTTGGTTTGAATTAGTTAATGCGAATATGCTTGATTGAGTGTTGTTGGGACGTGTTTGTTGTAGGACTTAGAATTAAGTGTTACTGGGAAGCTGAAAGAAAAGGGGGGTCCGGGGGTTCTCCCCCGGAACGTGTTTATTCTAGAATGCTTAAGGTTGAGTGTTACTGGGAAGCTGAAAGAAAGGGGGGTCCGGGGGCTCTCCCCCGGAACGTGTTTGTTGTAGGTATAAGGTATATTAGGGTTGGTCTTGGATTAGCCAGTTGATGAACTAATCAATTTCAATATTGCATAACTAAGGATTGTGGCAGGTAAACCAGCTAACAGAGACAGCCTGCGGCAGCACACTCAGAGTGAATACACAAAGCCTCGTCCCACGAGGCACACATCTAATGCAGTCGATTGCCCACTGTTCTCTTCTGAGTGGGTTTGAGGTTCCCACCGGGGGCGATCTGTATCGGCGCCGTCGGCGATATTCACCACCCGGACCTCGGAGAGATAGTATACTCGCCGGCCAACCACCAACGGCAAAACCAACACACACCAACAACACCAAACACCATCCATTCTGAAAGCAAACTGCGGCATGACAGATCTACTCGCCGAATCGGACCTCACCACGCATCAACTATATTACAATCACATCGCCATGAGACTCAACCTCACACAACCCACATCTCTCCCACAATCCTAAGCATCATGCATCGCGAGCTCAAAGAATTCTCCCACCCCCATGGCTCCACGGGCATCTACGAGGACAACCTCCAGGTAGACGTCCTTATCGTAGGCGCCGGGTTCAGCGGCATCTACATGCTGCACGAGCTGCGCAAACAGGGCCTCAAAACCGTCGTCTACGAGGCAGGCTCCGACCTGGGCGGCACGTGGCGGTTCAACTGCTACCCCGGAGCGCGAGTCGACTCGCAGGTGCCACTATATCAATTCTCCATCCCCGAGACCTACAAGGACTGGACTTGGTCCACCAACTACCCCGACTACAAAGAGCTGCGGGCCTACTTCGACCACGTCGACAAGGTCCTCGACATCAAGAAGGATGTCGCCTTCGGCAGCGTCGTCGTCGACGCCCAGTTCGACACCAGCCAGAGCCGCTGGGTCGTGAAGACCCAAGACGGCCGCACCGCGTACGCCAAGTACTTCATCGCCGCGGCGGGCGTCTCATCCAAGCGCTACATCCCGGAGTGGGAGGGAATCGAGAACTTCAAGGGCCCTATCCATCACACCTCCTTCTGGCCGGAGCACGAGGTCGACGTGCGCGGCAAGCGCGCCGCCATTATCGGCACGGGCGCCTCGGGCGTGCAGGTCACGCAGGCCTGGGGCCCGCAAGCCGGTCACCTGAAGGTCTTCCTGCGCTCGCCCAACTACTCCATCCCCATGCGCCGCAAGGAGCTCACCGCGGACGAGCAGAACCAGCTCAAGCCCATCTACCCGCAGCTGTTCGACCTGCGTGAGAAGACCTTCACGGGCGCGCTGGTGGACTTCAGTGAGCGCAGCGCCCTCGAGGACTCCGAGGCCGAGCGCGAGGCCTTCTACGAGCAGCGCTACCAGACCGGCGGCTTCGACTTCTCCACCGCCAACTACAAGGACACGATGCTCAACCCGGTCGCCAACCGGTACCTGTACGACTTCTGGGCCAAGAAGACGCGGGCGCGCCTGAACGATGAGCGCGTCAAAGATCTGCTGGCGCCCGTCGAGCCCCCTTACTTCTTCGGCGGCAAGCGCTCCTCGCTGGAGACGGACTTCTACGAGCAGTTCAACCGCGACACGGTCGAGCTGGTCGACGCCAAGAGCAACCCGATCGTCGGGTTCACCGAGAACGGCATCAAGATGCAGGACGGCACCGTGCACGAGGTGGACGTCGTGTGTCTGGCGACCGGGTTCGACACCACCACCGGCAGCATGATCAACCTGGGCGTGCGCAGCATCCACGGCACGACCCTGCAGGAGGACTGGTCGCAGGCCGCCGAGACCTACCTGGGGCTGACGGTGTCCGGGTACCCCAACCTGTTCCACCTGTACGGCACGCACGCGCCGACGCTGTTCAGCCAGGCCGTGACGACCATCGAGGTGCAGGGCCGCTGGATCGTCGACGCCATCAAGCAGATGGAGCGCCAGGCCATCCGCTCCATCAACCCCTCGCGCGAGGCCGCCCACGCCTGGAAGCTGCAGATCCGCGCCTTCCAGAACGCCAGCTTCTTCCCCACCGTCCACTCCACCTACATGGGTGGCTCCATTCCCGGCAAGCCTTTCGAGTTGGTGTCCTACCCGGCCGGAATGCCTATGTACGCGCGGCAGATCCGCGACGCGCTGCCCACGTTCCCTGGGTTCGAGGTTGTGAAGGCCGACGGGGAGAAGGTGGAGAATCTGGCGCCGGGCGGGCTGGAGGCGACGACGAACTTTTTTGAGCGGTTGTTTGGGATGCCGCCTTCGTCGGCCAAGGAGGATCTTGCCAAGCAGGATCACTAGGTGTTTTTGTTACTGGAGTTGACTAATGATTATGTTGTGCCTGTTGTGCCTGTTGTAACATGTCCCCCACAGGAGAGTCATTTAAGCAATTTGATCTCAATATTATTAGAGTAAGACTTTGCGGGGGAGAACCCCCAGACCCCCCTTTTCTTCAGCTTCCTAACAACCTCAGTCCTAAGTCCTAGAATATACCGTCCCGGGGGAGAACCCCCGGACCCCCCTTTCTTTCAGCTTCCTGGTCCTGGTGAACCCAGTAGATTCATCTGAGCAACCTGTTTTCGTACATTTGTTGTAGTTATGGATCTGCTTCACTGTGTATTATCGGTTTCCGTGACTCAGAAACTAACACCAATCGTCGAATTAAGTACGTATCCGGCTCGAAGTGGCTCGGTTGGTGCACGAGACAGAGTATACAACCCTCCCTCACCAAATATATATGTACACAACATCTCTCTATATTTATCACCAATCTGAGCCCAATAAAACAACAGAGAAGTCCAGTCTCAGTAGAATAGACCTAGGGAATACCCCATCCTAATAATCATAAGAAGCGAAACCCATAATTCCACACATGCATCGCCAGATTACGATCGACCATCCCATCCAGCTACAAGCACCCAAGGTAAAGGCTAAGCCCTATTCCAACCATCAACAATCCCCTACAGTATGTACATACCCCCAAAACACCCTTCAACCCCATCACCCTTCCTCATTCCTTCTGGAACATGAACATAAGGTACCTAGTAGTCAGCAGGGCGTAAGCGTATTACCAACACGACTCGAGACACCCGACTGCCCGCTCGCCCGCCCGGCCGACCGCAGAAAACCTCCACGTGTCCTCTTCCTCCTTCCCCCGCCCTCCCGCTGAAGTAGTCCGCTCGGTCGCCCCCAAGCCCTAACTTGCCGTCTACTCAGTTAGTGCTTTACTAGAGAGAACTAGGGTAGACAGACAGGGCATCATGCAATCATCTGGCCCAGTCCGGTAAGTTACCACGTAAGAACCCTAATCCACGGGCCCCGATCTTATAGTATAGCGCTAGTAATTTCGCTGCCTAGATGTATCGACTGGCGTGTCGGGTTGGGTTGTTGGTTTATGCTCTGTTCGACTGCGGAAGTGATCAATCACCTAATCGAGGGGGAATACCCCATTCAAAAATAGTATGTACCTTATTCATATATGCTCGACTCGACTCACACTCGGACAGATCTGCCAAGGGGGGCTGGGCGTCCTGCCAGGTCGCTAATCTATTGGGTAAAGAGTGCAAAGACCTTGGGAGAGAGTTCGGCAGTGCATTCGTATCGTATCGAATCGATTTACTTCCTTGGCTATAGGTTACCTACCACGACAGCTATAGCTACTCAGTGATAAGTCAGTAACAAAGTGAGATGACAGTGCCGAGATACCCTGGAACGGGTCTGGATCGCGTCTGGGCTACTGGGTTAGGCTGAGCCAGAGCCTCGAGGCGTACCATCCCCCGGGGTGGCATGATGCAGACAGAGAGATAAGACGAGGCTGACCGACCGTCGGGAGCGCGAAAACTTAAGTACCCAGTGTACAGTCCTTAGTATGAGCAGTGCTGATCCTTCAGATCCTGTGCATCCTTCATGATGTGATGGATCAGGGATGAGGCCATAGCCATGGTTTTCTGGCTGGAGGATTCATTCACTTAGTCCCCGCTGGGAAGGGAATACGAGGGCCAAAACAGTACCCGGGCGCTCACCGTCGCGGAAAGGAAGATTAGCTTATGGTGACGGGGACGGGGACGGGGTTAGTGGGGTCATGTGATTGCTAAGCTTTTTCGGGGCTGGGACACACTATTCATGCTATTGACATAGTAGTATACTGTAAAATTGGTGATCAGGTGTGTTCAAAAAGAGGAAGATGGTTCTTGATCAACCCGACTCAAAGCAGTAGGCGTATACTCAAACACTGGCGTCTATCGGAGCGAATTCTCCCCCCGACCGCCGCCGAGAGCATCTCGACCCACTCCCCCCTCCGCCACGGCTGATAGGTCAAAACCCGCCGATCGGCCGGCTGGCGGGGCACTAGCGGGCGTTTCCTTTCTTAAGGTGAAGACGAGTCGAGTCGAGACTACCTTAGTTCAATGTTCAAGTTGGCTGGGAGCCTGACTAGTCGTGAAATCCTGATGCTGCAAGGGCTTGATCGTCCTTGTTTCCCCAGTTGGCTAACGTGGGGGCGGAGTTCTCTTCACTCCTCCTCCTCTCTCCTCCTCCTCCTCCTCCTCCTCCTCTTCTTCAGTGCCCTGAGACATGGAACAATGCAATAGCATCGTCAACTAGACTCGCTAGACAACACCGAGCTAGCCCTAGCCTACTCCCTACCCATCTAACTTACGATTAGTTAATGATGCTGCAGAGGAGCATGGTATCGTCAACCGTTGGGGTCCAAAACTCTTGCTTCCATCGTGACTCCACGCCAACAGTCCCGGTTATCCGGTCCCCACTGCCCCCCCTCCAATGATCCTCATGTATCACACCCTAAAAAGGCCAGGATATCTGAATCTGCAACCCGTACGTCACCACATGGCTTAGTGCAGCACATGGCAACAACCCTGCAACCTGTGCTATCTCGCCAATCCTTCCACGTCAACATGC